CCCTAACCCTAACCCTAACCCTAACCCTAACCCTAACCCTAACCCTAACCCTAACCCTAACCCTAACCCTAACTCTGTCCTCCTCCACCCTCCCCACCACAACCTTGTTCAACCTTGTCAGCAACCTTGGTAGCCATTCCATTCCCTGTCTTTGCTTTCAACCTGGTTCAACCTCCCTCAACTCCCTCAACCTTCTGATATGCAACCTCCCCAAACCTCTTGAGCTTCAACCTAGTCCAACCTCCCTCAACCTCTCTCAACCTGTTGATGTGCAACCAGCCTTGTTCAACTTTGTCAGCAACTTTGATGGTCATTCAGGATTTCATCCTTGGTCCCAATCCAAGTGAAATCTGGTTCAACCTCCTTCAACCTGTTCATGATCAACCCAGTTCAACCTTCTGCAACCTATTGAGGGGCAACCTGGCTGAACCTCCCTCAACCTTCAACCTTCCAAGGTGCAACTAGGCTGAGCTCCCCCAACTTCCTGAGATGCAACCTGTCTGAACCTTCCCCAACCTCCTGAGGTGCAGCCAGGTTGAACAATCCTCAACCTCACTGAACCTCCCTCAACTCCTGAGGGGCAAGCTCCAGAGGTTGAATGTGGCTGAATCCTCCCACAACCTTCTGAGGTTGAAACCTGCTAAACCTCCCCCAACCTCCTGAGGGGTGACCTTGTGGAACATCCTTCAACCTTGGTGAGGTTGGCCTTGAGATTGAGGTTCCTGAAGCCCATGAGGTTGAGATATGAGGTTGAGGTTGAGGTTGAGGTTGAGGTTCCCAATGTTTATGAGGTTGAGGTTGTTTCCAAACTTGAGGTTTCTATGTTTGAAATGAGGTTCATGAGGTTCAAGAGGTTGGCAACCTCAAATGCATCAAATGTCACCGTACAACCTCAACTGGCAAATAAAACCCCCAATCTTCCTTTGGACCCTGTTTATGCCATGCTTAGTGCTCCTAGTGGACACATGCAGCATCCTCTCCAACCTCATTTTGCGCTCACCAAGGTCAAACTTTGACGGCTTGGAAAGTTACAATAAGAGGTAGAATCTACCAATCTTTGTAACTAATATACATCTTTGGCTACTGCTTGAGGTTCCTAGCACAAGAAAAGGGGGTGTAATTTTTGAGGGGCCATAGGATAGTCATATAACCCTTTATTTGACCTACACGAGCATGCCCTGTTCAATTTGACACAGGCTTGGGTGCAACGGACAGGTGGAGGCGCGCTTGAGTCCGTTGCAGCCAAAAAGTCCATTTTGGAATTTTCGAATTTCCTCGCGCTCACCAAGGGTCCGTCGCGCACTGGGCCAGTCTCCATTTTGGTCCGTCGCTCCTTTTTCGAATTTCGCGTGGATTTTCCGTTGGCGGGCGCGGACGGTCCGTCGCAAACGGGCTACGGACACGGCGTAGCGCTAGGCATTGCTAGCCTCATTGCGCTGGGCACGGCAGCTAGGACGCTACTCTGGTAGGCCCAGCAGATTGTGTTGAATGGTGCAGGGCGGAAGAAATGATAGGCGTGCTGATTTTGGGCGAGCTGAATGTGATGCTTGCGCGTGCCAAGTATGGACGGTGTGAAAAATTTTGCCTTGCTCGGCAGATGTTTCCCAGCAGCGGTCAGCGGTCAGCCGTGCCAGCAGACTGCAGCCAGACCAATAGACAGTGGCCAGCGTGGCAACACACAGCGGGGCAACGGACAGCAGCAGGGCGGGCGACGGACAGTAGGGCAGGCGACGGACAGCAGGGCGGGCAACGGACAGCAGGGCAGGCGACGGACAGCGGGCAGGCGGTGGCAATGGGCCAACCCCCAGCTGGCCAGGCCCGGGCGCAAAAAGTTGGATCGGTCCGTTGGGCACTTCTCCAGTCCTCCACATCCTGTCCGCTGCCCAGCCAATTTCCTGCCAATTTTGACGCGTCCGTTGCCCCCTGTCCGTTGCCCCAGCCAAGGAAAATTTGGATCTGTCGCCGCACTGGACCAGTGTCTTTGGACCTGTCCGTTGGACCTGACGGACGCGGACCCTGGCTGCCTTTTGGCGGGACGGACGCATCCGCCGCCGCCCGCGCACGCACCGCCGCCTAGGGGCTAGGCAGATTCTTGGCCGTTTTCTGGATCAAAAAATAACCTATTGTAACCCTACCCTAACCCTAAGACAGATCCGTGATTGTCGAAGCCCTCCCCGGGCAGCGCCTTGTAAGTTCAAGGTACGTCAACCCAGCTTGGTCCAGGTTGATCCAGGTTCAACGTACATAGGCCCATGTTGCTCCAGGTTACGCACCCTCAACCTACGTTGGCCAGGTTCAACATACATGCAGCCTAGGTTGCACCAGGTTCAACCCGGGTTCAAACCTGGACTGAAAACTTTGCAGGCCTGTAGCTCCGCAACCGCGGTACGCGGTACCGCCAGAGTTTGCATACACATAGTCCTCCTGTATCTCTACAACTTCCATTCAGACAGATCCGTGATTGTCGAAGCCCTCCCGGGCAGGTAACCCTAAGTCTAAAGTTTCATCCTTCAAGATTCTAAATCCGGTCCAATTTTGTGATTGATTTTGAAGTCAAAATTTCGTTTGATTTTTCAGTATTGAAGCGCGTCAGACGTGCCTTTTCCGCTCGAAACACCACGCCTTGAGTCGGCTCCTTGCAACGTCGTATTCTACGGCTTGCATACTGCGCCTGCGCTACGAGCGTTGCTTGATGACGTTTGCGTATCCGTGACCGTTGACGGGCAGAGCCGCATTTTTGGAGTCCAATTCTGATCCAGACTAGTGCGAGCAATCAACGTGCTTCGGTTACGTGCTTGAACCCGGCACATGGGGCCGCCAACATGATGCCTTGGTCACATTCGCACGATGCTACCATCGAACAAACTCGTAAAGGCAAGTTGAGATTCTCCACACCAAAGACATGGGCTGAGCACGAGTCGGAAACATAAATTATCAGATCGGAGACAACAAAAGGAGCGAAAGGGAGCGAGAGGAAGGGTCAGACAGAGGCCAGAGATGGGGAATCCGAAGGTAAGGCGAGGAGAGAGAGAAAGAACAGAGGACGCAGAGCTGTGGAATCGAGCCCGCAAGGCAACACGACGGCTGTGCGATAGACTAGAATTCTTCGATGGTGGCGGCCAATCAGAAGTTGAGCAGTTGCGAGAGGCGGCCGCCCTGGGCCGAGCCGTTGGAGGTCTGAGGGCCTCCCTGGACGCTGTTGATCCCGTTGCCTTCGACTACCTTGCCGTTGTGCTGGAAGTCCAGGCTGTCGCCGCCCCGAGCGTCGGCATTCGCATTCTGGAGAGCGCCGAAGGAAGGGATGGACCTCTTGACGTGCTGCTCAGCCGTCTGGGTGTTGTTCTGCTGGGCGCCGACGATCTGCGAGATGTCGTCCGTCTTGGCACTGGCATCCGCTGCGTCGAACGAGGTAGGCTCATGGCTCCAAGCACCTGCATGTTTGAGTTCGGCGGCGTTGGAAGCCGTCAAGTGGGCGTTCGATTCCGCGTTGGTGTAAATGTTCTGCGCGTTGCCCTGCGAGAGGCTCACGTCCGTGTCGGTGCGCGGGTAGAAGGCTTTGTAGAAGATGCGCTCGTCGCTCTGACCTGCCTTCTGATCTGAAAGCTGGTTGCTCGTCGCGTTCTGGGCTACGGCGCCGCCATGGCTGCTCGTGTCGACGTCAGTGAAGCCCTTTGAGCCAGCGATTGCGGCAGGGCCACCGGCAGCATCGGCAGCACCCGCCTGCTGCGTCTTCTGGGCCGTCGACTGTCCAAGCGACTGAAGACCGCGGGCGGAAAAGTAGTCGTAAAAGCCATCAGCGGCACCTTGCGTTCCGCTCTGTTGACTCTGCTGGTCAGCCTGGGCGTTCTGCGTAACGACACCGCCCTGAGCGCCGGTGTTGACGTGCGTAGGTCCGCGGCTGCCAGCAATATAGGCAGAGCCTCCATGAGCGGCTGCGTTGCCATACTGCTCGAGACCCTGATCCACGTCCTGACCTGCGCTCTGCAGCTCTCGGCGGAAGTAGCCGGAGCCGAAATAGTCGATGTGGTCCTGCTGGTATCCCTGTGTGGCAGACTGAGCTCCCGACTGTTGGCCGCTGGCGTACTGGTTGACAGCGCCGCCAGTCGCCGAGGTGTTGACAGAAGTCGGTCCATCGGCACCCGAGATGTAAGCGTTGCCACCCTTGCCCTCGGCGGATCCGTACTGGTGGATGCTCTGGCCGACGCCCTGACCGAGGCCCTGGTATCCGCGAGCGAAGAGCTGCTTGAGGCCCTGGTCGATGGTACCACCTTGTCCGTTGTTGGTGGCGCCCTGAGGACCACCAGTGGTGACGGAGTTGCCGTAGCCGCTTACTACAGGACGGTTGCTTTGATACTGAACGCTCTGGCCTCCGTAGCCATCCGCGCGACCGTCCTGGAGGCCGAGCGCCTCAAGCTGACGTTGGCCCAAGCTTTCGGCGAGAGACTGCTTCACCGAGCCGCCGTTTCCGTTGTTTTGGCTATACTGAGGTCCTCCAGCGGTAACAGAGTTGCCGTAGCCGCTGATCACGGGTGCATTGTCCTGACCCTGGAGCGAGTGACCACCATAGCCGTTCGCCGAACCAAGTTGGTGACCCTCGGCGAACGCCTGTCGCCTGCCGAGGCCGCCCAGGCTCTGAACCTGATCCAGAGTCTGGGTGATGGAACCACCCTGACCATTGTTTTGAGCGTATTGCGGTCCTCCGGCAGTGAGCGAATTGCCGTGTCCAGACAGCACAGGCACGTTGCTCTGAAGCTGACCAGAATTTCCGCCGTAGCCATTGGCGCTAGCACCCTGTTTGCCACCCTGGGCGCCCAGGAGCTCTTTCCTGACCAGGCCTCCCAGGCTTTCGATCTGCTCGAGACTCTGCTGGATCTGGCCACCAGTACCATCGTTCTGCGAAGCCTGAGGGCCGCCTGCGGTGAGAGAGTTGCCAGCACCGGAAAGAACCGGCTTGTTGAGCTGGCCTTGAAGCGAGTTGCCTCCGTAGCCGTCGGCGCTGGCACCCTGCTTGCCGCCCTGTGCTCCGAGGAGGCGCTTGCTCAGAAGACCGCCGAGGTCCTGGACCTGCTTCAGCCCTTGCTCGATGCTACCGCCTTGTCCGTCATTTGTGGCCGACGTCGGGCCGCCGGCGGTGAGCGAGTTACCGGAGCCAGAGAGAACAGGCTTGTTGAGCTGTTCCTGGAGCGAATTTCCGCCACGGCCATCGGCCGAAGCTTGCTGTTTGGCACCCTGGTCTCCAAGAAGTCCCATCAGCTGACGAGAATAGAGGTTGCCGTGGCCGTCAGATCCCAGGATCTCGCTCGCCGGTGCAGCTGCGGCAGGAGGCGCTGCCTGAGAATGGGCATGCGAAGGAACGAAGAAGGAGTCGTCCTTGGTCACCTTGACGCCCTGAATGCTTTTCTGTTCCGACGAGTTCTTCTGAGACACAGGTCCGCCCGAGCCTTGCTGCGAGACGCCCTGGGAAGCGCCTTGGACGATGTCGCGCGTGCTGATCGGAGCCGCGCTGCTGAGGTGTGCGGTGGCCACCGAGGCCACGACGATTGCACTGAAGCTGGAAGAGAACTTCATCTTTTCCGGAGACGGCAAAGTGCCTTGCTGAAGCTTGAGATTTGAATGCGAGATGAGGAGAACAAGGAAGAGGAAGAGGAAGGGAAGAAGCGTGGGTAAGTTGTTGAGGCTTGACCGTCCGTGATGCTTTCGATGGGAAGAGGTTGATCAGATCAGCTTCTTTTATACCTTGTCGAAGCAAAGATCCGGCAGCGATGTAGGAGGCACGCTATGAGGCCTGAATGCTTGACAAGGACTGTCTTTCCATCAAGGTAAGCCTAGCAGCTGTCCGTGCTGGCAGGATGAGCGTGCAGGAAAAGTAGGCGCATTGCAGTGCTTCAAAACACGTGCAGAGCCTTCTCTAGACACAGCTTGAGGCGGCCGAAGTGGGGATGAAGAGCGTTCGGAAGCAAGGCGTGCTGGATCTAGGAGGAGGAGGAGGAGAACATGTTTCATTGAGCAGGCCATTGCAAACGAAGTGCGTCATGCATGTCACACTGCAATACCGGAAGTGTTGACTGCATCCGAGCTCTCCGTTCCCTCTTTACGAGACTGCCTTCGCAGGGCTCTTCTGTTCTGCATTAGGTTCCGAAACAGTGACGACTAGTGCATCATCTCAGATCAAACCGATCCGACGTTGGTCATTCCGCATCCTGTCAAGCTGCTGCGAAGGAATCTTTCATTGCAAGCTTTGCCATCATCTCGACGATGGCACGGAATTGCGGAACACTAGCCTACAAGCCAGCGGTCGAGCTCGTAAACAGACAGATGCGGACGGCTTGTTCTGCAGACAATGCGAGGAGGACAATGAGCGAGCTATTGTGCAGCACATCGGGAAGACAATGAGAGGATTGCTGAGTGGCCTCAACAGAGGTATATGCGAGGCTTCAACGAAATTAGTCTATTGTTCAGACTGGCGATCGGGCCTAGCCAAAAACAAGGGAATGTGTTCGACCTTGCATAGTCCGAACATAGGGCAAGGTAGCCTCGCTGGCTGAAGCCACGAATTCGTTATGAGAAAGCGCTCCAGTGTCAATGCGGCCGTCTCACCGCATTAGGATCACGTTGTCAATGAAGCACGACATTGGTTAGGGTGAATCGGGGCTAATATTAGGAATGTAGCGAGACAATGAGATGGAGAAGAAGTGAGAAGTTCGTTGCTCATGGGTACTGTAGCTCGCTCGACGACATCTTTGTGCTCTTTTGAGCCCGGGCCGGGCTAGACGGACCGTACTGGTCAGCTGCAGAATGCAAAGCGGAAACCCCGCAAACATATGCCAAGCCAAGCATTTGCAGTACGCCAGGCATCTGTGGATCTGGAATTTCTTTCAGGTGCACACCGCAGATCGCTGAGGGTCAGAGGACAGAGGCGCGGAACACTGCGGCATGGAGACGGGGGAAAGGGAATGCTACAGGAAATGATGAGGGAGGGCCCCTTAAAGCGCACAGGACCCCGGATTCTGGCTGTCCATTTCCGTGGTGCTGTCAAGATGCCCAGCCGATTCGCGTGCTTTGGATAGTCTGACATAGTCTGACCAGGCGAGGGGTACGTTGTACCGGATCCCCGGTACGCTTCGATGGGACTCGGGCAGCGGCCGTCCGTTTCGATGGACTGGCGGGATTCGAACGATTCAGACACCTGGCATCGACCAAGGCACGGCGCGTTGACTCCCCCAACCTTGTGCGCATCGAAATTTTGCGTGACAGGGAGCGGTGGTGCACTCCACGCTTCTCTGCGCATGAATGAAGGTGAAATAGCCGAGGCATGTCGACAGCGCCTTCGGCTAAAGTGCTCGAGTGTATCTGACACGCCGCACCCTCCGATTCGCCGTTGCCGACACCGCCCACTTGGACACACCAAACACCCAGTTCTCGTGCGAGGCGACACTCCCCGAATCCGCCTTGTAGCATCAGGAAATCTGGCATAGCGGGTCTTTACATGCGCGGAATAAAGAATCTCAGCAGATCTGCCTGAAAGTTGATGACGCCAGTCTTCCGAAAGACGTCGTGGCGCCGCATCACCCCATCTGCCTCGGCTCGACTTGAAGCAGCCGCGTCCGCAAAGGCTCTGTTGTGCACTCGTGGCATCCAGGCGATAAGTTCGCAGCACCTGCTTGTGGAGACAGACCCCGTGCATTCATCTACAGGCAATCAGAGTTTCAGCGCCACATAGCTCGGAGCACTCTTTTGTGCTGTGCTGAATCGAACGTTTCGAGCACAACAGAATACCGGACCTGAAAGGCAGCGAGATCCTTAACCGGGCTTTCTTTTTCTCCACCCGACCGACCTTCGCTAGGGGGCTAAACTTCTACACCAGGCGGGGTTGTACCGCAGGATCGGAAAGCATGAAGGCAGGAAGCGTAGGCAGAAGCTTCCTTTCAAGCTTGCAGAATGCACGACGTTGTCCAGCTCGGAACGCGGACATTGCGTCAAAGGGTCTATCGCAATCTATGGACCTTCATGCCCTTAGTAGCAGTGAAAACAGGCTCCCCATTCAGTACAGCACAATCGGCTGACATAGACCTGCTTTCTACTTCCAATGACTACGTCGTTGACTATTGGTACCGAGCAGCCATGCCTCCTGTTGGTCACTTTTGCGGACGGCTCCGCAAGACAGCCGACAATTCAAGTAGGATGGACCCGGGGTACCTTGTGCTTGGTGTAGAGGTGCACGTCCTTCGAGTACGTTTGGACCCCACAAGCTAAGTGTTCGCGCCGGTATACTGCTCACTGGTCCACCATCATCTCCTCACGAAAGTATCATCCAGACAATTTGTCCGACCACCTCTGCTTCACACCATACCTCAGTCTGCTAGTTTGCTTGACTTCGGCCATCATCAAGAGCGACATGAAAGGCGGTAGACTTACACTCGTCATATGGCTCTGTCAGCTCGGGGTGATGGTCCCAACAGCCCTTGCGGTGCAGTCTGCCAATTCAGTCGCCACAGTCGGCACAGCAAACGCATGGCCTTTGACACCGCCGACTTTTGACACATCGTTGCCGCGACGTGCGCTGATCAACGGCCCACTAGTTGTGTTGGGCAACTACCAGAACGGCAACGATAATCAGAACGGCGATTCCAATCAGCAAACGAGTAACTCAAACACCAACCTGACGGGGAACGGCAGCTCGGTCATCTCGAATGCCAACGGTGCTACGACGGACATGAGCCACTCGAATAATCAACAGCTCAATCAGGGGCAGCAGGATCAGCGCAGCTCGCATCGGGAAACACAGGCCCCGCTCCGTAACCTCACAGGGGAACAAGACTCGCAGCCTCAGGCAGTGGAAGAGACGCCTGCTGTGCCTGCAGCGAGGCCGTTGCCACCTCCATCGCCTCAACAACAGCAGCCTGCAACCCCTTTTGGCCCGGAGCCAGTCCGAGCTGGAACACAGCCTCAGCTTGATGTTTCACAATCGCAGGCCAGCAACCAGCAAAACACCCAAAATGCAGAGCAGGTCTCGGAAGCAGGCGCGCCTCAGCAACAAAGTATGCAGCAGACGAACACTCGGGAGAGTACACAAAACACCATGGCTCGCCCCGCTCCTGCCAATGGAATTGCGCCTACAGCGAAGCAGCACAGCAGCGTGCCAAGCAACGAGCAACAAGTCGATCAGAAGGAGCAGCAACGACGACCGCGACCGGGCTCGCTGCCATTGGCCCCAGCAATCTCGACGGCCCCTCAAGTCATTCAGGGTGTGCTGCCGAACGGCCTCGCCGAGGCTGGCCCTTTGCCGGTGAATGTGCGCAAGCCACTTCGTTTGGTGAAAACACGCCGTTCTCAGAAGGCTTGATTTTACAAAGCCAATTTTTTTCCTTTTTTTTTGCGTACATTTTCGAGAAAGTTTCGTTTTTGAATGCTCCTGATTATTCGCTCCTAGGAAACGGAAGCGTTGAGCGGTTTGTACCATCTTCGTGGTCGCAGCGCCACGTGCAAGCTACACCAGATCGATCTGATGAGCGAGCTGCCTACCCCTGTACGTGAAGAGCGCAGCACGGTCGGACTGCTACTTCCGAGCACAGACTAAAGAAGCGAGTCGAGGAGGCTCAGTCCCCGTCTCCCACGTCCATCTGCATCGACGAGACACCTGAACGCATGTACTGCGGCTCTTTAGATGTCATCCAATGTCATCGGTCAAGAGTTCCGCACGCTTCTTTTGGCAACGTACTCGTCATCCATCAGGCCTGCCTGCTGTTCGATCAATCAATCGGAACGCTTGTGCAACGTCCACGCAGCGTGCAAGTCAGTCCGGGAAAATGTAGCGATGAAAGCTTCAACATAGCCCATCATGTTGCCGTGGACGTTGTCTGACGATGTATCGCACGAGCTATACGATGCTTGACGGGTATCACCTGGTCTCCGGTTCGGCCAGCACCGTGCGGTCCTGGATTTTACGGTGCAGATACTGTTCCGGGCTCACCGGGCCGGGCCGCCTGTCATTTTCGATGTGCCGGTGATTTTGGGTGCTACCTGCAGCCGGAAATCTGGGTTTCCGGGAACAAACAATAGGGCACCCGTACCGTTGGAATGTGTGCTACACAGGAGCTGGAAAGGAATCACTGTCATCACTTGGCCTTCTCCTCTACAGATTCAGTCAGGCCCACCACCTGACACCCTTTCAGGCGCGAAGAGTAGCTTCTAGCTCGCATTCCTCCGTCCTTCGCTTTCCTCGCAGTTCCATTGTTCCATTTCTCATTGTTATCTCGCCCCATCCTTTCGATGGTGCCACTCACTCATTCCTGTAGCAATGTCCGCGTCTGATCGGCATCGAGGACAATGGAAAACCTTCGGACTAGGTGATGGAGCTCAGACGCGCCAAGAAGGCTGTCTGGAACGGAAGCCATCATCAGACCATGTATCGTCTTTCGTTTCTTGACGTTGAACTGTCGCCTGCAATTTGATGCATGCGTGAAGGCCTCTCTACGAGTCTGTCTTCTCTCTGCCATCTCTGGCTGAAGCCACGAAACACAGTGTTTAAAGAGACATATCAGGACTCCCTGGGTATCCTTTGCCGTGTGGAACACACTAGTGTGTCTAGAATCGCCGGAGACATGAATGGAGCTTCTGAATCTTCTTTGGTAGTTCAAAGTGACGTGATCCATGCGTCCGTTGAGCTCCACACAGTACCAGCGCGGTTACAGAGTCTTCGAAGACCTTTCGATGATCACCCGAAGTCAACAAGCCGGGGCAGGACTATGAGCTTCGGCGGAGCCTTTCCTTGCCCAATGCATCATGCCCGTTGGCGAACTTCAAACGCGATGATGTACAAATCTCGAAGAGACTGCCCGCCGGGAATCAGAGCTGCGATTGGATCGATCCTGAGAGACCATATCAACACCTTCCTCCCCTTCCATTCCTAGTCCACTTTGTCTCCGAGATTCTTCACCTTGCGATTTCTCCATTTCCCAGCCATCACCATCTCAGCCAAGCTTGAACACGACGACCAAAACGAGAGGATGAAGTCCACCACTTTCAGCAGCCTGGCGGTGCTCTTCGTTGCAGCTCTGTTTACAAGGTCTGTTGCTTTGCCGCTCATCGGCGGCTCCCAGCTCGGATCGGCAACTGGATCCGCTGGCACGGCTCAGTCGGTGCAGAACAACGACTACTCGCATGTCTCGCCAGGCAACCAGGTTCAAAACGGCGGCTCACAAACAGCTGACCTGCAGGGAGTGGCGGGTAATATCTTCCAGAGCTCCGGCCCGCTCGGTCTCCTTCACTAGATTCTGCCTTCTCTGCGATCTATTCGCCACGAGAGAAGGCAGTGTATCTCTCTCCGGGTCTGGACAGCTAGAGAAACAGTTACGTCAAGCGTTTCACCGACGGTCCACGAAGCTTCGCCCCTCCAAGACAGACCGTTTTGCGTGACGTCTGAATCTACCGCGCTCAGAGGATTGCTTGTCATGGGTTCGGCATTGATATTCGACTTCAGCCGGTCAAAGCTACATGATCACGGTGCACGCCGCTCCCACGAGGCGGAGGATCGGCCAAGAGCTTGCAAGGTCTGCTGCGAGGGCCGCAATCTCATTTGGTTTTTCGTCTTGCTCCTTGCACGTCGCGTTTGCCGCAGATGTTTGGTTCGAGACGGCTCTAGATGCTTGGCTCGAAATCAGCGGTGCGCGCTATCCTGAGCGGATGGTTCGTGCGCCTCGAAAGCCGCTATCGCGTTCGCGACACGCTGTCTGGGTCATCGTAGTTTGCGCGTTTGACGAGCGGCGTACCTGATGCATAAATGCCTGTCCAGCTGCCTAGGCAGAAGGCGATGGCGCCGACGCGCCACGCTCCCGCATAGCCCCTGACACCAAGCCGACTAATGGCACTGCTCGCGTACGAAGCGACGATGATGGATGTGACGACGTACACGCCAGTTGCGGTGACCTCTAGTGTGCGCGGAGCTGACGACATGGCGCCCAGAAATTTGGGCGGTGGAAGCACGACCATCTCGCCGCGTTGCAGCGCAAGTCCTCCAAGGTCAGTCTAGAGTGTGTTTACGACTGGCCAGAGGGCCAATGAGGGGCGGCTTGAGACGTCGAGATCAGCTGTGCTTAGGTAGAGATCAGCTACAAGCAGGTGACGGCACCGCAATGGGGGTTCAGCGAGCAACCACACGTCCAAGCAGGCGTGGTGATGGTCAACTTGCTAAGCCAGCACTCGACGCCCAATGAGGCATCTGGAATCGGTCGAACATGCAAGGCGTGTCGGCCGAAAGTAGGGTAATGTAAGAGGCCCACTGACAACTTGCGGCTGTGACAATGATACAGTGCATGTGCCACAAAACGAAATGAAGCCCGCCACCTTGCATTGCACGGTGTTACGATGTAGGTGGCGGATGTCGCCAAGTCCGAATCAGCCCACCGATCGGCACAGGCCCGGGTAGGTGCGTGCTTGGCTCCTCTCGGCATGGGTCTGTCGCAAGCGATGGACGAGCTTTTTGCTTTGCTTGTACAGCATCCCATCGTCACGCATGCATCGGTCCGGGCCGATCCTCATCGCGCATCTGCAGGTCGTCTCCCTTTGCAAATTCCATTGGACCTCCAACGAGGCTCGCGAATGCAGTCGCAGTCAAAATCCAATCGGGAAGAAAAAAGACGCGGGCCCCCAGGCTCGGGGTCCAAAGACGCCGTGGTCGAAATTCCCTTTTTTGGTAATCTTGTCAATCGCCTCCTCTCGGACCTCTTTGAGATGGCGGGCAGCTCACGGCGTTGATGTCAGCCCGTAAGAGAGGTGGCCAGAGGCGCAAAGATCCAGAGTCGACTGCGACGCAGACCATCACCATCTGAAGACCACCTTCAAGATCTCTTTGCTTTACCACTGATCTTGTGAAGGACTCACGGCCATGTCAGACCGATACAACGTCGTGATCATTGGGGCCGGCGAGATCAACTTTGGTGAGTGTCTGGCTTCGTGATGTCGAGCGTCACCTTCTGACAAGCGGTGAGGTCAAGATGGCTGAACCGCGTCACTCCAATGCCTTTCCAATGATGCGCGTCAGGATCGCCGGAGGGACCGTGGAATCATACGGCTAGACTGGAGCAGATCTTCAAGAGTACTCCTGTCAAGCTCCACGTCCTAGGCCTCGTCGATCCCAACCTGGCCCGGGCTGCCGAACGGATTCGGGGGAAAGCTGACTCGTCAGATGATCAAGTACGGTCTTCGTGGAGCAAGGCAGAAGCGTGGAGTACGATCTCTGAAGCCGCTTCTAGCCTTGCCGCCAACCAAGAACAAAGGGTGGACCTCGTCATTCTTGGCTGCCCGCCTCACTTTCGGGGTACCTTGCAGGCCGGTAAGAGGGCCGACCTGGAGATGCTTGATCACTTCCCACAAGCAAGAGCATACTTGGTGGAAAAGCCGGTTGCTGCGGTAAATCCATTCTCTACCGCCGACTGCGACGAGGTTGCATCTCGTTTCGCCGCCTCTTCAGGTGCAACAAGTGTCGGGTACATGTTGAGGTACAACAAGGCCATTCTACGCATTCGCGAGATGCTGGGTGCCAACGGCTTGACGCCTACGTGCATCAATGCCAGGTACTTTATGGCCTACGAGTACGCCCGAAAACTGGACTGGTGGAACAAGTCACGATCATGTGGCCCGGTGGTAGAACAAGCCACGCATTTCATCGACCTGATCCGCTTCTTGGCGGGCGATGCTAATGAAGCTTTACTCGAGACTGTCAGAGCCACAACTGTTCAGCATTTCGAACCGGTCGGCGCTCTCTCTAAGCTGGGCTTTGACGAGTCGGGGATTCCTCCAGCCGAAAGAGTGCCGCGAGTCACAAGCGCATTCTGGAAACATCAAAAGGTTAGTAGAGAACCCTGTAGATGGCGAAGACTATTAGAATCTCGTTGAACGCCGGACAGCGGACCCGAATGACTCCCCGAGTAGAGAAGAAGATGTTGACCCACCCGGCGTATCCTTTCCGTACCGACAGGGCACGATCGGGTCTTTGACGCACGGCATCACCTTGCATGGTAAGTTCTTGTCCTTCCTCGTCCGAGGCCGGCAAACCTTCGCTGCCTGTCGTAGACCGGACGTCAGTACTGACGACGACGTACTTTCATGTGCATTGTCGAGCGAGCAGGAGGAACATACGATACAGAGATCGAGGTGCTTGCTGATGGCTGGATCTTTCGCGTACGGAACGCTTACGACGCCACGACCACGCTGGCGATCCGAAGTCCCGGGAAAACAGAAGAGGAGATCATCAAGATTGAAGATGATCCTTTCCTCACCGAGTTCGAATGTCTCGTAGGATGCAGTCTCGAAGGGGCCGAGTCTCTTATGTCGTCGGAAGGTGTTCCGTCGAGCCCGCTCAGTACCTTTGCTGATGCGCTCGAGACATACAAGCTCTCATGGAAGATCCGACTGGCGGCCGAGGCAGCTTCTACGTGATGTACTGGAGCGGATTCCCTCCTCCTGGCGCTTCAGCCATCCTCAGTAACGCATCGATCTTTCTGACTATGTCCGGATGAACATTTGGGCTTCGCTCCTCTCGTAGTCGGAAGAGCGATCTGCGCAAGCTAATCGGATCAGCAGAAGCTTGGATTGGATTCTCGTTCGTTGCACTCGCTTGCATGTACAAGGCTGGCCTTTCTTTTGTGATCGCGCAATCAAAGGATGACACAATCAAGGAAGCGTGTAGCCTCCGTCGATCAGGGTATCGCTACCCGTCTGATAAGAAGAGGCGTCGCTGGCAAGATAGAGGAATAGGCCCTTGATCTCCTTGACATGGCCTTGCCTTCCGAGCGCTGACATGCGATAGGCCTCGTTGATGCAGCGGGGGCTTGCTCCGAGCTTTGTGTCAAAAAAGCCGGGGCTGACAATGTTCACTCGGGCAAACTCCCTCCACTCCCTGGCAAGCGACTTGCCCATATGGGTGACTGCAGCCTTGGTGGAGTTGTAGACGGGCTGGTCCACTGGGACGTTGACGATATGAGCCGACATGCTCGAGGTGATGATGAGGTTGCCCTTGCCCTGACGCTTGAAGACCTCGCCGACGTACTTGGCGCAGTAGAAGACGCCATCGACGTTGACCTCCATCTGTCGCTTGTATTCCTCGACGGTCTGCTCAAGGATCGGCTTGGAGATGGCCATTCCGGCGTTTGCGACAAAGACATCGATGCGGCCAAAGTCAGCAACGACCTTGTCGATGCAAGCACGGACGTGGTCGACTTGGGAGACCTCGCATTGGTAGGCCTTGGCTTGGATCGAGTGGGTCTTGGCGAGTTGCTCGGCCTTCTGGATGGCAACGTCGTTCGAATTGTACCAGAGGGCGACGTCTGCACCTGCCTCGGCAACGGCTTCGACTGCAGCGTACCCAAGACCATCGCTGGCGCCGGTGACGACGACGACTTTGCCCTTCATGCTCAACTGTTCGAGCACGTTGGTCGGCGTGTCAGGCACGGGCCTCGGCTGGCGCACAGCAGCGCAGTCTTCGATGGTCATCGACATCTTGGCAGAAGCAGAAAATGGGCTGGCAGAGAGGAGACAGTGTTCACACGTCAGGCAGGGTGTATGGTGGTCGGGAGCTCAGAACGGTCTCCCGACCGGGCGAGGATGACTTGCGCTTGTCAGCACGCACGCCCTTGCCAGGAAGACCAGTCAGGCATCGATGCTAGATTGCCGACGCTCCGCCAAATGAGGCCGTGCGGGGGAGGACAATATTTCCTTTTTGGGCAAGTTGCATCGCAGCTGCGGGCGTCGGTGATTTCGAGGTGCATTTCGCCGAGATGAGCAACGGCAGTGATTTCAACGGCTGTCCCCGATGCCCTGGAATGGCCGATATTATGGTCCCCGATCCTGTTGGACGTCTTGTGCGGGAGCCGTGATTCGCGCAGCAGCGTGTCGGACTCCCGAGCGCAAACCCGACGATGCATCATCGACCACTACCATTGCTTCCGCAGCCAACTCGGTCGAACGGAGACGATGTCCCGCCCGGGAGCGCAGCAAGAAGGCGTGCGGCTTATTCGTGCAGAGGGTTAGGTTGGGATTGTCTCACTTTCGACATGCCCAGCAGCAATTCAACCAATTCCACCTCGTCCAAGAAGCGGAGGACGACTCGGAAGACGTGCGCGCCATGCAAGGCCAAAACCCGCACATGCTCAGCATCGCTGCCTTGCCAAGAATGCGTGGCAGCCGGTGAGGCAACTAGCTGTCACTATCGAGGTGGACTGCAACTGAACGCCTTGAAGCGTCCCAATGATGCACGTGAACCCGGCTCGAGTAGAGGTTTGAAGGCGACTCGCCTCATCGCTCCTTCTCCATCGCCGACGCAATATCCGACGACTCCTGCGAGCGTTCAAGCCTCTTCGCGGCTACTGCGAGTGCAAGATCGTTCCGACGATCCATGGCCACAAAACGGCGTGACCGGCTTGTCTAGCTCGGAGCCGACACCAGGTGGCTGGGAGGCTCTTCAACAGACCGCCGAACCTGGCCACCTGTCCAGGCCCAGTCCCCTCGACACCCTCGCTCGAATCGCACAGGAAGCTGCATCCCAGAAGTTGCGGAGCACCGAAAGCCTGGCACCACAGTCGAGCGATACGAGCCCTTCCGAAAGAGGCTACGGATCAACAAACACTTCTCCTGCTTGCCTGCGCACATCAGACCTAGTCGAGAAAACGGCGAGCGACGATCCCGGTGCTCGAGAGCAGTCAACTCCTGTCGTTCTTCCCTTCTTTCGATACTTTGGCAACACGGCAATAGCTCCGGGGCCGCGGTGCGTCGAGGTAGAGGTGAGAGACGAGCAGACGACTCTGATGAATCATCATCACGTCTCGATTTCAGACACGAGCCGGAGCGGACCTCTAGAACCGCTGAGGGAGCACATGGCTCCAGTGTCGAGAGAAACAGCGACGCAAAAAGCCAGCTCGGAGCCTTGCACGGGTCTCTTCGACGATACGAATCCATCGCTGCCGTCCAGAACCATCTTGGCACGCCTGATTCGCGTCTTCTTCCTCACCATGTCCTGTCATCTCCCCTTCCTGTCGGAGGAGAGAATTATGACCGAGCTAGAGCAAGGCCAGCTCGAACCGCTAGAGGCGAACTGCATCGCGGCTCTCGCCTGCCGCTTCGGCAGTGGCCTGGGATCGAACTCGCAGCCGCTGGGAGCTGGGCTAGAGACGGCTGAAGCTAATTGGCACGCTGCGTCAAATCGCGAGGCCACTCCGAATGTGGCTAGGTATATATGGGCAGAGCCCTTCGCGGAAAAGGCCAAGGAGCTGATCTATCCGATGTTTGCACTGCCATCGCTCAAGGTGTGCCAAGCGTTGGTGATGATCACGTGGATCGAGTGGGGCAGCGACCGCGATTCGAGCGCGTGGCTTTGGAGTGGTTTGGCCATCCGGATGAGCCAAGACATGGGGCTTTCGTACTGGGACTCGCTCGAATCGATCTCGGACGGCGAGACGCGACGAGTGCACCGGCTGACCTTCTGGGCCGTCTACTTTTTGGATCGCGTCATCTCGTACGGAGCCGGACGGAGGGTGACGATCGCGCGAGCCGATATCGAGATTGATCCCCCCACGAGCGCAGAGTGCCATGGCTGCCGTCGTGATCCTGCGAGGAGGGATGTGAGCCACCCTTGGCCGCATCTCATTCGGCTGCTTGGCCATCGAGGTGACATTAGCGACCAGCTCAACAGCCGGTCGGCTTCGAAGCCGGCTGATCGGGTGGGAGGCGGGAAGGAAGCGCTGTACGACTTTTTCCGCTCGCTGCCGATGGACGTGCGATTCAACGTGTCGAATCTGCGCAGCCATTCGCTCAACGACGCGGCACCGGTGCTGGTGATGATGCACTGTCTCTTCCACTCGCTCGTGTGCGTCTTGCATCGACCAAGCCTGGTGCAGACGAAAGGCGACTGGGCCAAAGGCAGGGAGTTTGCCGAGGCATTTCGGTCAGACGCATCGCGCTTTCCGGCGGAGTGTGCGTCGTCGGCGCGCTCGATCAGCGACATGCTTTCGTTTTCAGGCCTGGTGGATGAGCGGACGATCGTGTGTAACCCATACATGGATCACGCCATGTTTATCGGGGCTATCGCGTTGGTCGACGAGCTGCAGCAAGTGATGCAGGTGAACGGGCGGCAAAGTCAAGCAGAGGCGGATGCAAGCGCCACTGGATGCGTTGCTAGCGACGAACTTAAGGCTCGTTTTGCCGAGGAGACGCTGAGGGAGAAGATTGTGGTGATGCGGGATGCATTGGAGACGCTATCGCGGTTCTGGGGGGGGATCCGATGGGTGTGCGGATGGCTGGAGGAACGAAGCCAAGCCGTGCAGCCGCGTGGCGAGGCGGAGGCGAGCGACAGCAAAGCGACGTATCAAGCGGCTCCGACCAAGGTCAAGGCGGATATGATGCGCTTCCTAGCGCGGCTGCGTGCAGCCCAACGAAAGGCGCCACTGGAGGATCCTGCCTCGGATTCGGCGGGTGCTGCCGAGCGCGCATGTGTTCCGACTGCGATCGGCTCGCCGCGGAGCAGGCTCGACAGGGTGATGTTGACGGATGCAGCTAAGTCGGCCCAAATCGGCGAGGCAGGCGATGCAGACGAGGCCGGAGAAGCATGCGACGCTGGCGATGCGTTGCGCGCAGCGACGGCACCAGTTGGCGTGGCGCAGTTGGGCGCGAGACAACAGGCTAGTGGCGACGCGTGGGACTCGCTTGAAGCAATACTGGGCGAGCAGGGGCTGGTGCTTGACGGGATCTTTGATTTCGAGACGCCTTGGGACGAGCTGGGCGACATGAGCGGGATGCTTCATTGCGGCTAAACCAACGAGCTTGCTGCGCTTGAAACGGGCGGGTATGCACCTGGCTATAGCACGTGAGCCCTGGCGAAAACGAAAACCTCCCCGCTGCGCGCCACGGAGATTCGGACGTCGGCCACCAAGCAAGCCCAGAATTGCGTTGGTCCGACTGGAGCAAATTGACCGGCCCGTTTTCCCAGCCACCGAGACGGAGAGGAAGGATCAATCGCACAGTCGCGTAGCTGCCACAGTGGTGTGACTGGTATGCTGCCAAGACTCGGTATTGCGAGGAACAGGATGCCTGCATAACCGAGTCGGTATCGCCGCGCGGAAGCGTGCAGGTGTACCAGTGCCCTTTGCGGTGGCTATCGCCGGACACGCGTTCGATTGTTTGTCGCGATGGTCGTATCGTATCGTCGTACCTGCGAGAGTCCACCAACGCTAGTGCCGTGAATGTAACGACCAACAAAGCGGTGAAAAAGGTTTGGTCGATCAGGCACGCCCTCTGACATCATGCACGGAAAATCGACGGATTAACTCGACTTGCAGCGCAGGAGCAACACGCACAGAGGCCGAGGCGAGCTTGGAACGGCATGTCGGAATATCGAGCGGCGTACGGTGGATAGCCATTTGGGCGGCTGACGCAGGCAAACTATGGCACCGAGGGATTTGACCTCGAAAATCCATGACTCGCCGGCACGTCGACCTCCACGGAGAAAACAAGGCGCTGGCGTTTTGCTTTGCCGACGCCTCCGCCAGCATCCGGGACATTTGGGTTCGGGGCATTTGTTTTTGACTCGAAACGCCTGACTCGTCGGCTTGGCGATAGGCTGCCAGATCTCGGCCAAGTCGCCGCATTCGCCGCAGCACAACAGCGTGGACGCCTCCACAGTGGTATAGAGCCTCCACACTCCACTTTGCCATTCCAAAGCAGACGTTTATTTTTTTCCATTTTCTGATTGCCGACACGCTGCTGCGTTTGTACACCCGAACACCGATCGGAGTTACGAGGCGCATCTGCCGCTTGTTCTTCCCATCCAAAAATTTCTTTTGCCGCTGTGCACAGGCATGGCGACATATATGACATCAGAAGGCGGCTAAGAGATCGGCTCTGACGGGTCCACTTAACAGGCCCTCTCGGACCCACCATCTTCCGTGACTACCACCGTCCCTCCGTCGACGCCACCTGATCCACTCCGCTTACATCCATTTTCGCGCAAGCGGTCCACATCGCCAATCCATCACTCTTGCCCAACACCGTATCGTACTTGACATCTGCGGCCGCCATCCAACCAAACACACCGGCCATAGCGCCGCACGACACCTCGGCCGACACCTCTGGCGCTCCTGCACTCGACATGCGCCAGACAGCTACTTCTGTCGCCGACTCGCAGCCTCTGGCCCGCGTCACCAGCACCGGCACCTGGGGCGAGCCGGAGCGAGGCGAGCACGTCAACGTCGACCAGGCCCTCCAAGACTTCCAGCTCGCCAGGCAATCTTCACGCCAATCCGCTACTGCTGCCACCCCACAGTCACCCTCGAGCGGTCTCCGCGGTAGCTCGGCCATCGCACGCGCACTCAGTGGCGGTGATCGCTCCAAGCAGCCAGAAAAGATCAACGAAAACGAAATCGACCTCGAGGCTGCTTCCGATGGACACGCGTATCAGAACGATTTTGACCTTGGCAAATGGATGTTGACACGTAGCGCGCAGGCCAAGGAGGAGGGCATCGATAACGGAAAGCCCGTCGGCGTTCTCTGGAAGGACCTCTCCATCACCGCTCCAGGCTCAGGCGGCGGCGGCGTCTTTGTAAAGACTCTGCCCGTTGCTATCGCCAATACTGCCTGGAGAGATCCCATCGGTGTCCTCACCACCATTTGCCCTCCTCTTGCAAAGGTCTTTGCGCCTCGCAGCATACCCACCACCAACTTGCTCCACAGCACCAGCGGCATTCTCAAGCCAGGCGAGATGCTGCTCGTGCTAGGCCGTCCAGGTTCAGGTTGCTCCACCGTCCTGCGCGCCATCACCTCCAAGAACCACTCCAACGTCAGCACCTCGGGCAAAATCCTTTACGGCGGCTTCTCGCCAGAAGAGATCAATCGCAAGTACCGAGGTGAGGTCGTCTTTGTCGACGAGGAAGACACCCACTTCCCCACGCTCACCGTCGGTCAGACCCTCGAATTCGCCCTCAAAAACAAGGTCCCGCACCGCTCAAGGCGGCTACAGGGCGAATCCCGCCAGCAATTCATCGAGACTTGCATCGAGGTCATGCTCAAGATGTTCGGCATGTCCCACGTCCGCGACACGATCGTCGGTGACCAGGCCATTCGAGGTGTTTCCGGAGGCGAGCGCAAGCGAACCACAATCTCCGAGGCGCTTGCCACTCGCGCAAGCGTCATCGCCTGGGACAACTCCACCCGAGGCCTCGACGCATCCACCGCACTCGACTACGCTCGTTCCTTGCGCATCATCACCGACCTCGCCCAGCGTTCCACCATCGCAACCCTCTACCAAGTGTCCGAGAGCATCTACGACCTCTTCGACCGCGTCGCCGTCATCGACCAAGGCAGATGCATCTACTATGGTCCTCGTAAGCTCGCACGCTCCTACTTCTACGAGCTCGGCTACGACACACCTGATCGACAGACCACCGCCGACTTTGTCACTGCGCTCACCGACACCAACCAGGTCTCCTTCCGACCGGGCATGGAGCAGCGTGCACCCAAGACGGCAGAGGACCGAGAGCGGGTTTGGAGGCAAAGCGAGCTCTATCGCCAGATCGAGACCGAGATGGCGTCTTACGAGGACCACCTCGCCCACGCCGAGCAGGCCGAGCAACTCAAGCAGACAGTGCGCTCCGAAAAGCGCAAGGGTGTCAACAAAGGCTCTAGCTACACGGTCAGCTTTTGGGATCAGATCGTCAGCTGCATCTGGCGCCAGCTCCTCGTCAAGTGGGGTGCACGCGGCGACCTTTATGTCAAGCTGTTCACCATCATCTCGGTCTCCTTCATGATCTCTTCGCTTTTCTACAACCAGTCCTACGATTCGCAAGGCGTCTTCACACGCGGTGGTATCCTCCTCTTCGCCTGTCTCTTCAACGGTTGGCTCCAGCTCTCCGAGTCCTTCGAGGCCGTGGCCGGTCGACCTATGCTCAGCAGACATCGCCAATTCGCCTTCTACCGCCCCTCCGCAGTGGTTCTGGCACGTGCCCTCGTCGACATCCCCTTCTTGCTCATCCAGTGCTTCCTCTCCTCCATCATCATCTACTTCCTCGCGAACCTGAGGAGGGACGCTGGCGCCTTCTGGATCTTCTACGTCTACTGCTTCCTCTCGTCGTACAGCTTGACCGCGCTCTACCGCATGTGTGCTGCCTTTTCCCCCGGCTTCAACGAGGCCATCCGATTTTCGGTACTCGCACTCAACGTCCTCATCATCTGGGTCGGCTACGTCCTTCGCAGGCCTCAGATGAACTGGCTCGTCTGGCTCAACTACGCTCAGCCCATCAGCTATGCCTTCGAGGGCTTCCTCGCCAACGAGCTCAACTACGACATCGAGTGCAACCCGGCGCAGATCGTCCCTTTCGGTCAGGTGCGCGATACGGCCTATCAGACCTGCTCGCTCACCGGTGGTGTTCCTGGTTCGATCGTCGTTCCGAGCGCAGACTACCTCTCGACCACTTTCGGCTACTCGAGGTCGCACATCGGCCGCAACATCGGTGTGGTGATCGCGTTCGCCGTGCTCTACCTGATTCCGACCATCATCGGTGCCGAGATCATGAACTTTGGCAGCGCTGGCGGTGGTGTTACCGTCTTTGCGCGCACAAAGGCCGCCAAGGCAAAGCTTGCCGCGTCCAAGCCCGCCAAGACCGATGACGTCGAGGAGAAGGCCGCCGTTTCGGCAGACCACCCGTCTCATGCAACCGACTCGAACGGCAGCATCACACGGGCCAACTCGCCTGCTGCTCCTGGAGACAAGGAAGCCAGTGCTAAATCGGCCGAGGAGCTCGACAAGAAAGCGATCTTCACCTGGAAGGACGTCTCGCTTCAGCTGCCCACTGGCCGCAAGCTTCTGGACGACATTACGGGTCACGTCAAGCCCGGCACCATCACCGCTCTGATGGGAGCATCGGGTGCCGGTAAGACGACGCTCTTGACTGCCCTCTCGCAACGCGGTGTCGCAGGCGCTCTTTCCGGTGACATCCTCGTTGATGGCAAGCCGCTCGGACCCGGATTCCAGAGGGGCACAGGCTTCGTGCTGCAGGGAGATATCCACCTCGCTTCCCAGACGGTCCGCGAGGCCATCGAATTTTCGGCTCTTCTGCGCCAGCCTGCTGAGATTTCGCGCGAGGTCAAGCTGGCAGACGCCCAACGTGCGATCGAGCTCCTCGAGCTCGAGGATCTGCAGGATGCGCTGATTGGAGTGCCTGGCTTCGGCCTGGGGGTGGAGCGCAGGAAGCGCGTGACGATCGCCGTCGAGCTGGCTGCCAAGCCCGACCTGCTTCTCTTCCTCGACGAGCCCACCTCTGGTCTGGACTCGGCAGGTGCTGCATCCATCATTCGCCTCATTCGACGTCTTGCCAGCGAGGGCCAGGCGATCCTTTGCACCATTCACCAGCCGAGCGCGCTTCTTTTCGAGTCTTTCGACAACCTCCTGCTCCTCCAGCCCGGAGGAAGGACGGCCTACTTTGGTCAGATTGGCAGCGAGCGAGCGCAGGGATCCGACAAGGTTCGAGAGTACTTTGAACGCAACGGTGCTCCTGCTTGCCCTCCTACTACCAATGTGGCCGAATACATGCTCGAGGTCGTTGCTCAAAAGTCCGAGAAGCCTTGGTCAGAACGTTGGAAGGCATCGCCCGAAGCTCGCGCCCTTCGCGCCGAGGTCGAGGCAATCAACTCGGAACGCGCCTCGCGCCCTGTCGTAGAAGACTCGCGATCGACGCGCGAGTACTCTGCGACGCTCAAGACGCAGATCGTGGAATGCACCAAGCGTCAATTCCGTGATCTGTGGAGGGACTCGGCATTCGCGTACGGCGTGCTCTTCTCCAACATTGTCACTGGATTCGCGGCGGGCGGTGGATTCGCACACCTCGGCAACTCGGTGACCGACCTGCAGTACCGCGTCTTCGTCGTCTTCCTTGTGATTCTCAACTTCCCTGCCACGGTCAACTCGATCATCTCCAAGTTCTGGGAGATGCGCATCACTTTCGTTGTGCGCGAGGGCCCGTCGAAGACCTACTCGTGGATTGCATTTATGACGGCGTTTGTGGCCGTCTCGCTTCCCATCGCGCTGGTCGCCTCGGTGCTCTTCTTCCTTCCCTCTTTCTTCCTGCCGTTCTACTCGCAAGCTTCGACGGTCGCAGGCATGTGGTACCTGATGATCTTCCTGGTCACTTGCTACGAGATGTTCTTCTCGCTGGCGCTGGCAGCGGCCTGCCCGACACCAGTGACGGCTGCCAATCTGCTGCCCTTCCTGCTGCCCTTTGTCGCCATTGTCAATGGCGTCATCAAGCCCAAGGCGACGCTTCCAGCGCCGTGGTCGGGTCTGATCTACGCCAATCCGCTGTACTGGTACGTTCGCTCGATGGTGGGCAACATTCTGCACGACCTGCCGGTGCGATGCCGCGAAGAAGATCTGGCCATCTTCAACCCACCTCCCGGCCAGACTTGTGGCCAGTACGCACTCGACTGGGTGCAGTCGGTGGGAGGACAGCTTCTCAATGCGGATGCCACCAGCAAGTGCTCCTTCTGCCAGTACCAGGTGGGTGACCAGTTTGCCGCCACGCTCGGAGCCACCTGGGACTTCCGTTGGAAGGGTGTGGGCATCGTAGCGGGCTACACCATCGGCCAGCTCTTCCTTGCCTACCTTGCTTACTGGTACTTTACCGAGAAGGGTTACGGCCTAGGTGGCGGCCTCGTCTCAGGTCTTGTCGGCAAGGTCAAGCGCTTCGGCAAGGGCCGCCAGTAAGATCAGTCGACCTTCCACTCTTTATTGCAATCATAGACTAGATTTGAATCGCATCGTCTTGTGCCAAGTGTTGTGTAGTTCTCGCCCCATGCGTGCTGATCACTCTGTGTCCATCCTCAGACCCCTTCTCAGATTCCGTACCATTCTCAATGCTTCGGGACTGACCCGCACGCGCACTTTGTAGCTTTGCAACTCGAACGTTATTACCTGCATGCGATTAGAGGGAGAGCTTCAACAGCAAGGAGATGGACACTTGACTGAAGATGTGGCGCTATATTGATAGCTCATGCGCTCTTAACTTGTTCAATGAGGCGTTCGAGAGCCGCTTTGGTGTCGACGTCGGTGTGCTCGGTGATGACGGTGACTCCGCGTTGTGCCTCGGCGTCGATCTGAGGCTGATCGAGGTAACCGACGTAGCCGGTGTTGGTTGCCTTTGTGAGATCATAGAAGGCAGAAGCTAGCTTGTCCGGCATGCCTGCCTTCTGGAAGGTGGGAAGCCACTGGTCTTCGGGGACCGGAACGGCGGTGACAGGCGTACCTGTGATCTCGGCGACGATCTGTGCAATCTCGGGAATAGTCTTGGGGGCAGTGACGAGCTGGGCGACGGTGATGTGGTTCTTGCCAGCAGCATCAGCTGCCGATGAGGGCGGAGCGACGAGATACTTGAGAGCCTTTTCGGCGATAGCGGAGGAGTCGATGAGTGCATAAGGCTTGTCGAAGGGGAGCAGCATGGAGGGAAGGATGTGGGGAGGGCTGATGGCGAGCGGGAGCACCGACTTGAAGTTGGAGAGGAAGTAGGGCGGGCGGAGCGCAATGGCTTCTACGCCGTCACGGAGGTCGGCGAGGAGGCCGGTCTCTGCGATGTGAACGTTGTTGATGGGGCCGGTGCCCGAGGTCTTTTCGGCACCGATGGACGAGAGGAAGACGATTCTCTTGAGCGTGGAGCTTGCGTTTGCGGCAGCGACGATGTTGTCGATGAAAGTCTTGGAGAGGGCAGCGGGATCTTGCTCGGTGTAAAAGGGAGGATTCATGATGTAGGCAGCGTCACTTCCGTCGAGAGCATCCTTGATGGAAGCGGGATCGGAGACGTTGAGCGAGGACTGAGCGATGGAGACGTTGGAGCCGCTAGCTTGGAGCTTGGCAGGCGAGCGGGCAGCAAGGCGCACGCGGATGTCCGGGTGCCTGTCCTGCAGAAGCTGGGCGAGGCGAGAAGCGCTTGCCGAGGAGGCAGGGAAGATGCTGATCTGGGCTGGGGTGGACATTGTGGTGGCAGATGCGGATGATGCTGGGAGGTGTGGGACGTCTGGCTGCAGAAGGCTTGGGAATGCGATGTGTGTGAGTGAAAATGATGACGATGAATGGTGCGGGCAGTCATCAAAGCAGACGACATATATAGGCAAGCCAGTCCAAGGGATGGCGCTGAGTTTCATAGATGCGCGTGTTGCAGAGCATGCTGTGTTTGACAAGCACGACCATCGTTCCTACGCGTTCACACAATCAACTTCACCAGCACGGACCGGACCAAGGAAGACACGCTCATACGCAGGCCGGCAGCCGTCGAAGGGCTGGCTCAGCCGAGTTGGTTCCAATGCGGAGACAAGCACCTGCGAGAGAGCTTGCGAATTAGTCCGCGGATGGCGCTGATTGACGCTTCCTCGTCGCGGGCAAGAAAGCCGAGGACGATGTGCGAGGGGAGTGGCCACGTGTGGAATGGACCGAATGCAACGGAGATTCGACGGGGTCTTTGAGGCCGATGACACCTTCTTTGCAGCAGACTGCAACACTGAAGGACCCTTATGTCCGTGGAGGCAACGATGGAATCGCCGATCGCAAATCCCGACGCGGATGGAGGCAACATCTCGATTGCGAATACTGTAACGCGCCCTCGTTCAGTTAACGCCGGCTGTAGAAGCGTGGAACCCTTGTTTTCCTCGGGCGCATGTCGCCATTCAGTGGAGCTTGTACTAACCCCGAAAGGCGATGCACAAAAGACCCGCACCCGCTGCTCGCCGCAGCCGAGCTTCTAGAAGCACAGTCAGCCCAATCTGGTCTTGCTTGCAAAACGGAGGTCGCCGACTGTCAGCGGTGGTTGGCATTTTGCTGAGCGCGAGCGTTACACCCGCGGATGCGCGTCTCCGTATAGCCGAGTTTTGTCTGACAACCGCGTCCTACTCGATGGGGGCCGTGCGCCGACCGGAACAACTTCTTTTCTTCCTCACACCTCGAAGCAATCCACGATCCTGCGCCATGCCCGTCGTTCACGTCGTGTCGTTCAAGTACAAGGATTCGGTCTCGCCGGAGCAGAGGCGCGAGCTGTACGACGACTTCAACACCTTCCGTACAGCCTGCCTCTACTCGGATGGCCAGCCCTACATCCTCGACTTCAAGAGCTCCACCCACAACACCTCGCCCGAGAACGCGGGCAAGGGCTTCCACCACATCTTCATCTCCACTTTCCCTTCGCAGGAGCACGTCCGATACTACCTCGAACATGATCCCGTCCATCTCGCCTTTGTAGTACGTCAATGGCCGTCTCCTCGTCCCTCCAATCAGTCACTGATTCCCTCCCCATTGCCTTTTTTTTGGTAGGACAAGGTCAAACCTACGCTGGCTGACGCCTTTATCTACGACTTTGAGATCTGATTGTGCACGCATCGTGCTGCGCAATGTCAACAGTTTCGAGCTAATAATACAGTATACCCCGTCCTTGTGCGCTTCGATACGTCAGGAACGAGCACGCGCCGAGCTGGACGACGAGACCGCACGTGTAGGTGCTTTGCCCGCCGTGGCGATCGGTGCTGCCGCTTCGCGCGTGTTGGTTGCGTTCGATAGCGGTCGTTTGACACTGCTCCCATGCACTCCTTCGCTGCGCCGCAACGAAGCCGCCGTCGGCCGCGTCACGGACGACGAAGAGGCCGACACGACCCGTCGCGAAGTGAGCGCTGGCGTCTTGTTCCCATTTGAGCTTGACACGGCACGCGATCTGCGCTGCTCCTCCAGCTCTTGCTTCTCGCGCGTCGACATTCGGCGTCGCGATGGCGCTGCTGCTGCTTCCACTACAGCCGGCTTCGATAATGTCGGCTGCGCAGTGGCAGCATCGTCAGCCTCGGCTCTCGGCCTCTTGGAGCTCCTCGGCGACGCTGCTTTCGACTCCGAGCTGCCGATGCTCACTCGACTAGACGTGCGTCGACCTGTGCTGCCCAACTCGTTCGCCTCCTCCTCCTCCTTGTCTGATTTGCGCTTACGTTCTTCAACGCGTCCGGACGTCTTTTCATCCTGTACTGCTGCGGGTGCTGTTGATTCGTCTGACGTGCCTTCACCCGACAGACGCGACGACCGTCGTGGTGCTGCTCGCGGCTTGCTCTTTGATGGCTCGGTCCACTTGCTTCCTCCAAAGATGGCCCCGAGCTCAGGATTGTTGCTGAGGCTCTCGCCGAAGCTGAGAGCCCCGCTCGCATCGTCAGTTCTCCTTTGCGCGTCTCCGTCTGAAGTGGCTTCCTCACTGGCAGCGTCCGTCGCAGAAATGGTGTCCGAGGCAGGTCCCATCTCGGCGTCCTCCGCCACCACAGAGAGGCTGCCTAGCTCTGAGCGTCGTTTGGCATCGCGTGCGTGAATCTCGGCCACTTCGCCGTCATCCAGGCGCCTGAGTGAAGTGAGAGGACCTGTCTTCTCGGGATCGTCTCGCTCGAATCTCGGTGCGGCAGGAGCAGCGAGCACGCGGTTGCGCTCGTTGCGGAGCTCTTGCGCTTCGGCTTCGAGGACGTTGCATCGCTGGGCCAGCTGCACTCGTGCTTCTTCGGCCGCCTGCAGCTCGATCCGGAGAGCGTCTGCTCGCTTTGTGATCTCTGCAGACTGTGTGGCTTGCACCTTGTCAGCCGGGCTCGAGGGCTGAGCTGCCTGGTCGAGCAGATTGCGCGCACGCTGTTCGGCTTCGGCGAGCTTGCGCACTTCCTTGTCCTTGCGCGCAGCATTTTGTTCGGCGACAGCGAGCTGTTTGACAAGCTGAGCAAGCTTCTTTTCCAGCTCCAACTTTTCGCGCTGCCAGTCGATGCGCTGCGAGGTTCCGCCTGCCAACGTGCCGCTTGTTGCGGCCGCAGCAGCCGACGCGAGCGAGCCGATGTGCACTGGTCCATTGGCCTTGTTCAGCGAGAGACGCGCGTCGTTACGCAGATCCTCATGGATGCCGTGCTCCAGTTGTGCGACCCACGCCTGCTCCTTGAGCTCGGCAGCGAATCGTTGGTTCGCCGTCGCTTGGTGAATGTTGCGTTCGGTTCGGAGGTCCAGAAGCGACTGCACATGTGTGCTGATGGCTGTCGAAGTGAGCTCGAGAGCGCGCAGAGCGGGATGCGGGGCTTTGCTCGAAGATGCGGAGACAAGCATGCCCGATGAGGTCGAGCGCAGGCTGTCGGTGGCCGGGAAGAGGTCTCTCTGGAAGAGAGGTCGATGTCCCTCGAGCCACGCGTCCGACGTAGAAGCCTTTCTGGACGAGTTGCTGTGGCTAATGAGGCTGCCTGAGGATGTGGAACGGGATCCAGCAGACCTTGGCGCCGATTCCGCGTCGCGCTTCTTGGCATCCTCTTGTTCGGCTTCGACCATATCGAGGAGCTCCTGGTCGGCGCGTCTGGCTGCGTTGATGGCATCGGTGGCAAGTCTCTTGAGCGCCTGGTTGTATTCTACGAGCGACGTGCGCTTCTGTTCGAGTTCCTGTACCTGCTGAGCATAGGCGCTCGCGGCGCTTGCTTTAGTGCTTGACGACGTGGGGAGATCGTCAAAGGCAGAGGCAACAATCTGGAAGTCGGGCACGGCCGATCGAATGGCCGAGCTGGTGACCTCGCCAATCCTCGCTCGCACACGCGCCACTGAGCGATCGTTGGCTGCCTTGTACTGCAGAGCGGATGCCTTGATCGCTTGCAGATCTCGACGCATGCGGGCCAGCGCGTCCTTGGTGGCCTTGTGTGCATTCTGCTCCGTCTCGAGCTGTGCAGAGACGTGGGTCAGTTTGGCTTTGGCCGCCTCCGCCTTGCGCTCAAAGTCGATGGCGCGCTCGGACTCCTCCTTGTGGAATCGCTTTGCACGTTCGAGCGAAGCGGTGAGCGTGCGATTCTTGGCGGTGAGGGCGGTGCGCACTTCAATGTCTTCCTCTCGCTGCGAGATCATGGCGTGGAGTGCGTCGGCAAGCACACCGACCGATTCTTCACGCATGCCCGACACATTGAGGGCTGATCGGAGGTAGCCACGAGAGATCAGGGTCGCATTGAGCTGTTCGAATGTGGGACGCCCCTTTTCAACGCCATCGATGGAGTCGTCCGCAGATAGGTCCGGCAGGTGGTCATAGCTGGGCGCTTTTGGTGCTGGCGCGAAGTCGCCGGCTGGAGTGGCCGAAGTTGGTACCATCGCTTCGGTGTGGGAGCTATGGCCGTTCGTGATGGATACCGCAAAGGAGCAAGAGGAGAAGATGGTGGCCGAGACTGTCGGACGCGTTCGGGGTGCGCTTTCGTTAGGGTGCGGCCGGTGCGCAGCGCTGGACGGTGCGGAGGTGCGGAAAAGAACAACACTCACACTCGCGACGCGTCTCGCCCTCGACATTCACAATTTTCCTGCCACAAGATTGCAGCCACGCTTCAAATTATTGTGGAGAGGTGGACTCACGTGATGCGGGTCTTGGGCGGCATTTTTGGCTGCGAAAGCTGCGCGGGCATCGGGCATCGGGGCCACTTTCGCGCAGCTCGACGCGACTCTCTGCGGTCCCAACACTTTGAGGCGCAGCTGACACCTCTCCTCCACGTCCTTCACCACACCACCACCATCGTCTTGCTCTGGTCTGCGCTGGCAACAACTTTCAACATGGCCAAGAAAGGTTACGCCGATATCTCGTATCCCGAGTCCGCATATGCCGACACGTACGACGAGCGTTCCATCGCCAGCTCCTCTGAGGGCGGCGGCTCAGCCATGCTCTCGCGCCGCGCGCCCTCGATCCAATCCACCGTCTCGAGGCGCAGGTTCGAAGAATACTCGGTCACAGAGCCCAGCATAAGTAGGTGGTCCTCGTCTTTGATCAGCTCAAGAAGCGCTTCGACTTGATGATGCTGATCCCTCTCCCCTTTTCCTGACTGCGCAGGCCATGTGGGTGCCAAACGCCGCTTCAAGCCAGGCACCGTGGCGCTGCGCGAGATTCGCAAGTACCAAAAGTCGACGGACCTGCTACTGCGCAAGCTGCCATTTGCGCGCCTGGTGCGCGAGATCGCCAACGACTTTGTCACGTCGTATGAACACGGCGAATACGGCTCGGGCCTCCGCTGGCAAAGCTCGGCCATCCTCGCACTCCAAGAAGCCACCGAGGCGTTCCTGGTTCACCTCTTCGAGGACGCGTAAGCTCATCCCGCCCGCTCGTCATCCATCGTCCGTCGCAAGTCACTGACATCTTTGCTCTGTTTATTGTTTTGCGCATGCCAGAAATCTCTGCGCTATTCACGGCAAGCGCGTCACCGTCATGAAGAAGGACTTCCAGCTGGCAAGGCGACTGCGCGGCAGATGGGATGGTCTCGGCGGTTACTAGTGTTCCCTTTCGCTCGTATCGCATGCAGTCTCGCTCTTTTGTTCAGCCCGATCTTCTGTGTAAAATTCATGTATTATATCCACCGCAGCCATCACTGCAATGCTTCAACGTGACGGTAGCATCGTACAGCCTACATGATCATTGTGTCTAGCCACGGCAGAAAGTCTTGACACGACAATCACCAGCCAAAGATGCCCTCGGTGATGCGGCCGAGCACGCTCGTGCTGCCGTTGGAGGCGCCTGCCTTTGAGTCAGCTGCGTTGGTGCTGCCTGCGGGTGCGGGCTTGGGAGCACCTGCAGCGCCCGACCCAAACAGAGACGAAGCTGCCTTGAACGGCGAGCCTGCCAGCCCGCTGAGGTGGTTGCCCGACACCGAAGGCTTGAATGCTACCGACGGGTCGTCAATCACCGACAGGGGGCGACCAAAGGCGGGATACGAAGGGGTGCTGCCACTTGCCGAGGCTGCCTGGCCAGACGAGTTGGCGCGTTCCGAGGCACCCTGTCCGAACGCGATCGAGTGGCGGTTGTTCGAGCTGCTGGAGCCTTTGCCACTGCCAAAGCTAGGCGCGTTCGAACCGCCGATCTTGCTTGAAGAAAGCGCACTGGCACCCGCGGCCGCATCAATGGAAGGAACAGCGATCGACTTGGACGACGCTTTGTACGTCTCGGCGGTGCGGCTGGAGGGGAAGACGTCCATTCGGAACACGGCATCGCTGCCGTTGGTGAGCGCGACCTGGTGAAAGTTGTCGTCTTCCCAACGGACACCGACCATACAGGCGCCTGCCACCACCTCGCCGTTGCGACGCAGTGCATGCAGCGCCTGAAACGACTCGGCGTAGCGGATGCGCGTGCAGCAAGACAGTGCCGGAGCCGATGGCTGCGCCGACGCTTGCTCTTGCGCCGATCCGCTGCCCGTGAGATCGATCGCCTCCATCAGCTCGACGCCGCCGATGCTGGCAAAAAGCTCGAGTACAGCCTTTTCCATCCACGTCGGATATCCGAACACCAGCACGGTGCGTTGCGCGAGGCCCAAGGTCGAGTTTTTCTCCGCCGACGCATCGCCAGTCGGAGTCGAGGCGTATCCTTCGCTCGAAGCGGTAGCGGCAAGAGTCAGAGAAGGCGAAGTTCGTTGGAGCGCAGTCGCGGACGACGCCGACAGGGTGTTCCGAGTTGGAAGAAGCTTCTGCGGCGATGTGGCATCGGCAGCGGCAGGGGATCGATAGTTGGCCGAGTACATTCCGCTGCTGGTGCTGGACGTACCGAGCAAGGACGAGTGAGCCGCCGTGGATGTCTCATCTTCGAGACGCTCTTGCGGAGGAGCATCGTCGTCGTCCTCCTCGTCCATGGCGCCACTTGCCACATTGAAGGCTGCGGATGCCGCGGGCGGAGTCGAATTGGAGCGGATGGAGCGGGCGGGCGATTCCATCGACGTTTTGCGCGCTGGGGTGCCAAAAGTGCCGGCGTTGGCAGAGGCAGGCGCCGGTGTTGCCGACTGACGCCCACCGCGCAGGCCACCAGCACCAAAGATGCTCTCTTTGCCGCCTCGCCAGGGCGTTCCAGGCGCGGCGGAGCCGGCTCGACTGAACGAGGCGTCGTCGCGCCTGTCGTTGAAGAAGCTCGAGCTGAAGCGACCTACGGGCGAAGGGTGTCCCTTGGACGAGGGAGTGCTCTCCTCCTTGCCCGACTTGGAGGCGGGTGTGCCAAAGGCAATGCTCGAATCGGCATCCTGGACTGCCTCGGGAGAGGTGGGCTCGGTCTGGCGCGAAGGGAGCTTGTATGGCTTGACTACTTTGGTGCGGCTGAGATAGCCGGGGATGTAGCTCATGTTGTGACTCTGCTGCTCCAAGTTGAGACGCTGCTGTTCGATGAGCGCCTGCTGGTGCTGCTGCTGTTGGAACTGCTGCTGATGCTGCTGCTGTTGCGACGACTGTGGCGTGCCGAAGTGCGGCAGCCCGTGCTGCTGCGTCGCATTGTGGTGGTGCATGGGGCTGCTGAACGGCTGCGTCTGCGGCTGAGCCGAAAAAGGTGCGGGAGAGGAGGAGTTGAAGCCAGGGGCGCCCTGACCGAAGGCATTGGTTTGCGTCGATGTCTGCTGACCAAAGTTCTGCGACTGTGACTGCTGCGGGAAGTTCGACGAGGCGGACGAGCCGAAGAGGTTGTTGTTTTGCGGCGTGCCGAAGAGGTTTGGCTGGGTCGAAGTGGGCGCAGGAGTGCCAGCATTGCCAAACAGAGAGCCAGACGGCTGCTGCTGTGTTGGCTGCTGCGCACCAGGAGTGCCAAACATCGGCTTCTGTCCGAAAAGCCCACCTGACTGCGGTGTGCCTTGCTGCGGCTGCTGTTGCTGTTGCTGATGCTGTGGTTGTGCGGCATTTGTGCTGTTGTTGCCGAAGGAGAACCCTCCTGGACTGGAGAAGGAATTGCCAAATCCACTGCCTCCGAATGGCGTCGATGACTGGGGTTGCTGCGGCTGCTGCGGCTGCGGTTGCTGCTGTTGCGGCGTGGCCGCGGAGTTCGAGAAGGAGAACATGGCTCCTGCACTGTGTGTTGCCCTCAATGAGAAGCGGACGCTTGCTGGGTACTGGTTGTTGGCGCAGAAGGTGCGAAGTACTGAAAGAGTCGAGCAGCGAGCGCAGGTTGGCGATCTGATGTTGTTGTTCCACTGCCTCTCCGCGTTGCAATCGCGCGTTGGCTGCCCGATTTTTTCTCCCTGCCACTGTCACTTCGTTTCGGCCGGAAGGACAGTCTTTTGGTTGACCGGCGAATTTTGCGGTTGCAGCCTCCACCTGCAGAGCGGGCAGGGTCCATTCTTTTGCCACCGGCTATTGCTGCCTCAGAAGACGAGCTCTCTTCCTCTCATCATCGTCAGTATAGAAACATGACAACCGCAAGTAGACCAGCACGGTCGATCGTCGTGGTTGGGGGCGGCATCGTCGGCTCAAGCATCGCCTACTACCTTTCGCGAGCCGCAGCGTCGGCGGGAACCCGGGCGGCGACGCGCATCACTCTCATCGAAGCGTCCTCTGCACCGGCTCCTGCGGCATCAGGCAAAGCTGGCGGCTTTTTGGCGCTGGACTGGCACGGTACGGCGACGGCAAGCCTGGCGGAGCTCAGCTTCAAGCTTCATCGACAGCTTGCGGATCAGGATGGTGGCCGCGAGAAGTGGGGCTACCGCGAGGTCGAGACCTGGCAGGTCAACGTCGACTCGAGCCTCAGCGAGTCCAGAACCAAAAGGCCTGCAAAATGTGCCATAGACTGGCTCGACAAGGAGATCATCACTTCCACATCCAACATGGGCGGCAAAGGTTCAACGGCGCAAGTGCATCCGGGTCTGCTGACACGCCATCTGGTGCAAGAGTCCATCGAGGCCGGCGTGGAGGTGCTCTTCAACACGCGTGCTACCGGCTTGCGCTTCAACGATCGACGACGTGTTACCGGAGTCGAGATCACCGACTCCAAAACGCGAGACAAGCAGACAATAGACGCGGACGACCTCGTGATCGCTGCAGGACCGTGGACTGGCTCTCTCATCACCAAGCTCTTCCCACGGAGCATGCTCCCTGCGCACCTCAAAGCAGCGTCTTCCATTGATGGATCGCGAGCGCACAGCATCGTGATCGAGTCGCCGCCGGGCAAGCCGCTCTCGGCTGACTGCCTCTTCACCGACATGGCGTACGGCCCCGGTGGCCGCAAAGCTGGGGCGCCGGAACTGTACTGCCGCCCGGACGGCACAGCATACGTATGCGGTGGCTCGGACGACGTTGCGCTGCCTGACACCGCGGACGAAGTGGACTTTGACGAGAACAAGGTAGCGGCGTTGATCGAGCAGAGCAAGGTGCTCTCGCCCACATCGCTCGATGTCGGTGCTGGCGCTACGCTCAAAGCCAAGCAGGCGTGCTACCTGCCCATCAGCAACCGCACCGGCAACCCGATCATCGGAGGAAAGGACGGCGTGTACGTGGCGGCGGGCCACTCGTGCTGGGGCATCACCAACTCGCTCGGCACGGGCAAGGTGCTCTCGGAGCTCATTCTGGGGGGTAAGGTGCACAGCGCCAACATCCGAGCTCTGATGCCTTAGAATGACATTGTTCGTTCTGATCGTCACCATGGATGGAATTGTACATGTCGGCGATGCCGTTTGAACTATGTGATGGCTACAGCCGCTATTGTACTTGCGAGAGCAGATGGATCACGAGCCCACCTTCCTTCTTCGGCTGTAAACGGTCAGGTACGCATTGCCGTCGGCGGACGCGATGCGGGTATGCGAGCAATTCCGGATGGACTTGGTCCTTCACTCGCAAAAGGATGTCTTCTGCGGTTGCATTGGTCAGATGCGCGTGAACCTCGTCGTCTGGTTTGCGACCGTCACGGACAAGCCGACCTTGTCGCTGGAGGACCTGGAAGCGATGGATGTGAGCACAATGATCGGCGTAAGGCCTTGCATGGCATCTAAGCAGTCCGAGGCGGGGCAGTGTGTGTGATGCTTCGGACAAGCAGTGACTTGCCTTTGCGGGGCTTCGTTCTGCCAGCACCAACCTGCTCGACAAGTGCAGCAAATGCTTCCCTGAGCCAGGCCTGACGTTCATCGCGGATCCCGCCGACGTCCAGGAACGGAATGCGTACCAAGCCGTACGTCTCTGCTCGCGAAGACCCAGGCAGGGGACCCCTCAGCGTACAGGCGTTAAACGTGAGAGGACGAGGCAGCGCCGCAAATGGACGCGTGTGGCAATCTTCGAGATGCCCCGGCTCGCCTTCGAGCCAGCTTCCGCAGATCCTTCGAGCCAGCTTCCGCAGATCCAACAGAAGAGGAGGCCAGGGTTGGTCGCTTCCCCTGTGACGGACGACATGCACCAACCTTTGGTGCGTTTTGTAAAAATGTGCGGCGAATGCAACAGACCCAAGCGCCCAATCCTCCTGAGGCCCTGACGAAGCGGGTCGAGAAACTGGCATCGAAGCGAAGGCGGCGTGTTACCCGTGACCTTGCCAGACGTTGGACTTGGTGATGTCCATTCACCTTTGCGGGGAGATGCATCGCAAGGCATCGAGCCTGGCTTCGTTGCCCTCGTCGCGATAAGATCGGAGATGATGAAAGTCGTGGTATACTTGAGATTCTTGGGGGAATCCTTGCTGATGTTTAAGGTCCGAGTGGCGGCTCAAAGGGCCTCTCGCACCGGGATCGAATCGCAGCTTGATTCAATACTGGAATGAACAGTGATCACATGAATGGCGAGTACAAAGGTAGAGGATATCAGAAGGAGGGCCCGGCGCCAACACGGCCAACGTTCACTCCCAAATGGTGGATTCAGTGGCTAGCAGCACGACCAACCGTGGAGCCGTGGCTGATAGACACGTCGTCGAAGATAGCGGCACCTCAATCACGATGCTTTGCGCTCGGGACCCATCGGTGGACGACGCTGCATTTCGATGCGCAAGAAGCACGTTCGTGCTTTGGCTATAGATATTGTTGAGGTACGCATAGGCGTCGCCGGTCGAGAGACCTGGTCGATGGGCGCGTGATCAGAGACTTACACCGTTTCGGCAGCGTGCGAGCGCGAGTGACGGTGGCGCATCAAGAGCCTGGGCTGGTCTTCCGGGACGCAATTCTTCGCCATCGTTGCAAACGTGCGCCGAAAGTCGTACGGCGTGAGGTTATCCCAGCCAAGCTTGTTGGCGACCTGCTGGAGGCAGCGGCTGGCGTCCATGAGCGACATCGCCACCAGGCGCAGAACGTTCCGTTATTGGACCATGTCCCGTCGTCTCAGAAGGCGGACCGATCGGCAAGCAGCACTGGCGCTTCGGTCTGTCCCTTCCTGATGCTAAGGCGGGCATTGGGCGAGAGGGCAGTGCTGGACGACTTGCCAATCAACTCTCGGACCGCCCTGTCGGTCTGCGGCTTATACATTCGAAATGCTCTCGAAGGTCATGGGTCGATCTCCGGGGGTCGATCTCCGGGATGGGGGCGAGGCAGGTCTCCGATCAAATTTTCGTCCGAAGCGTTAGACCCAGTCCGCTGGTGATGCCGGATGAGATGCAGCAAGCGTGCGATGCGATCGGATCGTGCCTGCTCGCAGTCGTCGTCCAGCTTGCCAGGGCTTGAGTGGCCACCCACGATAGCCTTGACGCAGCACTTGAGAATGCGCAAGCCTTGACGCTTCGAGTCAGCGTCACGCCGTCGCCGAGGATGAGAGCTTTGGTCGAGCGTTTGGCGTACTTGGTCGCAGCGGTCTTCTGAGCTCGCTGCTGAATCTTCTCGGCACGGCTGATGGCCATGTTGAAATCCGAGTGGGAACGTGTTCACTTTGCTGACACTTGGTTCACGCTTGCGATGCGTCGAGATCGCTCAGGCACACTTCAACACCAAGCTAGCATGATGGCCTGCAAAACTCCACACTCAAGTCGCTGGCGTCGCGTCGGCCTGTTCTGACGGTGCGCAGCATGTCTGACGTGGGCATCGGAGTTGGAGAAGCGTTGCCGTTGCCGACGACCTCGTGCCTGACCCAAGAAGTCGGCCGGCACGCGACGGGCCGGGTAGCACTACGGCCATGAGGCGAGCTTGAGATGCGCCATGACCGCAAGTTGGACTTAGACTGGATTGCAAAGGTGGAGGGGAAGCAGTGGCAATTTTTTGTCAAGCCGGACGAAAATTGGTTGGGCCAAGCTGGATGCAGACGAGGGAACGTGGACAGCTCGGTTATATGCGGGGGAGCCGACGCATCTCGAAGCGATGCTCACCCACGGTAGTCACATTGCTGAGCGCGCCCGAGGTGGCTTTGAGACTGGCCGTCGTTCGTCATTGTCGACATCATCGCTCTGTCACGAGCCTAATCGGCACAAACACGCGCCTCAAAGAGCGAAAGGGAGCTTGGCAGCAGGAGTGATGATGCGATTGCATTGATTCACCCAGGAATGGGGGCGGCTGCTCATACGGATGGAAGGGTTGCATCCCTCGCCGGGCTTCCCTCACCCCCCGATCCTTTCTCGATATGCGTTTGCGCTCTGCCGATCTGGTGATTGGAAAGGATGGGGGGACCAGTCACACGACCTTGGACTGGGAGCTGCAGCCACCTGCATGCACGAGTTCGAGCGGAGCAGCAACGGCGGAGCGGCGGCGGCGGCGGCAGAGGCGAGCCGGGCGAGCCAGCGGTACAGTACAGTACTCGCGACTGGTACAGTAAATTTACAGTACTGTTTGCAAGCCGACGAGTCGCGTCGTGATGAGCTGCGGAGAATTTTTGACTCTTTTGGGAACGCGCGTGTTTCAGAAAATCCCTCAACAGGGCTAGCAGCGTGAGTTCGAACTCCAAATGGAAATCCCAGCTCGGCTCTAAGCGAGGCTCGTCTGGGCCGGAGCTCTGTCGCCGCTTCGCCGCTTCGCCGCATCGAGGCTAGCGAGTGACGCTCCTCAGAGGCGTACGTGGTGAGCAGCCTAGCCTCTTGCGAGGCAGTCATCGCAACCTTACGCTACTGCTTCGGTCGAGCCGCCGAGTAAGCTCAGAGTTGCGCCGGCATGAGATGAGGAGGAGGTTCGGCCTCGGGTTAGACCGAAGATTGAGCGCCCGCGAAGCGGCCGACCGCGGTGAGCAAGCGGCGGGCGGCTCTTCGGAATCCAACGACAGGAGAGGGAGCGGGCGGGCGGGCGGCAAAAGTGAGAAAACCGAAAAACTTCCGCTCGACTTCCTTCTCAATTTTTTGCCCGCCCTTGCCTGACACGTCGCCGCGGACGGCGCTCACCGGTACATCCGAATACTGTACTGAGGCCTGCGCATCGCCGCCTCGACTTTGCGCCCACCCGGAAAACCCTCTTTCGGTTCGGGTTGCATTTGCTTTTGCATGGTCCTGCTGCTGCTGCTGCTGATGCTGCYGCTGCTGATGCGCAGATGGCCCTGACGAGTGTGGCCTGCCACAGCTCCAGTCGCCCCTCCCTGCTGTGCCCGAGTCTGGTTGTCCGTTCGCGTTCAGACACCCTTCTGGGCTCAGGTGGACGAATACATTCTCCCCCCTCCCTCTGTCAAGACCACGACCATCGTCCCCTCCCTCCGCTCACATCGCAACTGACGCACGTCAAGGGCCATCATGGCGGACAACATCCAGACCGAGATGACTTCGGTCGCTTCTTCAAGCCACGACAGCGCTCAGCCGTCGTCCAACTCGGCCTCCTCGCCTTCGGCTGATGGCGCCCACCACCCCTCCTCCGCCACCGCAAACATCAACGCGGCCCTCGACGAGACGCTCTTCCCCTCCGACTCGTACACCAGCGACACAAAAACCTACTGGGCCGACCTCCCCTTCTGGGAAAAGACCTCTTGGATCAACGCCCAGTCCAACGCAGAGGCGCGCCGCGAGCTCGGCGAGATCGGTCGCATGTTCAAGCGCGACCCGCTCTCGCCCATCCGCGCCTACTTTAGCAACTATGTCATCACCGGTCTCGGCCTCTTTGTCGAGGGTTACACCCTCTTCTCCATCGGAAACCTCTCGCCGCTCTTCAAGGCCGTATGGCCCCAATGCTGGAAGAACCACACCGTCTGCGACGAAAACTGGCTCCACGCCATCGACTACCTCGAGATCGTCGGCATCATCGTCGGACAGATCCTCGTCGGCATCGAGGGCGACTGGATCGGAAGACGCTTCGGAATGGTGCAAGACGCACTCATCATGACCCTCGGTTCGGTCATGCTCACCGCCATGTGGGGCACCTCGCTCAACGGCTGGGTCATCTGCTACGCATGGTCCGTCTTCATCTACGGCATCGGGGTGGGCGGCGAATATCCCATGACCTCGACAAGAGCGATGGAGGGCACCGGCACAGGTCGTGCTGCCACCACCGGCGATCGTATGCACCGAGGACGCAAAGTGTCGCTCTCTTTTCTCATGCAGGGTTGGGGTCAGCTTGCCAATCAAGGCGTTCTGATCATCGGCCTGCTCATCTTCCACGGCTCGCTCAACGGTCCCTACAGCGAGACCTCGACGCAGTGGACCTTCCGCGTGCAGTTTGGCATCATCGCCGCCTTCACCCTTTACCTTGCCTACATCCGATACTATCGCATGAAGTACCAGGATGCCGCCCTTCAGACCGCAAAGAAGCGTCTCAACACGTCCGGCTACGACATTGTCTCGCTCAAGCTCTCGCTCCACCACTACTGGCACCGTCTGCTCGGAACCGCTGGCGGCTGGTTCGCCAACGACTTCTTCTTCTACGGCAACAAGATCTTCTCGGGCGTCTTCATCAGCATCATCACCAACAGCGCCGGCGGCCTCGAGACCACCTGGGTCTACAACATGTACAACATCATCATCTCGCTCGCCGGCTACTACATGGCCGCGCTCCTCATCGACCACAAGCAGTACGGCCGCAAGTGGATGCAGGCCAACGGCTTCGTCGCCGATTTCATCCTCTTCATCATCGGCGCTGCGCTCTACAACACGCTCACCGTGCCCGGCTCGGGCATCAAGGCGTTCCAGGCCATCTACTTCCTCTCGTCCTTCTTCAACCAGTTCGGCCCCAACTCCACCACCTTCCTCCTCGCCGCCGAGGTGTTCCCCGCATCCATCCGTGCCACCTCGCACGGTGTTTCGGCCGCCGTGGGCAAGCTCGGTGCGCTCGCACCCGCGATTCTCTACAACTACATTGACAACCACACCAAGTTCTGGGTGGTTTCGTGGTTCGGTCTGCTCGGCTGGGTGCTCACCATGGTCTTCATTCCCGACACGACGGGTCTCGACCTGCGCGAGCAGGAGCGCTACTGGGAGTGCGTGGTGCAGGGCCGCGAGCAGGACTACCACGGCGTCGCGGTGCACCCACGCCACCTGTCGCTGTACGAGCGCGTGGTGCTCAAGCGTCATCGCCACTACGACCCCGAGCTCGACCGCCAGCAGAAGCTGCAGGAGCTCGAGGCGCTGTTCAACTCGAGCAAGGCCGAAAAGGGCGCTGCCGAGGACGAAGTGGAGAGCGAGATGCTCGAGGAGGACCTTCAGCTCTACTTCCAGTCGCTCGCCGACAGCCATGCCGCGGGCAAGAAGCTGCAGACACCAGCCAACTCGTCGGCCAAGCATCCGTCCAAGCTCGCCGAGATCGAGAAGCGCTTGTAATCTCCTACGACGGCCGTCTCGTCTGGAACACGTTCCCTTCTGTTAACCTAGATTCCCCCGCCTCCTACCTTCGTCACCTCGCCTTCCTTGACGTGGCATCAGCATTGAGCATTTTCTCTTCGTGTAGCATTGTGGCACGCATTAATCAAGACCCCGGGTATTGCCACACTCTCCAAATTGTTTGGCTGGTATTACTGTGTGCCGTGTGTAAAGGTGGGATCGGAAGGAAGAAGCCGTGTGTCTTATACGTCTCCGTCGAGCTGCATGCTGCGTTCCACCGCCTTGTACATCTTGGAGTTGTGCTTGCGGGTCTTTGAGCGGCGAGAGCGGCGCGCGACACGCTGGATGGCCTTGACGCATCGGACGACGTACTTTGCAAACACCGTCTCGAAGAGGAAGCAGAGGAGCGTGTTGAGCACGACGGCGATAAAGAGTGCAATGTGGAAGGAGCGCGGGAAGGGGACGAGGCCGAGCAGGTCAAACAGGAAGCCCGAAGGCGTAAAGAGCGCCCAGATGGAGAAGAAGAGCAGCAGCACAACCGTGGCCATGAGCCACACATTGGTGTACACCGCTTTGCGGTACGGATACCCTGTGCTGTAGACGAGCGATCCGACGATGTACTGGAACGACGAGATGAGGAACACCGCCGAGTTCTCCGGGTTGGTGGTGTTGAGTTCGTCCGGGTTGATCTCCGGAGGCTCGTACCAGTCCTGGCGACGCGTGTAGCAGAAGGCCCACAGCTGAAAGCCACCACAGATGGCGACCTGTCCGATGAGGCTAACGAGCACCTTACATGAGACGAGGTTGGCCGTGGGTGCGCGCGGGTGGATGGGCGTGTGGATGTGCGAGTAGTCGTTGGCCATGGCGGGCGAACCAGGCGGAGACGAGCTGCTACCGAGAGGCTGCAGCTCAAACTCGTCGAACGATGCGATGCTGAAGGCCGAACGCAGACGAGCTAGCGAGCAGTGTTGACGGACGAGGCGATACTGGCGGTTCAGCAGACCGGAATAGTGGAGAGTATGCCGAGATGAGGAGGAGACGAGGCGCGATGATGGTGGAGGTCGAAAGCCAAAACGAGACTCAGGATTTGCGACCTTTTGAGAATGTCTGGAATGCCGGGCTAACAATGCTCCATGTGCCGCACGGATCGGCGCACGGCTATTCATTCGCCGAGGACGCAGTGCGGTACGAGGCTGCGATGCTTGGCAAAGCGAATACATCGCCCGCTGCTGCTCGTCTCACCACCATCCTCGCCTCGACTTCGACCTCGTCCTCGTCCTCTTGCTCGACCTCTCATACAGCACACGGTGGATGTCGCGCGCCGCTTGGCTGCACAACCTTCTCACTTCTGTTCTTCTGCTCTGTATTGCTGTGCTTCTCCACCGGGACTACAGTCGCTCCCGCATCTCTACTCTGGATCCAATCCGCGGCATAGAAGAAGCACGCGGAATCCTCTTAGACGGTCAACTGTCAGACACCAGCCCCGATACGCTCCTCCGCAAGGACAACACCATGTCTGCACCCTCCAACGCCTCTGGTAGCGCACGCCCCAAGGTGCTCCTGGTCAACGACGATGGCCCGCCCTCCACATCGTCGCCCCACGTCTTGGGCCTCTACAAGGAGCTCTGTGCGCTCGGCTGGGATGTGAGCGTGGTGCTGCCTTCGTTCCAAAAGTCGTGGGGATCGATGCAGTTCTCGCTCCAAGGTCCCGTCGCCTACTGGTACTACTATCCGATCGACGACAATTTCGACGGCAAGCACGCCGGGACCGCCCAGTCCTGGTCGGCGACTCGTCGACCCATCGATCGTGAGCGTGGCGAGATTGCCGAATGGATCCTCATCGATGGCTCGCCCACCACGGCTTCCAACTCGGGCCTCTTCAACCAGGACGCCTTCTTTGGCGACACTGCCGCCGAGCGCGAGGCGCCCGCCAGTACCTCGACTCCTTTCGACCTCGTCGTCTCGGGGCCCAACTTTGGCCGCAACACGGGCACCGCCTTTGCGCTCTCGTCGGGAACGCTTGGTGCAGCGCTTGCGGCCTCGCTCGCGGGTGTGCGCAGCATCGCCGTCTCCTTTGGTCACTTTATGACCAACCCACCCACGTTTGCCGACCGTTCCAAGGCGCGCGGACCGGGGCTGGAGGCCAGCGAGCTGCGAAAGGTAGCCGCCGAGGCCAACCGCTTCAGCGCCGGCCTCATCAAGCGTCTCTACGACAACTGGCACAACGAGCCCCAGGTGGGCTGCTACAGCATCAACGTGCCGCTCTGCGAGACCGTGACCAAGCCCCAGGTCGTGTGGACCCGCATTTGGGAGAACCGCTACGGTCCGCTTTTCGCCGCCGAGACCACCGCCAACTACCCTGCGCCACCTGCACCTCAACCCGCCACGGCACCTACGCCTCAGAACCTGCTTCACTTTGCGCCCAACATGGCGTCGCTGCTTGGGCCCAAGCAGCTTCCGGAGGGCACCGATGTGTGGGCCATCCTCAATGGCTACATTAGCGTCACGCGCCTGCGTCCCAACTTTATGGAAGTCGATCACAACGGCCGTGGACTCGGCTTGCCTGCTGGCAACAGCAGCGATATGGCACTCGACCCGCAGGTGGCAGGTAGCAAGAGCGATGCGTCATCGCAGCCGCCACGGAACCTCGAGGACGGACTCGAAGTGGGAATGCGCTGGCGCCTGTAAGTCCGACATCGTTGGAAGATAGACAGTCTGCGAATTGCAAGAAAGCATGACTGTGGAGACATCAGGGCTTGCCGGGGCCAGAGTGCGACGAGTGGATCTGCTTATGCGTCTCGTTGGCACCCGCGTGCAGGTGCGGCTTGTTTGCGGGAATGTCGATGTCCTATCGAACGCAATCTGGAGTGTCAACATTGTCACAATTAAAAGGGCACCGGGGCAGAGCACGGCGTACTTACATGGGCATGAACAGGCTGGCGAAAAACATCGCCTCCGCGGCCGCCGGTGTTGACATCGTCCCGACCCGCCTCTGGGTTGGGATTCGTGTTGGTCGGTACCTTGGGGTCGGCCTTCATGTTGCCGCCTCCAAGCGAGTAGTTGTTCGGCAGCGTGCCCGCCACTTCCTGCTGCGGTCCCGACGACATGTTGAGGTTCGACATTGTGATCGGAGGTGATAGAGCTAGTTGAGCTTGCTGTGATGGGTGGTCGGCGGTGGCGATATGGGTGAGCTTTATAGTGCAACAGGAGTCGTTTCGGAGTTGATGAATGATCCTCCACCTGGAAATATGCGACTGCACCCTGAGTCACCACGCGCGCCACCACCGCACCGGCAGAACTGTCCGCCTCAGTCAGCGCTTCGGATGGATCTTCCGACATGGCATTGGCGATCCTCGGCTCGCGTTCACATTCGCAGCTCTTACGACAGCGGCAATCGTTGCGCAGTGCAAGAGCCAAAACTTGCATTCCGAAAATTGCAATGCGAGCTACAAGTCAGCGTGCACGGCGACACGCACGGCGGCGCACACGGCGACGCTGGGGAGATGCATCAAGCGCCAGGGACGCGGCCGAGCTCGGGGGTACCCTCGGCGCGCGGCTTCGAATACTTGGTCTCGACGAAGGCCTTGATGTAAGGCAGACCCGTTGAATCGTCGGTGCGCTTCTGGTCAAAAGCCTTGTAGGCCTTGGCAACGTCATCGAGGGCAAAGCGGTGGGTCAAGATGAGCGTAGGGTCAAACTTGCCCGTCACGACAAAGTCTTTGAGCACTTTCTCCATGTACTTCTGCACGGGAGCCTGGCCGTTGCCCTTGAGCGTGATGCCCTTCTCCATGAGCGCGCCAATCAGGAAGCCGCTGCAGCGGCCCACGTAATCGGCGATGACGCTGATGCGGCCGCGCTTGCGAGTGGCGCGGATGGCCTCATTGAGCGTCTCGGGCGTGTCCGTCTCGAGCGAGAGAGTCTGCATGGCACGGTGCAGGAACGACTTGGAGTAGCGGAAGCCAGCGGCGTCAAACGCCACATCCACACCGCCCGGCACCCTCGACAGGATCTCGTCGGCCACGTTGGCGGTGTGGTCAAAGTTGATCGTCTCCACGTTCAGACGGTCCTTGACCCAGTTGAGACGCGGGGCGACGTTGTCGATGATGATCACCTTGCTTGCGCCAAACACCTTGCAGAGCCACTGCGCAATGAGCTGGCCAATGGGGCCGGCGCCCCAGATCGCCGCCGTCTCGCCCTCCTTGAAGTCGATATCCACGACGCTGTGGTAGGCCGTGAGTGCCACGTCGGCGAGCAGAATGGCCTTCTCGTCGGGAACCTCGTCGGGAATGTGGAAAAGGTTGACGTCGCCAAACGGCACACGGAAGTACTCGGCCTGGGTGCCCGCGTATCCGCCGAGCAGGTGCGAGTATCCGAGGATGCCGCCGATCTTGCTGCCGTAGAGCTGTTCCATCCTGCCGCTCTTGTTGGTGCGGTCGCACATGGTGAACTCCTCCTTCTTGCAGTAGTCGCAGCTACCGCACGCCACCGAGAACGAGGCGACCACGCGGTCGCCCTGCTTGAACTTGGTCACCTGAGCGCCGACCTGGTCGACCACACCGACACCTTCGTGGCCGAGGATCTCGCCTTCGTGCACGTCGGGAACATCGCCATGGTAGAGGTGCAGGTCGCTACCGCACACCGTGACGCCCGTAGCGCGCACAATGATGTCGGTGGGGTCGGTGATGGTGGGTCGAGGCACATTGACGACGCGCACGTCGCGCTTGCCCTGCCACGTGAGCGCGTGCATATCCGCCTCGCCAGGCTTGTAGCCCGAAGCTGTCGCAGTGGGCTTGGTACCGTTGTTCGTAGCAGTGGGNAGTTTTGTCGTTGTTCTGCAGTCGATATCGGCGCGAAAGGGTGCAGAAAGTTGAGGGGGGAGGAGGGAGAGATGCAACGTCGGAGGGAGGCGACCGTATATATATCGTCTTGCGTGGGCTGACCACGGGTCGACTGAGCCAGCCGCCGAAGCGCCTCCCTCTGCTCCCTCGCCTCTCCGCGCTGTTGACCAGCTCGACAGCCGCACACGACATCTATTGCTCCAGCAGCAGGAGGGGTGTGACTCAGGGCCGGCGCATCCTCCCGCGCATCTGCACACGTCGCCGCAATCGGTGTGAGTGTTCGAGCTGGCCCGAACGGGATGAAGCTGTCTATCGGAATCCGCAGCGCAGTCTCTCGAGGCTGGCAGATGCACGCGTGGGGCGACGGGGTGTCGTGGCAGACCGAACCTGTCGAGTAGGGCGTCGCGTGTTTCCTGACTCAGACCTGGCTTGAGGGTGGTCCGTCCGAAAGCCAGCGCTACTCATCTCCAGCCTCATACGAACTGCTGATTACCGTGGCGTCCCGTCGGGCGCCTGAGCTTCAGCTGGTGACGCTCGGCGCTGACTGACAGTTCCCACGGTCTCCTCCGAGCCACTTTCACCTCCAAGCGACTTGGACTGGCAAAAGACAGCAGTCGCGGGCATGAAAAAATTGCAATTCCGGCGCTGCCGAAAAATCAACGGGATATCTAGGGTATCAAAAATGGCGTGTGACTATGCACTTGCACGCCACAACATGTGCTCTTGCTGCGTCAGTCGCTCCAGTCGGACTCATCCCGCTGATCGCTCAGCGACACCGCAGCTTGCGAGCGGGTGCGCCTCTTCTTGCTCGTCTGCTTCGTCTGTCGGTCGTGGCGGCTGCTTGATGGCTTTTTGCGACGCTTTGGCCCGGCACGATCCGCCACAAGGGAGTCGAGGCTCTCTCGCTTCATTGCACTGTGTCGCTGGTGTTGCGCCTCGCGCTCCTCCTGGGCGCGGCGGGCGAGCGCCGCAATCTCAGCATTGCGCTGGTACTCGGATTCCTGCGTCCATGCGCCCAGGGCGACTTTGGCGCGCTCGACCGCAGCACGCTCGGCAGGGTCGGCGCGCAAGATGGACTGGAGCTCGTCGTGCTCAAAGAGCAGGCGGTCCACCTGCTCGTCGGTCAGCAAGTCGATCGGATGCGGCTTGGCATCGACAGCATCGGCCGAGTCGCCGTGCGTGCGGTCGACGGCACTCTGGATTCCCTCCGCTTCCAGGCGCTTCTCGATTCGCGGCCAGACTTCCGCATCGTCGTCGTCAGCCTCCTCAGCTTTCACAGCTTCCGCGGCGTCGCGCTCGTCGGCACGTCGAGTCGTCGACACGAAGCATTCGAGCTCGTCCCAGTCAGCTTCGAGCTCAGAAGCCTCGTCCGACGCAGGCGCCTTGTCCTTCGAGCGACTCTTTCGGCTTGTACCGTTGGCACGCGGAGAGACTCGTTTGTCTGCGGTCGCTGTCGGAAGCTTCGTTGCGACTTTTCCCTGCACAGCCTGCCATACTTGCAGCACGTCGATTGCGTGTACGATGAGATCACGACGCACGAGTTCCGTCATACCTGCGGGTGCAAGCTCGCCGTCCTCCTGGGCCTCCTTGGAGGCTTTGCAGCGGTTCTCGTAGCGCACCTTTTGAGAGATCGGAGCGAGACCGGTGAGCCAGGGGATTTTGAGAGCTTCCAGCCGGAGTGCGGCGTAAATCTCGGCATGGAGCGCCATGGCTTGCCTCTTGCCAAGGTCGTCCCAGCTCGTATCTTCGTCGGGCCGATGAGCTCGAGCCACGTCAAAGTTGAGTGCCCGGAGCGTGTGGCGAAAGATCTCGGTCCTCGGCGCGGGCATCTTGAGGTGCGCTTCCATGGCCAAGACGGCCGCTGCAAATGCAGCGTAACGAGTTTTGGATGCACCTTCTCGGCGCTGCCGCCACCAGAAGGAGCATACCTGGAGCGCCGTTCCCTCGACGGCCTCGAAAGGCGTGCGATGAAGAATGCGAGCTGGGTCTTGGGGGATGTCTTTGGCTCGGCCTGGACCAGCGGGGGTCTGGAGAGGCTTGAGATAGTTGAGGATGGTGGCGTTGAGGCTGGGCTGTGCGGATGCAAGCTGGCAGCGAAAGAAGGCGAGCACTCTGCGCACGTAGGCATCCGGGTCAAAGAGTCTGACGTCGTTCACAGCATCGCTGACGAGCAGACGGAGCCAGTGGAAGGCGCGGCGCAAGTGGGCAAAGGGGATCTGAGCGGCGTCTGCGACGCTCTCGAGGTCGATGCGGACGCCTTGAAGACGGAGGACAGCATAACAGCATGCAGTAGCAAGGTAGAGCGACAGGGAGCCCCAACTGATTGGAGGAGGCACGAATCGAGCCAGTAGATCCTGATAGCCCGTGGCTGCGCCCTCGGCAGCTTCTGCATCGTCCGGAAATGCGACTTGCGATTTGTCCTTGTTGTTCCACGAGATCTCGCGTGCCCGTTGAAACAGAAAGTCGACCTGGTGGAACAGAGACGGGTGCCCCAGAGCTGTCAAGATTCCCGTGATGCGTGCATCTACTTCGGGCTTTCGATGGTAGCGGGTGCGGACGCGCGCCTCGTCGATGCTAGAGTGCCATCGCTGTAGAACGAGAGGATTGTAGTGCGGGTCGAGAGAATTCCATGCGGTGCGCTCTATAGAGGGCCCGCCAAGGGCGTATGCGATCTCGTAGCGGTTGGTGGGCTCGTACAGGTGGAGATCCTGCAGGACGGTGCCGCAGTCGGAGCAGACGTCTTGGCCCACCTCGGCGATGAAGCTGAGGGTTTCTTGCGAGCCGCACTCAGGACATGTGGACGGCATGGCTTTCTCGCGATATTCTGCGTGTCACTCCGGCGGAGAGTGGCGCTTGGTTGACATCGCCGCCAGATGGGATCTCGCGTGCGTGGAGCCGCTAAAGCGTGACCGTCGGTGGATCTAATGGGCTGAGACTTGTGAAGCTGAGACCGGATATGACTATGTCGTTGTCTAGCAGTCAAACATCCTCGCTTTACCGATTCGAAGAGGTGGATGGTGGAGGTGAGGTGTGATGGAGCTGCAAGAGCAAGCTGCTCAACTCAGCCGGACCGGCGAACGAACGGTGGACCCTGTCCCAAAAATCCCGCTGTTCCGCAAACGAGTCGATTTTTTGATAGAATGTGTTACGCCGAGCAGCTAACAAGTTTCCACTTCGAAAGTCCACAAACACGACACGCGAGCCACGCCTGTGCGGAAAAAGAAGAAACGGCGTGCGGACAGAACTGCGGAACAGACGAGGCTCGGACCCACTGCGCGTCTCCGCTCGGGTCGAGGCTCTTGCGCATATGCCAGACTCTCCAACGCTTCTGCAACCTCCAACAGCACACACCATCCATCACGTTCGCGCGCATTGGCTTGTCCGGTGTCCGGCCGTTCCGACGCTCGCCCTTCCAGTCTTTCCTGGCGCGTCTGCAAGCTTGCCTCGGCCGACTCGCCTCTGTGCCCGCCTCTGCCTCTTCGTGACGCTTCCCACAGCTTGCGCACCCGCGCAGACGGCCTTTCACCCACGGTCATTACCCGCACATCCCCGCCCACGCCGTTGCATAAGTTATCCGTCCTGTCCATATTGACGGTCGAATCGGCGCCCAAACAATCGTCAACCCCACCACTTGCACGCCCACCAGCTCGCATCATCCTGGCCCGGTCAAGCTAAGGTGCGGCCCCCACTCTCTCTGACACAAGGTCACGACCATTGTTGCTGGACACAATCGCAAGGAGCATCGGTGCTCGCTGCAAATCTTCTCTCGTCAAGTTGACGACACTTGGCTCGCCGCATCTCGCCCCCACATTTAATCTGGCAGCACTCGCACCTGGGCTGCCCAACGCCTCATATGTCGTATCCGCAGCATCCGTCGCCTGCGGGCGGCGCCTTCGCTGCTGCGAGCCCCAGCGTCATTCGCAGCCAGCCTCTTCCCTCTGTTCCTTCTCAGCCGCAGATGATCCCAGGCATGGGCATGCAGCAGCCACACTTTCCTCCGCAACAGCAGCACCATCCGATGCCTGGCCATCCCAACCTGCACCGCCCAATCGCCTCGCTACCTTCGCACGCCCGTCACATGCAGCCTCCTCAGACACCTTCGGCACGTCCGCTCATGCCTGGCGGACGCCTTCCGACACAGCAGCATCTTGGTGCCGCGCGGATGCCCCACCCATCGGCTGATCCGAGCGCATCCTTCAAGCGGCCCAAACTGGTGGGCGACGGCTACGAAGCGTCCTATCTCGTGCCCGGCCCCAGCAACCGCATCCTCCTATCGCTCAAGTCGGGTTTGCCCGTCCAGATCGACTGGGCGCTCTCCCGCCTGGTCCACATCACCGCCAACAATCGCGATCCAGCGGCACGCGAGTTCACCTTGGACAGCGTCCCCGGCCTCGCCGACGCCCTCATCTCCTACGTGCGCAGAATCCACGCTGCTCTCACAGGTCAGCCCGCCTCGCGATGGGCAGCATCCTACTTCGAGCAGCCCGCAGACACCATCGACGTGGGTGTCGGCGCTCCCGGCGACACAGGCCACTCGGGCACCACGAGCTCCTCGCTTTCACTGACTCTCGCCAGGAACGCGTCCTCTTCGCACATCCAGACCGGGTCATTCAACCCGGCCATTCACGCAGACCACGCCATCCTCATGCGGCGCACGCTCGAGGCGGCTCTGGCGCTGCGCAACTTTGCCACACACAGCGCCAACGTCCGCAGCTTGGCCGCCGTCAAAGGCATTTTCGCCCTCATCCGCGATATCCTCTCGCTTCCAATCACAGCGGTCCACAACGGCGTCAGTTGCACGTCCTCGCACGATACGGAATCCTCGCACGAAGACGGATGGCTCGAGATGGATGGGATCGCCGAGCTTCGCTTGTACTTCCTCGACATTCTGGAATCCCTCGCATCCAGGGTCGTACTCACGCGTCGAGCGCCCAACGCCTCATCCAATCCTCCATCCGCCAACGGCTCCCTCTCGCACTCGGCCGAGGCCAGGCCGCCGACCAGTGCAGACTCCCCTGGCGACGACATCTTTGCATTGCTGCTCTCGTTTGCCCTGCATTCCAAGGACCGCGCTTTCCTGTTGGGCTCGCTGCGATGCCTCGGTACCATGGCAGCCAACGAACGCAACGAAGCTGCCTTTGTCGAATCTACGCAACCAGATGGTCAGCAGTCTCCGGGCCTTTTGCAGCGCTGCGTCGAGTTGCTGCCCGTCACGCAGGACGTCGAGCTGCTCGAACCGCTTCTCGATCTGCTGTATCAGCTCGTATGCATCGGCAACAACGCCATCAAGATTGCTTCCGCGCTCTCTTTGGATTCTCGTCGTCCTCTTTCGCCCTCATCCGGCCAACTTTCGGCAAGCAATGGTCGCAGCGGCGCTTCGAGGTCGGACCCGCGCCTCGGTACTCGTGCCACAGCCCGAACAGCCGCGCTCGTGCGCTTCCTGTCGCGCAATCTGCAGCTCGGTCGCACCATGTGGGAGCGCGTCATGCCGCTCCGAGTGCCGCAGGACTGGATCGTGAGCATTCCGAACCGCCAGCTCGAAGCGATGCGCCGCTCACGTGAAGTGCAGATGCGCCTGGCGCGCGAGACGCCCGAGGAGCGTGCTCAACGCAAGAAGCTCACGCGCCGAGAACGACGCGAGATCGCAGGCCTCAAGGAGCCCGAGCGCGGCATCGCGTGGATGCAGATGGTCTTCCAACGCAACCCGGAGCGTGAAGTGACGCAGATGGAGTTCTGGACGGCGTACAAGGAGGAGTTCCAGGTGAACAACGACGGCGTGCCATTACAGGCGGCAGCCGAGCTGATCCGCGCAGTCAGCACCGTGTTCCCGCAAGCGGCAGCCATGGTGATCCCGGCTCAGGAGAATCAGCCGCAGCGGTTCGTGATCCGGGGCATCGACGTTAAGGAGAGGCAGCGCGACCAGCTCGAACCTTGTCGGTGTTGCTGGTCGACGTGTCCGGCACCGGAGACCAACACGCTCGAGGCTCAAAAGAAGCACGCCAAGCTGCACGTCGAGCATGCTGTTGACGGACGCTGCCGATGGAAGAATTGCAGCTTTGATGTCAAGAACAGCCCGGGCGCTGGCGCTGTGGCGGAAGTGCAGCAAGTGCTTATGGCGCATGTGCTCACCCATCTCAAGACCGATGGTTCCGCGGCTGCAAAGAAGGCGCGAAAGCTTGGCATTGTGGTCGATGACGACTTGAATGTGGTCTCGGGTGCCACGCACACGGGTGAGGCCGCTCCGATCGTCACCGGCAAGGGTGTCAACGGCGCGCGGGCGCTACGAGCGCGAAGGAAGTCGGACGGCGGCGAGGTTTCCTTCACCTTGGACAAGGCTGATTCGGCCCAAGCGGGCGGCAACGTTCGTGAGGCCAAGATCAGCCACAGTGCGGCCCGTTCGGACGGCACGGTGGACAATCCGGGCATGTACGTGTTTGACGTGACGCGAACGCCGACGACGGGCAACGACGATGCGCTGTCGCCGATGGGGCCCGCTTTCACGTCGGTGCTCGTCCTGCGCATGCTGACTCGACGAGCGGCGTCGTTACTGCAGAAGGCCGGAACGAAGGAGGACGGCGAGGGTGAAGAGCAGGCCGACGCGGCGGCGATGCGAGGATTCGGCGACGAAAAGTTTGGACTGCCGCTACCGGCCAATTTTGGAGCGTCGGAACGCGGAAAGCAATCGGAGGCGGGAGAATCAGGCGATGCGGCCGACGAGGGCGCCAATGGCTCAGCGCTCGGTGGAGACGAAGAGGACTACGAGACGACCGCAAGCTGGGCGGTGGAGAGTGCGAACCGCGTGCTGGATGCGGTGGAGAGCGTGGAAGAGGAGCTGATGCACCATGCGAGCGAAAACGACATTCTGTCTTCGTACATCAACGAGACGCTCATGGAGCTGCGTCGCAGGCCGGCCAATTCGGTGGCGAGCTCCAAGGCGTCGACGTCGGCGTCCTTGGTAGGTCGAGTGGACCCGAGTCTGTCATTGTAGAGCCGCGAAGGCATGTGCCAACGTTCAACAAAGGAACCCCTCAAAGCGCTTGTCATGTGCTTGTCGCTGTCTTCTGCGATTAGGACATGCGGTCGTCTCGGCTCGGCTCGTTGTTCTGATCCCAAGAGGAGTGAGTTTTGTGTGTGTTTGGAGAGGGATGCGCTCTGTCAGGATGGCGCCTGGGGAGACGCGCGCAGCAGCTGAAAGCCGAATTGAGCGAGAGACGCCGAGTCGAGACGCGAGGCGAATCCGACTTTTGGCTCGGCTTGAGAGCGCGTGTTGGCTCAGCGCGGCTCGTGCTGAGGCGGCCGTCTGCCAATCCAGGGTTCAGCCAACTGGGTCTGTGCCCCACCCGTTCTCTTTCATCCCACCACGTCGCATTGCATCGAATCGCATCAGCAGCAGCATCACTGCCGGTCTGTCTCCACCTGGCTCCACCTGGCAGCACCACACAAACCGACGCAGGAGGCACAGTACTGGCCGCTGCAACGCCACCCCTGGCGCACCTCCGCTACCTTCACGCGTTGTCCTGCTCAAAAGGTGCTCGCTGGATCTCTCTCTTGGCACCACAGCATCCCCTAGTCTCGGATCCAAGCTCATCGTCGCTTTCACCGCCCACCTCGCGATCTCTTTGCGTCAACATGGAATACACCGTCGACCACAATCTCGCGTGATCGGATACCTCTATCGCATCAGTAACTCCAGCCCAGCCTCTCGGCCCAAATCACTGTACACGGTTGAGCACGCTTTCCCGCTATACAGCCGGTGCTTAACCTCGCAACATGACCTCGCACAGCCCAAAGTCGTCGCCGACTCTCCACATCAACAAGTGGTCCGAGCAGCAGGTTGCCGACTGGCTCTCCACCATCGGCCTCGCCAAGTATGGTCGTGACTTTATCTCCAATGGCATCACCGGCGATGTCCTCGTGCTCCTCGACGATGAAGCACTCAAGGACATCGGCGTCGTCACCATCGGCCAGCGTCTGGCTATGCTCTCCGCCATCTACCGTCTCAAGACCCAGTTCGGCATCCCCATCCACGACGGAGACTGGCTTCCCAAAGCTGTAGAGGCCCAAGAGCACGCATCCGACACACTCAGCACAGCCCACATGGCGTCAGCGCTACGTCAACGTGACGATCGCATCCGTCTTCTCGAGTCGCAGATCCTCCGTCTCGCAGACTACCTGGCACGCTTTCAGCAGGACATGGCCTCGGTCGCAAGGCAAGTCGGCGTCAAGGCGCACTCCATCGACACCCCCATCACGCTCGTCTCCAACTCGCTCCACTCGCAGCATACATCCGATTCCGGCGTCAGTGGAATGTCGGCATATGCTTCCAATCCCGACCTGGGATCCACTGCTTCATCCAGCCTCCCGCTAGAGTCGCCCACCTCGCGCAACTTCACCGGCCTCGTCTCGCCAACCCGCTCCGGCTTCACCTATCCCGCTGGTCACGCTATGAGCGGATTCAAGCCCGCCACCGTCACCTCGGCCAGGTCCGACAGCATCGGTGCCAACTCGCCCATGACTCCCACGACCACCGTGCATCCCCATCCGCCGACTAGCACTGGCGCACCAGCAGGTGCTTCGGACCTCTCGCCCACACAGTCTACGCCATCAGCCACCCCGACCTCGCTCGGCTCTTACTCGGGTTTCCCTCAGCAGGGTTCGCAAACCCATCAGCAGCAACTCCCTTCGAGTGCCGGTGCCGGCTCCATGGTCAGCCCCACGCGTCGTTTGGCCCATCAGCATGCCATCTCGCAGTCCGACGCTGCGGGTCCATCGAGACCGCGCGCCGGCTCCTTGGGTGCTTCGAATGCGCTTTCGTCTGCTGCGGCCTCTCCTTTTGCTCCTGCAAGCACCAACGGCCTCAGCACAAATGGCGCTCCGGTCTCCTCGACAGACCGCGAGGATCGCAAGGATGCTGCGCTGGCAGATTCGAACGAGCCCAAGCCGAAAGCGACCACGTCAGCTGGGTCATCCACCGCAGCCAGCGCACCAGTCTCGGCCTCGGCTACCTCGAGTTCGTCCGACAGCAACCCGTACAAGTCGTTCCGCGTCACGCTGGACGACCCCTGCTATAAGGTGCTGCCTGCAGCGCTCAAAAAGTACAAGATCAACGACGACTGGCGCAAGTATGCGCTCTTCATCTGCTACGGCAAGACGGAGCGATGCCTCAGCTACGACGAGAAGCCGCTGCTGCTCTTCCAGAAGCTCAAGGAGAACGAGCAGAGCCCCGTGTTCATGCTTCGCCACATCCGCGATGTCAAGTCGCCCATCGCCATCGCCGAGGCCAAGGCGGCGTCCAAGCTGCAAGAGCGCGATGGCGATGCTGCAGCCAACGTCAAGAAGCGCACGGCGGCCAGGACCGATCGACGTCGCATCATCGCAGGCACGCCGCCGCCTGGTGCGCTCGTTGGCAATACCTCGAATCCCGTCGAAGTGGGCCCTGCAGCGGAGCTTCCGGAACGCAACAAGACGGCGAGGACGTACGCCGTGGCCATCTACCCGTACATGCCCGAGCGCGATGACGAGTTTGATGTCAATGTGGGCGACACGTTCATCGTGATCAACAAGGCCAAGGGATGGTGGATCGTTCAGAGAGACGCCGGAGGCGATGGATCGGGCGACGTCGTGTACAGCGTTCCGGTGGGCGAGGGCGGGCCGACCGATGACGATAGCACGACGACGTACTCCAACTACCGCGCAGAGTACGCGTCAGGCTGGGTGCCTGCCGGATGTCTGCTCGAGACGAGCCGACCACTGGGCAGCATTGTGGACGCTGAGGTCATCTCGTCGCGGTCGCGCTCCGGGCCGAGCACCATCTCGAATCCGAGCACGCCGACGGTATTGACCATGGGCGGCGACGGCACACGCATGGATGCCAAGCGGGCTGCGATTCCGCCGGCGCTCATCACGAGCACGAGCACGCCCGGTGTGATGCTGATGGACTACCAGAGCGCCGAAGGCGACCTGGATCTGAGGAAGGACGAGCGATTGCGCGTGTTCAAGCGCTACAACCACTGGTCGTACTGCGTGCAGGAACGCGACGGCCATGCGCGCGGCTGGGTGCCCAGCTGGTACATCGGAAAGCTTTCGCCCAGCGCCAGCGCCAGTGCGACGTCGGCAAGTGGCGGCCGCGATGCTCTGTCCAAGGTCGGCTCGAACAATGCGCTGTCTCCATCGGCCACCGGCAACGGCAGCAACATGGATCTGCGCGCGGCGCAGCTGAATGCCGACCGTGGCATCGGGTCGCCGTCGTACGACCCTTCGGCTGGTTCGGCTCAGGATCATGCCAGCGCAGCCGCACCTGCCATCGCCTCGTCGTAGTTTTCCTCACCATCTATCTGACGTGCATATCGCTGGCTCTTCTGAAAGACTGCGACTGAAAGAGATTGTGCCGATGCTCAGGAACCGTCTTGGCTCCACGTGTTGCGGAGGGGGGTGGTGAAATTGGCCGGCGGAATAAGCGCGCGCGGGAAGCGGCAGGAGTTCGACTTCTCGGTTAGTAGCGGTGTCCTGCGGAGGACCAAAAACAAACAAAATGAAAATTTCCTTCGCCATGCGGGCGGACTGTGCTGCAGTTTGAACCGCGCTCGAACTGCGCTCCGCGGCTGATGCAGATAGCACGCAAGCGGAGCGTCGAATTGTTCGGAGGGTATCAAGAGTGGTGGGGTGGGGGTAGTACGACCCAGTCTGGAGCAGCTGGGCAGCTCAAGCAATAGGGTTCAAACTTGCCGACCGCGTGATTGGGTCGTGTTCTCTCGCTTGTGGTCTAGGCTGTGGCGTCCTTATCGCGTTCCCAACTTGTTCCTGCGTTAGTGTGTTGTAGGATTGGTTGCGGGATTCTCCTTTTGACCATAACCATCCCTGTTGTCGCTGGGAGGTATACTCAACCATGTCCGGCTTGCAAGACGCAATGGGCCACACGGGCCGCTCGGACGACGCGGTGCACAACGGCAAGCTCCGCAGCGAGGAGGATGGCGGCTCGGTCGACAAGACGGTGCACGCTGCGTACGCCGACGATGGCGACGAGCTCGGTGTGACGACGACCGAGCAGGCGCATCTCAAGCGCGGGCTGGAGCAGCGCCATCTGTCGATGATCGCGCTTGCCGGCTCGATCGGTACGGGTCTGTTCTTGTCGTTGTCGGGCTCGATCCAGACGGGCGGTCCGCTGGGTGCACTGCTCGGATACGCCGTGGTGGGCGCCATCGTCTGCTCGGTACAATTTGCGCTCGGCGAGGTCTCGGCGCTGCTGCCTGTCAGCGGCTCGTTCGTGCGCCATGCCGCTTTCCTCAACGACCCCGCGTGGGGCTTCGCAGCGGGCTGGAACCTGGTGTACGGCAACGTGCTTTCCATCCCCAGCGAGATCTCGGCAATCTGCGTGCTGTTCCAGTACTGGACGGATATCAACTCGTCGTTGTGGATCATGGTGTTCATCCTGCTCACGTTCATCGTCGGCGTCGCATTCGTGCGCGTGTTCGGCGAGGTCGAGTTTGCGTTCGCATCACTCAAGCTGCTCACGGTGGTGTTCCTGATCATCTTTGGTCTGGTGGTCAACCTGGGCGGCGTGCCTGGTGTCGAGCGCGTCGGATTCCGATACTGGAAGACGCCCGGTCCGTTTGTCGAGTTCATCGGCACGGGCGCCTGGGGTAGGTTCCTGGGCTTTTGGTCGGTCATGACCAACGCCGTGTTCAGCTTTGCCGGCATCGAGTCGCTCGCCATGGCGGCGGCTGAGACTCGCAATCCGGGCCGCACCATCCCGCGCGCGTGCAAGCGCGTGTTCTTCCGAATCGTGCTCTTCTACCTGCTCGCCGTGCTCGTCGTGGGCATGCTTGTGGCGTCGGACGATCCGCGCCTCAACGACGAGTCCGGAACGGCGGCACAGTCGCCGTTTGTGATTGCAGTCTCCACGGCTGGATACTCGGCGGTGGGCTCGGTGGTCAATGCGATCGTCATCACGTCCGCGTGGTCGTCGTCGAATCAGGCCCTGCTCGCCGGCACGCGTGTGCTCTACGGTCTTGCTCTGAAGCGCCAGGCGCCAAGCCTGTTCCTGCGCACGACGAGCTGGGGCATCCCGATCTACTGCGTGCTCTTTTTCACTGCATTCATGTTCCTCAGCTTCATGACGCTCAGTTCGGGCGCACTCACCGTATTCTACTGGTTTGTCGCGCTCACCTCGGCGGGCGTGCTGGTATCGTGGTGCACGGTGCTCTTCAACCACATCCGCCTCAAGACCGCACTGCGAAGGCAGGGCATCCCTGCGTCGGAGCTGCCGTGGAACAACGGCTGGACGCTCTACTCGAGCTATGCCGGCCTGGTCATGTGCCTGATCATCCTGTTCACCGGCGGATTCCGCGTGTTCACAAAGGGCAACTGGGACGCCAACAGCTTTGTCTCGAGCTACCTCGACATCCCGCTCGTCATCGTCTTCTTCCTCGGATGGAAGCTCATCAAGAAGACACGATGGGTGCGTCTGGACGAGCTGCCGCTCCGGGCGATCATCGAGCAGGCCAAGGAGCGCGCCCACCAGGCCGAGATGGAGCAGCAGGCCGAAGATGCGCTCAAGGGCAACCGACACCGATGGCTCAAGTACATCAGCTGGATCTGGGACTGAGCTTGTCACCACAACACTATCCTCCTAGACCAACGGATCCTCACAGCGTCAACCGCAACCACAGTATACCCCCTTCCTTTGCTTCGTCTTATCTGCACCATGTACTGTGCTGTACCGCTGCATCTCAACCTCTCGATAGGGACTCTCTCTGATTTATGGGCTTCAATTTACCTTGCGAGGCTTGGCTTCAACTGCCTGCTTCTTCGTCGACCACTTGCTTTTGAAGAGGAGAGTGGATGAATGCGCGGTGAATCTCCAATCGGCGATTCCGAGTGTGGAGGCTGCGTCCGGTCAAAGGCGCGTGGGAACGGTGGGAGAAAAATGCGGCAGATCGCACGAGGCAGGCAGTTGGGGCCCACCCGCGTTGCTCTCGATCGGAGCTGCCGAATTCCCCTCTTGGCTGAAGCGCTGCAACCGCCGTCAACTTCATCTCGGCCCTTCTCATCTCGACTTCACACGCACCATCGGTCCATCCGACGTCCGCAGACGCATCTCGACGGACCGCATCGCCACCACCGCTTTTCACTCCTTGCGAGCAGGCGCCATGTCGGAACCCGACCGCTCCAGCGCGGCCGACCGGCGTGGCCAGTCATCTGCCAAGTCTCGTCAGTTCGAAGTGGCCGCCGACGAGTACCAGGCGCCCTTCCAGCTTCCTGCCAAGAAGATAGCAGCGCAGCCGACCGACAATGCTGATGCTCAGCACACCGCCGCCGAAGCTTTCGCCTCCTCTCCGTACTTCGATGAGCAGGAGGCGCGCGAGGCTTTCGAATGGGCTCAGGCCCAGCGCGAGGCTGGCATTGATGGAGACGCTGGCGCAGATGCTGGCACTGCAGCCTCGGGCGGCGTCGAGATCGGCCGTAGACGCCGTCGCGATAGTCAGGTAGGCAGCTACGACGAGGGCGGCAGCATCTTTGACGGCCCTGGCGCCGGCGCCGTGCCCAGCTCCGTGAGCAGCATGCGCCACGAAATGGCCAGGCCCGAGCTCGGCCGTCGTACCTCGCGCAGCTCCCGCCGTCGTATCTCCATGGAAGGTCGATCGCCGCGTCGCACCCGCAAGCTCTCCTCCGCCTCTGCCCAGAGCGATGCCGTGACCACCTCGAGCGAGCGCAGCGTCTCTCCCGACTCGGTCGCGGGTCGACGCAAGCCCGCCAGCCAGCGCAGCGGTAGCGCCTACCGCTTCGGCCGTAGAAAGCGTCTTTCCGTAGATGCCGACCTCTCCTCTTCGAGCCAGCCAAAGGGCATGCTCGGCTCCATCCTCGCCTCCATCCGCGGCGACCGCGCCGATGACGACAACGAAGACGCCCGAAGCCGTCGCTCCTTCTCCCGCCCACTCCTCTCGCGCAGACGTTCATCAGGTTCGGTCGTCTCGAGCCGAGGTGGCAGATCGGACGCTGGCCACGATGACGATGACGAGGACGACGATGATCGCGACGATAGAGGCTGGAGCGACGACGACTATGGATTCGACGATGAGGAGGAAGACGACGAGTCCTTCAACACCTCGGATGAGGACGAGACTCCCGATCGCAGCGGTCTGCTCCCTTCTGCTTTCGGCACGCTCAGCGGTGCCGTCGACCCGGTCTTTGGCGACACGCGCTTCTCCACCGACCACCCGCCCGAAGACGAGTTGGATGCCGAACTCGCCGGGCGCGACCTTGAGACCGGCGACGCCTCCGGCTTTGGTCGATCCGATGCCGATGTCAGGCCCAGTGCCCGCGACCAAGGTCGCAGCGTCAGCGCAGCCGAGGCCAAGAGGGAGATCAGCTTCTTAGACAAGTCGTCCAGGAGCCGCCAGCAGGTCTACCTCGCGGAAGAAGATACCACCATCCGCTTCACTGGATACCGCACCGTGGTGGTCAACCAGATCATGTACTCGGTCGTTTGCTTCCTCACCATCGGTATCGTCTATCTCATCGGTCGCTGGCTGCCCCGCTTCCGCCTTAAGTACGTCTGCAAGGAGACCGACTTTGAAAGCGCCGAATTCATCATGATCGAGAATCAGTGGGGCGACCTGCACAAGGAACGACTCTCCACCATCCCCTTTGCGCGCCCGCTTGCCACTGTCTTCCCACACTCGTCGCGCGAGCCTCCCGCCACCCAGGCCGAGTCCCAGTCGGCACCCACCATCAACCTCCCTCCCGAGCTCGTCAGCAAGAGCAACGCACCCTCCAAGAACGCGTCGGCAAAGAGCAGCATCGTCAACGGCGGCACTGCCACGCCCAACCTGAATGGCAACGGCACATCCGCACAGGAAACAGGAGGTCTGCCCATGTTGTCCGGCGTGCAGACCGAACAGCTCATGGAACTCACCTTCTTCGACTACCGTTACACACGCTTTGCACTGCATCCGCCGACCGGGCGACTGCGCATGGTCAAGGACTGGCGCGACCCGCTCTGGACCTCGCTCGGCGCCATCAACAATGGCATCAGCCACGACGCTGAGAAGGACCGCACCACCATCTTTGGTCAGAACGTCATCGAGATCAAGGCCAAGTCCACATGGCAGCTGCTGGTCGACGAGGTGCTGCATCCGTTCTACATGTTCCAGATCGTGTCGATCATCCTGTGGTCGTTTGACAACTATTACTACTACGCCTTCTGCATCGCCGTCATCTCGCTCGCCTCCATCTTCACCACGCTCCTCGAGACGCGCCAGACGGTCAACCGGATGCGCGAGATGAGCCGCTTCACCTGCGACGTGCGCGTGCTCCGCGAGGACAGCTGGCAGGTGCTCGACTCGAGCGCGCTTGTCCCCGGTGACGTGTACGACGTGGCCGAGTCCGGGCTGCTCCTCTTCCCAGCGGACAGCGTGCTGCTCAGCGGCGATGCGATTGTCAACGAAAGCATGCTCACCGGCGAGAGTGTGCCCGTCAGCAAGGTCCCGCTCACCACGCAGAGCATGGTCGGTCTCCACGCTGCAGGCACCGAAGTGACGCCCGACCTCGCCAAGCACTTCTTGTTCTCGGGCACGCGCATCATCCGCATCCGTGGCAGCGTCGCGACGGACAAGGGCGACGCGGGCGCCAAGGCTATGGTGGTGCGCACGGGCTTCAACACCACCAAGGGTGCACTCGTGCGCAGCATGCTCTTCCCCAAACCCATGGGCTTCAAGTTCTACCGCGACTCGTTCCGCTTCATCGGCTTCCTCGCTGCCACTGCCGGCATCGGCTTCACCTTCGCTGCGGTCAACTTTGTCAAGATCGGCATTGCGTGGCATACGATCGTCATCCGCGCGCTCGATCTGGTGACGGTGGTGGTGCCGCCTGCGCTGCCCGCGACCATGTCCATCGGTATTTCGTTTGCTATCAATCGGCTGCGCAAGCTCGGCATCTTCTGCATCTCGCCCAACCGCGTCATCATCGGCGGCAAGGTCAACGTCTTCTGCTTCGACAAGACGGGCACGCTCACGGCGGATGGACTCGACGTGCTCGGCACGCGCACCATCGACGTCAAGGCCGGCCGTTTCAGCGAGCTGCACGAGACGGTCGACGAGATGCCCGTGGGCGCGGGCGCCAAGAGCGACGCCGATGCGCGCAAGATGCCGCTGCTGTATGCGCTCGCCACGTGCCACTCGCTCAAGGTGGTCGACGGCGAGGTGATCGGCGACCCGCTCGATGTCAAGATGTTCGAGTACACCGGCTGGACGCTCGACGAGGGCAAGGAGCGCGCGGCCAAGGCGACCACCAAGAGTGGCACCGCCAAGAACGGCAAGTCCAAGCTCACCGAGCGCCCGCCTGCGCTCGTCCAGACCGTTGTGCGTCCGCCGGGCGGGCAGGCGTTTGAGGTGGAGGACGCGATCAAGTCGGGCAGGCATGCGCACTTCCTCGAGCTAGGTGTGCTGCGCACGTTCGAGTTTGTCTCGTCGCTGCGCCGCATGAGCGTGATCGTAAAGCGGCTCAAGTCGCCGTCGATGGAGGTGTTTGTCAAGGGCGCGCCCGAGGTGATGGCGGACATCTGCGACAAGGACACGTTCCCGGCCGACTACGACGACCTGCTCTCGTACTACACCAAGCACGGCTACCGCGTGATTGCGTGTGCCGGCAAGTCGATGGCGGGCATGAGCTGGATCAAGGCGCAGCGCATGCGCCGCGAGCACGCCGAGAGCGGACTGCGCTTCCTGGGCCTCATCATCTTTGAGAACAAGCTCAAGGAGGGCACGGCGCCGGCGATCGACGTGCTGCGCCAGGCCAACATCATCACCAAGATGGTCACGGGTGACAATCCGCGTACGGCGATCAGTGTGGCGCGCGAGTGCGGCATGGTGGGACCGTCGGCGCACGTGTTTATGCCGACGTTTGTGCACGGTGGCGAGCGGGATGCGCGCGCGGTGATCGACTGGTCGAGCGTCGACGACGACCGCATCAAGCTCGACGCGTACCGGCTGCAGCCGCGCGAGGTGGATCCGCACGTGCTCGATCTGGAGGAGTTTGACTTCCACGACTACCAGCTCGCGCTGACCGGCGACGTGTTCCGCTGGATGGTCGACTTTGCGCCCGTCGAGACGCTGCGACGCATGCTCATCAAGGGCACCATCTTTGCACGCATGTCGCCCGACGAAAAGCACGAGCTTATCGAACGCCTCCAGGCGCTCGGCTACACGGTGGGCATGTGCGGTGACGGTGCCAACGACTGCGGTGCACTCAAGGCTGCCGATATCGGCATTTCGCTCAGCGAGGCCGAAGCGTCGGTCGCCGCGCCGTTTACGTCCAATCGCGGCGATATTGGCTGTGTCATTGACACGATCAAGGAGGGTAGGGCGGCGCTGGTGACGAGCTTCGGCTGTTTCAGCTACATTTGCCTCACGTCGCTGCTGCAGTTCTGCTCGGTGTTGCTTCTGTATTCGTTTGGTGGCTCGCTGGGCGACGGCCAGTTCTTGGCCGTCGACTTTGGCGTGCTGACACTCAGTGTGTTCAGTGCGCGCACAGGGCCGTACTGAGCTGTGGAAACCTGGAAGACAAATTCTTTCTGCAATTTCAAACGACAAGATCCAGAGTGCGAGTGAACAGCGGGTTGTGTTTCGGATCAATGTTGAGCGTCGGTGATGGGTTCGAAGGTCCAGTTTTCGACGGTACCCTCGGTGGATTCGGAGAGTGGGCCGCAGACCATAGCGCCGAGCCACCAGGTCTCGTGCTCGGCGTCGGTGGGCGGTGCAAAGCCCTTCTTTTCGCGCAGCAGGATGCGGCTCTTCTCGCCCGCCGGGGTGTAGTAGACGTGGACGTCCGGGCCGACCTTTTCGATCTCGACGTCGACCTTGGCTGCGTCCTTACCGGGCGCATTAGCGAGCGGCGCCACGTTCCAGTCCGAGAACGGATCGCTCACCACCACGCTGCATCCCCGACAATACAAGCTGGTCAGCGTGCTGAGAAAAGAGGTTTGTTTGTGAAGGGAAGGAGGCTTACCCGATGAACTGGCGTCCTTGTTCGATTTCGATGCCTGACTTGAGCCATTTCTGGCCCTCGCCGTTGGCGCCCTCATTGGGGTTGACTCGTCTGAGAAAGAGTGTTGCCTGCTGGAAGCGCTCGGTGCCTGGCTGATGCAAGGTTCCCTTGAGCCTCCAATTGGCAGTCGGCGAAAGCTTGTGCAGCTGGTACAGCACGGGTGCCGAGGCTCGGTGTGCGGAAGACTCGGGCACGGAACCAGGCGCCGTAGTCCAGTAGTCGGTCTTTGGCCCCGAACTGATCCGGATCGTAGAGCCAGATTGGCTGTACGAAGAAGTACCCGTAGGATCGTCGAATGTAAACCCGGACATTGTTGCGAGATGGATGAGTTCAAGAAGAGAGCGGAGCACGGAGCAAGAGGTATTTGTACCCCGCACGGTCAGGCCGCACGGACGTGTTCACGTGGAGGTCCAGCTCGGCAATCTAGTCATACCGACCCGACGCAACGCCGCTTGCCGGTCTTGGCATTGCTCAGCGCATTGTCGACTCATCAGCCACATCACATGTCTTCAACTCCGTGGACTACAATGCACCTGTCCTGTCTAGCAAACTTAAATTACAGCATGCGACTCAATTTGTGCGTTGGGCTGGTCTACCTCTACTCCTGGACCGACCGAGCCACATCTTTGCTCTGCTGAGCGAGCCATCGTGTCTGCTCCTGCTCCTGCTGTGCTCGTCTCCATCCTCGCCTTCGTCGAACGCAGGCCGTGGCTGATAGGTATACTTCCTCGCTGGAGGCACGTACTTGGGCGGCTCGCCGCTCTCGTCGCACATCTCGGCGAGACACGGCGAGAAGAAGATCTCGCCACGTACCGCCTTCTTCATGGTCATGCTCGCAACACCAATCCAGAGGATGACCTCGGCGAGTGCGAGCACCGTGCCGATCACGCGGAACGCACCCGAATCGAGCACCACGCTGAACTTGATCGCTGCGGTGGCAAAGACGCCGAGGGGGAAGGTAGTCGCCCAGAACCCGAGATTGAAGCTCAGCTCGGACACTAACCACAGATCGACTAGGCTCGATACGGCAAGTACGAGCCAGACCAGGCCGAGGCCCCAGATGACGAGCGCAACGGGCACCGAGACGGCATAAATGGCAGTGGCCATGATGCGTGCTGTCTCTGCATCGGTGGCGTTGGGGCTGGGAAGCGCCGTGTGCTCCGAGAGCGAGATCTTGTACAGCACGGAGGAGAGCTGAAGCAGCCCAAATGCGCCCTGCCCGCACGGTCCGAGCGGAAGAAAGGTGGACACGATGAGCTGGGCTGGCGGAATCTTGTAGATCGCCTGGCGCGCGTAGTAGAGCGACATGAGCAGGAACGCCATCCCAAACCCGGTGCCCCAGAGCACCCAGCAGACGATCAGCGTCAGCCTTGCATGAGCCGGCGGCAAGATGTCCGCCACCAACCCGCCCGTTGCTGCGCACACGATCGTCGTCACCACGGGCAGGAACCACACGCCCGTGATCTTGTCGAACGACTGCACGTGCCTTGTAAACTGGATGAACGGGAGGCCGATGCAAATCGCCAGGCTGAGCACCGCGTTGATCCACCAAAGCACCCACGTGAATGTGGCAAATCCAGGTCCCCAGGCGGGAGCGGCCGAGATGGCACACATGGAGATGAGCGTGCACATGCCCATGCTGAACGTGCCGAGGAAGAGCGACTGAGCCGGATGGAAGAGCATGATCCAGAAGAGCTGTGGCCAGATGATGTAGCGTGCGATGCTGATGCCAAGGAAGAGCAGGAAGAGAAGCACGTTGAAGCCAAAGATGACGTTGCTGATGATGCCCAGTCCGTTGAACTGGTAGGGCAGCTGGTGGAGCAGGATCGATGTGATGCCCGTGCCCATGGTCACGCTGAACCAGCTTGGGGTGAAGTGCATGGTGATGCGACGGATCTCCTTGCGGAAGCGTTGTGCGCGGCTGGGTGTGGAAGTGGATGCGGTCGGTGGCGGGGCGATGGAATCCGTGGCCGAGGCTGGACTCGACTCGGTGGTCGTGGTGTTGCTGAGGTGCGCAGGCGCATCGCCCGGCAACGGCGCACCTTTCTCCAGATCAGCCATGGTCGCGACGAAAGGTTCAGAGTGCTCGCTATAACATGCGATTCCGGTTCAAGGAAGAAAGAGGGTGGTGGTTGGGAAGGATGAATAGGATGTCGTGCGACTCGGCCAACGGATGCGAGCTGCTGCTGAGTTCATCCAAATGTGACTCTGACTTTTTTGGATTTCAGGCACGGGGTTTAAGCCGGCCATCTGCGGCTGACGCCGTGTGGGGCGAAATTTGGTGGCGGCTCGGCAGGTGAAAGATGCAGCGGCAGCACGCCACAACCCTCTGGACCGCATTTCGGCGCACGCCATCTGCTGTGATACTCTGCAGCTCCCACCCCGCATCCACATCCGGCGGCAAACACAAAGGGTCACGAGGTATAAAAAAATCCATTCGAACCAACCAAGCCGAACGGCGATATTTTACAGAGGCAGCAAGAAATACTGCACATGGATGGATCAGTCGAGCCTGTCCTCGTCGTGCTCCGCAGCACCACCATCGGCGCCGCGGCTGAAGAAGCGCTGCTTAAAGTGGCTGCGGTTGGTGAGGGTCCAGAGGCCGACCTGGGCGGCGAGCAAGCCGACGAGGATGGGCGGCAGAACCTTGATTCCCTGCGGTGCCGCCTGGGAGGCCAGACCGACAAGGAGAGGCAGCAGCGCCATACCGGCCGCGGCGAATGAGGAAATGAAGCTGATGGCTGCCGTGAGGTGCGCGCGCGGACGAATGGTCTTGCTCGCCACGCGGATCATGATGGGGAATGCCGGTCCGAGGAAGATACCGAGCAGCGCGAGCGCGACGGCGTTGGCGATGATGTTGGGGACGAGCCAGACAAGCAGCTGAAGGCCGACGGCGCACACGAGGTAGATGAGGCTGGCAAGTTCGTCGCCCAGCCACGCAGTGAGCGGAATGAGCAGGATGCGACCGAACGCAATGCCCGCCCAGAAGCCCGAGACGAGCACGTTGGCGCTCGTCTCCTGGTTGCGCACCTCGATGAGGAACGTCGAGGTCCAGCCGCCCACTGTGACTTCGCACCCGACGTAGATCATGGTGAACAGCGCCAGCAGCTGCACCTTTTGCTGCTTGACCACCGCGCGCAGCTTGTACATGCCCGAGCGCGTGTCTTCCACGGGCGCGGGGATCGGCATGAGGTCGAGCGGCGCATGCGAGCTGGAGCCGGGCGTGGGCGGAATGGCCTTGTCCTTGTCGTCGGCGGAGTCGGAGGCCTGGGTAGCGGTGCGAGGCTGCAGCTCGATCGACGCTTCGTCGGTGGCGAGCTGCTGGGCTGGGCCCTCGACAAGTTCATCGCGCTGCAGCTTGAATGCTACAGTGACCATCGTGAGAACGGCAAGCGCGAGCGCCAGACTGACGCAGAAAAAGTACTGGAACGCGATGCCCTTTCTGCCCTCGTGCAGGAACGGGATGGCTGCCAGCGGTGACGAGAGCGCGCCGAGGCCATACAGAAAGTGCACGACACCGAGCCTGACATCCGACCTTGGGCGCTGCGAGATCCACACGTTGACGAGCGCATCGAGTGAAGAGTTACTCATGCCGGAGAACATCATGGCGACGATGAGCACTGGGAAGGGCGGCATGGTGAGGAAGACCACGGGGAAGACGAGGCCGAGCGCGGCGGCAACGCTGATGATCTTGCCGAATCCGAACCTGTCCATGAGCGGCGAGACGAATGCGGCTGCGATGATGCAGCCGACGAAGGTGCCGACAAAGAGCATGGATACGAGCACGAAGCTCAGATTCCAGTGCTCGCGGATGGCGGGCAACAGGGCACCGGGCGTGGCATCCACCCAGCCTGCGAGCAAGAAGCACGTGTACAGCGAGGCCTCCTTGAGGAAGGTGCTCTTGCTCGCCTGGGCATCCGAGCCCTCGGGGGCTGCGGCGAAGCGGCTGAACGCGCTCTTGAACGCCTGACGAATCGGACCATGGTTGCGCGTACGCAGCGAGGCAGAGGCAGATGCAGGCGCCGATGCAGTAGCAGCTGTGCGGGAACGCACTCTGGACGCAGCGGGCAGATCGACGGAAGCCTCGCGCAGCGACATGACGGCAATGTCAAACGGGGATGGGCACCGATAAGCAGGAAAGTCTGACGCTGGGGACTATCTGAACCCGCCGCGCGGAAAAGGCGAGGGCTTTATACGAAACGCGGGACTGTGAACCCCGGTCAAAAAAGCTTTATGAAATTGACCGACGCGCCGGCAGTATGGCAGCTGCTCGGGCGTGCCGGTCTTCAAAACTCGGCCACGTCGGAACCTTGCCCTTGACAGCCGTCCAAGCGGAGAGGAAGGCGGGCTGAGTCGCCGGAGACGAGCCGACGAGTGGCCGGCGTGACTCGTTGCCAAGGCGCGGTCAGCAGGGGTCTGCTGTCGGTTATGCCCGAAACCGACCTCCGCGTGATCCGCGGGCCACGTCAACCAAAATCACGCACCGAGCACTCACCGAACACGCGCCAATCCCACAAACCCCACAAACCCTGCATCAAGAAAACATCCGCTCCGTAGGAAGGCGATGATCAATGGCAAAGCATCTGTCCATTCGGCAATACATGTGGGGACAAATGTCTACGCCCGGCGCTCCACTGAATTGTGCAGTGCGGGTCGGTTCTTGGCCTTTGCGCCCTTGGGCTCCCTGCGCCCACCAGCGCCCCACAGCTCGGCGATAAAGCTGGTCATCTCCTCAAACAGCTCTCGGTACGCTCCGCGCACGCTGATGCTGTGTGCGCTATCGGTGAACATCCTGAAGCGGAAGCCGCGGAGCTTGGCCTTGGTGAGCATGTCCAACAGATGCGCCGAATTGCTGAAATGCACGTTGTCGTCTGCCGAGCCCTGCATGAGCAGGTACTTGGTCTTGCCAAATGCGCTGTTGACGTGTACCGCCGAGGCGTCGTAGCCTTTGCGGTTGGTGTGCGGCGATTTCATGTAGCGCTCCGTGTACACCGAGTCGTAGAACGCCCAGCTCGTCACCGGCGCCACCGACACGGCGAGCGAAAACACCTTTTGGTCCAGCTCGACACTCTTGGCCGTCAGGTAGCCGCCGTAAGACCAGCCCCATACGCCCACCCGCTTTTCGTCGACGTACGGCAGCGTGGCGATGGCTGCAGCAGCCTCGTTGACATCGTGCGCCTCGGCATCACCCAGCTTTCCCGCAACAGTGGCACGGTACGCCTGCCCGCGGAAGCCAGTGCCGCGTGCATCGACAACGACCACAATGTAGCCCAGTGTAGAGGCGACGTACTGGTGCCAGTCAGCACGCGCCCACCGCGCATCCACGAGCTGCGAGTCCGGCCCGCCATACACGCGCACCAGCACGGGGTACTTTGTTGCGCCAGACGCATCAAAGTCATGCGGCCGGATCTCCTGCACACTCGCCACCGCGCGGCTGCCATCCGCCAGCGTGCTGTTGAGCACGAGCTGGTAGAACGTGCTGCTCGGCTTGACGTACTGGCTCGACATCTGGCGCAGCAGCACGTTCTCCTCGAGCATCAGCTCGAATGACGCATCGTCCACTCCCACCACCTTCTGGTACGGAACGTCGGGGCCTTGGTAGTCGAGCACGTAGTACGCACCCTTGGGGTCGAAGCGCACGTCGTACGAGCCGGGCTTGGACACATCCGTGAGCGGCACGGGCTCTTTGAGCGTGTAGGTCGCCGGCGTGCGCGACGATGCCGAAGCCTGCCAGTCCGGCAGCTCGACATAGTACGCATTGCGCAGCGCGGGCGTCGGGCGTGCGGCTACAAAGTACGCCCGCCTGCGCCGCGCATCCACGTGCTTGAGCGCAGCGATCTCCCACGCGCCGTCGGTGAGGAAGACCGGCTGATCCGACGTCGCAGAGTCGTAATACGCCAGGTGGCGGAAGCCCTGTGGCGAAACGACAATATCGAGGTAGGCTGTGGAGCCGACCGAGAGATTGTGGTGGGAGAGCGGCTCAATGGTCTGTGCGGCACGGATCCAGCCGCTCTTGTCCGCACGTGCATCCTGCTTCCGCACCACTTCACCCTCTACATCCGCACCGGCACTTCCCGCCTTGATCGTCGGCAGCATGCCGCGCGCAACGTCAAAATGCACGATGCGCATCACGTCGCTGTACCGATCCGTCTCCTTGACCAGCAGTGCGCTGTCCGACACCCATTTGACCTCAGTCACCAGCCGCTCCTTGACGCCCGCGTCCGTCGACAGCAGCCGATCCACCTCGTCCGCCGCCTTGCCCTTGCTCGACATCGGACTGTGCAGCGTATACTGCGTCGGCCGCACCGCGCCGCCCTGGCGCGTCGCAGAACGGATCTCGTCCAGATCGATCATCTTGACGCTCACCGTCGGATTCGCAAAGCCCGGCTTGGGGTACTTCATGCGTGTCATCTTCTGGTACGCCTGCGTCATCCCCGCGCGGTACAGGTCCGGATTGTAGACCGGGAACTCGTACACGGAAACCGCCGTCTCGTCGAGGCGCAGGAAGACGAGCTTCGAGCCGGCCGGACTGAACCACATGACCGAGTCGGTGCCGAACACCTCCTCCTCGTACACCCAGTCCGGCACCGCGTTGAAGATCGTCGCCGCCCCGTCGTCGGTCACCTTGACCGCACTCTCGCCCGCGCGCGGCACGACGTACAGGTTGTTCTCCTCGACAAACGCGATCGTCGGCGCCTCGTCCTTGTTCGCCCCCGCTGGACGCGGCGCCCAGGCGGCATAGGTCACCTTTGGCGGAGCCTTGGGTCCCGATCCTAGCTGTGTGGTCCTCTTGGCCGCAATTTCGTGTAGCCACAGATGGCTCTTCTTGCTGTATCGCCACTGGTCGGTCTCCTCGGTGAAGAAGAGCACCCAGCGCAGATCGGGTGATAGCTTGAAGCTCGTCCAGGTGAGCATCCTGCCGTTGGCATCCAGCACGTTTTTGCCCTCGACCACCAGCACCTTCCCTGCGAACGGCGCCACTTTACCGCTGCCCGTCTTTTGGTGGCGTGCGTGCGTGACGTCCTCGAGCCAGATGTCGCGCTTGGTCCAGTCGACATGGCTGAACACACCCTCGTCCGGATCCTCTTCGCTCCACGTCAGGTCGCTCGTTTGCGGTGCAAGCGTACCGCTGAACACCGTGTCCATATCGAGCGGCATCAGATCGTGCCCATCGTGCGTCTTGAACGAGGTCACTTCGGCCTCAGTCAGACCCGTACCCGCAGCAGCCTGAGCCACAGTTTCCCAGCCAGGGTCTTGGAAGTCGACTTTGAATAGCTGTGTGTTGGCGAGCGCGTAGTGACCCGCTGGCGTGTTGGGCGAGGCAGGCTGCTTCCAGCTCTGCGATGATTCCATCGATGCATCCGCCGAAATGTTGTTGCTTGGCTTTGCTGTTCCCACGGAGGTGCTCGCTGGGGCTGCAGAGGCTGTGTTGGACGAGAGCCACTGCAGGAGTGGCAAAGCGAGCATGAAGCCGATCACGACGCCGGAGAATATCAAACAGCCTGAGAACGCAGTAAGTCTACGCTTGCCCGAGCGGTGCGGCGAGGAGCGTAGCTGACTCCAGATGCGCGAGCCTTGGTGCGGTTTGCGTGCGTCACGGTCAGCCTGCATGAGTCCGACCTCCTCGTCATCGTCAAGCCGCACCCCGCCAAGGCCGTCCTCCAGCTCGTCGTGTGCATGGTAGCGCGATGAGACTCGGGTTGGCGGGTATAGAGGAGCATCGTCGGACGAGGCGTCGTCGCGATAAGGCTTCTCATCTCGCTCCTCCACCGTAGCATCCGACGCTGTTGCCTGCGAGTCGTACGACGTCCGTGGCACCACTCGTGGGTCCACCATCGCGGGAAGTGCACTTCTTTCCTGGCGTGATCCGAGACTAATGCCCTCTTGAGTGTGCCTGTAAAACGTCGGATGGTTGCGCCTGCTACTACTCTAAGTCGAGGCAGCCGCAGATGGTGGTTAGAGTCCAACACCTCAGGTGGGCTTGAGCGTGGCCGCAAATCGGAATTCCACATCCCTGTTCGGCTGGCGAAATGTAATCGCCGACGCGCCCGCCATGCATGTCGGCTGCCTCCCCGCATTCCCCGTGACACGCACGCGCTTTCCAGCCCCACCAGGCACCGAAATCATCTGATTCCACACAAATCCACAGCACATCGCTCGAGGCTTCCAGGTAAAAAAGGTACAGAAGGTGACTTCGGGCATTAAACGACGACGAGAGTCCGAGCTTGTACAGGCCGCAAGGCGGAGAGACAGAGGGGGGATCAAATCGAAAAAACGAGCGTGGTCAGACTCTCCCGACACTAGCCCCGCTGCACACTGTGCCAGCAATGCTGAGGGGAAAGCCACAGTCGGCCAAGATGGGGGGAAATGCCAGCGTAGGCACAATCGTGGAGAGGGAAGAAGAGAAGTTGGGTTCAGGGGATGTCCTTGAGGGGAAAGGATTGTGGAGACAAACGAAGGGGAGAATCACTGGGATGGCGACGACGTGCGCCAGCCACCCGGGTATCAAAGAAGACATCGCGTTCAGATTGGCGACTTGCGCTTGGCAAGCCCGGGCGACGTTGACTGCATGAGCACTGGCGTGCCCTGCGCGCTAGGCCCAGAATTGGACGCCGTGCGCTTCATGGGCGTGCGCATCGCCTTGGCATTGGGACCATCGGCCTCCGGCCCAAAGAAGCTCTGGTCGGCAAGAGAAAGACCATGGCCGTACGAGGGGAATCCGTTATTGGTCACGAACGGCGAGCCATCGAACGGCTTGAACTGGCCACCCGCCAATGACCCCGGCGCCGGCGACGGAGGCAGCGGAGTGTTGATCGCTGCCATCATCGCTTGATGCTGTGGCGTCAGCGGCGACGGCGGCATGCTCATCACGCCCAGCCCTGCATTGCTTGCCGATAGCCCTGCTGATGTCGGGCTCACGCTCGGATGCATGCCGCCAAACATGCCAGATGCAGCCGAAGTGTCAATTGCGAGCCCCGCCAGGCCCGGTCGGTTGACGCCGCCGCGGCCGATATTGAAGTGGGGTGCAGGCATCTGTCCCTCGCCGAAAGAAGCCGAGCGCTGCGGCAGACCAGCAGGCAGCATGCCCATCTCACCCTGCATCGATCCGTGCATGGGCGAGCCGTTCATGGCAAGCATGCTCTCGCTATGCGCCGAGCTCGCCGACACGCGACGCGAGATGGGCGTGCCCGTCATGGCGAACCCATCCGGCGCACCGCCAAAGTGGTGTTGGGGTGCATGCATCGGTGGCGGAGCGTGGCCCGGCCCAGGCACCATGCCAGGCGTCGGGCCCATCCTCAGCCCACCCGGTCCGACACCAGCGCCGAACTCGGGCTCGGTGACAAAGATAGGCGGGCCATCGTGACCCTGCGGCGTCCACAGGCCTTGCGGCGGCATGGGCGAGGGCAGGTCCAGCGTGGGGATGCGCACGTCGAAACCAATGTTGCCGCCGCTCGTCTTTTTGACGTGCTCGAGCACCAGGCCAAGCACGTCTCGGAGTTGGGTTGTAAAGGTTCGCAGCGCCATGTTCTGCTCTGTGAGCTCCTCGAGCCGGAATTGCATCTCGTCGACCTGCTGACGCAGCTGCATCTGCCCCACACTGACGCTGTACTGCAGATCGCGAGCTTCGACCCGCGCGTGTTCAGAGTCCAGGGCCTTCCTACGGATGTCATCGAGCAAATCCGAACGGCCGCGCAGGAACTTGGGATGCGAGAACTCCCAGATCTGCGCGTCCACCGACTGTCGATGGCCGCGGGGCGTCTTGTTCACCTTGTAGAAGCCGTACATGTTCAGCTGTCGGATAAAGCTGGAAAAGTTGCTGTGCTTAAAGTGCTTGCCCAGCACCTCCTTGGCGAACTCGTCAAAGTTGCACACCATGACGCTGGTGCCGTTGCGATTCCAGCTGATGAGATGCTGGTAGTCGGGGTCGCTGACCATGCGGAAGAGCTTGTAGACAAATTTGCTGCTTTGGCGTTTCTCTGCCGCCAGCTCGGCTTCCGACTGGCTAGCGACATTGGCATCATCGATCGAGACGTCACCCATGCTCTGATTTGCCGCGCCGCCGGCACCGAAGCCGGAGCTTGGGCTGTCGGCATTCTGTGATCCCGCGGCGCTTTTGATCGAAGTAGAGCTGTAGGAGCGCATCGTCGACGTCAGGCCAGCCGACTCGTTTCCGAGGTTGTACTCGGTCTTGAGAGGAGACGATGCGGTAGGAACGCCGAGGTGGGCTTCTGTGGCTGTGCCCACCGGCGCATCAGGATGCAAGAGCGGCGAGGTTGATGTGGTGCTGGGCATGTTGAATGAAGCAGTGGCATCGGCCGGTGACGCGAGGGTGGACTGAGGTGAGGCCGTGTTGTTAGGCGGGAAACTGAGCGAGTTGGCGACGCCCTGCTGCTGGTGTGCCTGTGCGTGTGAGGCGTCGGCTTCACCGCCCGTGACCGAGAGGTTGGAGATGTTGAGATGGAGATTGCCGCCCGACGAGGAGCTCGGGCGCATCGCCGAGGTGTCTTGAGCGTACAGACTGAGCGAGGAGTCGGCTGCGCTCATGTTGCCGATCTGCTGGATGGACGCAGGCGAGCCGGCGGCGGAATGCTGAAGTTGGTGATGTGGAGAGGATGAGGACGGAGCCTGAAAGAAGGCATCAAACGCGGGGTCAAAGCTTTGACCGTGTTCCATGCCGTTCATGTTGAGCAAAGGCGGACCACAGAGGCAACCGAACGGCGTCCTGGAGCTGCGAGTGGCGAGCGTCGGTGGCGCACCAAGGGTATCAATGATGGGCGTGACGGCCTGCTTGAGCGCTACGTTCCTGCTCCGACAACAGGCCAGAAGATGCTGCGCAGAGGGCAAGTGCGGGTGCAGGAGCTGTCGACAGCGATCTTTTCGGCGTTGTGCGTGAGATTGTCGTTCGGTCTTGCCGGGCGATTGTCACGTTGGAAAAGGATGGGTGCAGACGAGTTCGAGCGAGCAATCGACACTCGTCTTCGACACGCACGGAAGAGGGCGAAGAGAAGCTTACTAGGCGTAAGGATGGAGCAAGGCGAAGCGATGTAGGCGGAAGCACCTGTGCGGAATCGAGCCGATTCTTGGTTCGGACTTGCCGAGGACCGGACGAGGCGAAGGCTGAATTGCAGCTGTGCCGCACCTCGTGCGCGAGCAGACGTTGACCGGACGTAGCCGATGGAAGGATTTGGTTGCGTTGCAAAGAAGGAGCGATATGATGCTGGGCTAATGCCGAAGCTCACGAGAGGTGAAAAGAGCGAATGCTGGCCAAAGCCGCGCACATTGACGAGTCGACCGAGTCGGTGTGGGAACGACCGAGGTGAGCACAGGTGGACTCGAGAATGCGTTTGTAGCGGTGCGTTGCGTCGACCGGAGCGTCGCAGCGCGATGTCGAGTTTGTCGAATGGAATGGGAGGAAGGTGGAAAGGCAAAGGATATCGTCGGAGCAACCTCCAAGGGGCTTGCGATGTCGCTTCCGAGAATCTTGAGCAGAGCGGACAGGGCAGCGCGAGAGAACAACAGACCCGCGAAGGCAGGCGCGCAACGCTTTGAGCGGAGGAGGGCGAACGCACAGGCGAGCGCGGCGCGACGGGGTGGCCGAAACCTCAGGAGCAGAGCTGGGGCAAAGGGGCAGGGCCAGAGCGGAGCCAGACCGACCCGCCGACGCAGAGCGTGTCGCCAGTTAAGCCGGTCAGCCAGCTACTGTAACTTGGGCGGAAGCGCATGGCGCCCGCAGCGGCAGGGCCGGCGCAGCGCTGTCTGAGCGGAGAAGGGCTTGACAGCCGGGGCGTGCCACGCACTCTAGCCTGACTGTGCAAAAATGGGCCGAGCTTGGACGCCAGCTTTGCACCAGAGGCGGAGGGAGAGGCAGGAGCAGAGGCAGAGAGCAGTGAGCGTTGGCCGCAGAAGACTGGACCTGCTCGCTTGTGCTGGCGGCAAGTTAGCAGCGCACCTGCGAGAGCCGAGCGTCTGCACATCGCAAAAAGTCCAGGTAGCCTGCCAGCCAGGAGGAACTCCTTTCAAGGCGCGTTCGGCTGTGAGTTGGCGCCGCCTCGAAATGCGCTGCGTGTCTCAGTGTCGCATCTTGGACCGGGTCGCGCTCTGTCGGGCCTTCCGGTGTGATAGTCAAATAAGTTAGCCACGCAGAGAGTGCGGCTCCAGTGCCTCTGTCCGCACGCGCATGCCTGCGTCGGGGATGCGAGGCTGGGCATGTGGATCTCTTTTTTTTTGTTGCAGCCGGGAGACCGTGCACGTATTCCTTCGCTTCGTCGAGGCTTTGTTAACAAGAACCGAGAAGCGAGAAATGCGCATACGAGCTGGTCCGTTGAAGCTCATTGTTTGGCGTGCCTGTCGTCGGCCAAAGCTAGCTTGACGAGACTTGCCTTGTGCATAAGAGTGGACTTGCTTGCGTGGCTCGAGTCAAGATGCAAGAACAGGAAGAGGGACCATCCAGCTTAGGCTAGGAAGGAGCGAAGGCGGAGCAGCACGGCCCCACACGTCCTCCCCACACCCTCGCGAGTGGGCCTATGCAGCGTCCAGACGGCTTTAGCCTCTCCCAACCGCCCCTTAACATCGCCCACGGAACGCGCTGGTGCAGTCTCCCCGCCCCTTCCCCCATTTAGCCAACGGGATCCCCGCGGTGCTACTTTCGACAGCTTTCAGAACGGATATGCCGTGCTCGCCTTGCCCGCACCGGCACGTCTAGGCCGCACGCTAGAAGCAATGGGCGCCGGCAGCTCGCTTAGGCCTTCAAGCTCCCGCAGATCCGCCCAGGCTGCGTGCCTATTCCCGACTGCTCTCTACGCCACGGCTAACCTCGGCCATTTCGTACACCGACACCATGCTTGGCGTTGCAAGGGTCATGCAATACCAAGTGCATATGCAGATGCAAAAGTGATGTGTTCAGGCTGCTGATCTATTGTACAAGGATACGGGAATGCGTGAGCTTTTGGTCGTGTCGGGGGATGGGTGCGATACAGCCAGGACCATAAGCGGGCCGGCCTAGGGCCCTCGGCCAATCTGGGCTTCGCTCCCACTGGAGGGTGGCGGAGGCGGCGGAGGTCGAGTTCCAGGGTGCGCCCCGGTGCCATCGTCCCTGAGCCGGCTATCCTCGGTCGAGTCGCTGTGCGGAGCCCATCTCCGCTGCCAGCTTTTGGGCAAGAGTGCCCGTAGGAATGCGAGTCCCCCTCCCGTCGAGGCTGCCGCGCCAGCAGCGTGCGGAGGGGCAGGTCCAAAACGGTGTTGATCGTCGAGACCGGGCTGTTGTGAGTACGGCGGCGGTACAGGATCCGCAAAGCCAAACGCCGGCAGCTCCAGCAGCGACGGCTGCTGCTTGCGCGTCTTGGACGAAGCTTCGTCTCGTCCGCGGCCGTCGCTGCTGGCACGCGCCTGGGCTTCGATCTCGCTGATGGTGCGGTTGCGCTTCCAGCCGTATTTGGACCTGAGGTATTCCTACGGGAGAGGCTCGCTGCTCGAAGAGAGTCGGTTGAGGTGCAGATACACATCCGTGCCGTAGCCCTCCATCGAGATGAGCTTGAGGTCGCCGCCAAAGTAGCGCGCATACAGCCGCGCGAGCGGCAGTCCGTATCCGAATCCAGCCATGGGCGCCTTGAAGTCGGACGCGTTGAACTCGGGGTCCAGATCCTCGGACTGAGCCGTGGTGTACATGTATGTCCAGACCAGCGGCATCTCGCTGCGCGGGATTCCTCCGCCCTCGTCGCTGATCTTGATGGTGATGTCCTCCTTGCCCTCGACGACGATGACCTTGATGGGCGGGAAGTTGTCCTCCTGGTCCACGCCGTAGCGCTCGACGACTGCACGCAGCGAATTCTTGAGCAGCTCAAAGAGCATGTGGTTCAAGTGGCTCGGCACGTACATGAACGTGAGGTCCGGAGGACATACGAGCTGGACGGGTGGGCCCTTGAAGAGGCCGTAGTGCTCCTCGCAGACGAAGCGCGCGTTTTCGATGGCCTCGTGCGCCATGGCGCCTACGTTGGTGTTGGTGCAGATTATGCCGACGTACTGTTCGTGCTCCTGGTTGCCGTCGACCTTGACGCGGGCGATTTGGTCCGACAGCGAGTAGTCGCCGCTGCTGCTGACGGTGCTGCCGCTGCCGCCGCCGCCGATGAGATTGGCGGCGGGGCGCTGCGAGCTTCGGCTGAGCGCAATGTGCTGCCCGATGAGAATACGGATGCCGATACGCGAAAGGTAGAAACGATCCAAGAACGCCTGCACGTCGGCCTGGAGCGTGTTGGCCTTTCTTGAACGCTTGTATTCGAGCACGCCCTGTGCGATGGTGGTGACGACGGCATCGTGCCTCTTTTTGATCTTCTCGAGCGCCTTGGTAAAGTCCTCGTTGTACTGGTCGATCTCGACGGGCCACTGCTGGTCGGGAAGGTTGGCGTAGTAGCGATGTTCGAGGAGTGCGCGCGACTTGGAGCCGTTGCCGTTTTTGCCGTTGCCATTCCTGGGTGCAAGCGCCTTTGCCATGCCCGCTTCGCCGTCGCCGATCGAGGCCGACTCGAGCAGACTCGGATTGGGTTTGGATTCAGGTAAGGGCTCTGCCGTTTTTGATGCGCTCTGAAGCAGCTTTTGCACCGCTCCCGACATTGTGGGTTTGGGAAAGTTGACGAGCTCCTCGAACGACTGCGCATACCAGTTCTTGACCTTGACGATCGAAGGCATCTTGGAGAGGTCGTGGGGTAGCTCGTCTAGCTCCTTGACACGATGTGCCAGGCGGATGGGCAACTCCTCGTGGAGGAAGCTGCCGGCCTGGAGAATGGTCCCTGGGTTGGGATTGCGTCCGAACTGCACCATCTGTCGCAGCGAGATGCCAGTCTGTGGGAAGCTGGCAAAGTGATGCAGCTGCTGCCACAGCCTTTGCGAGATTTGGTAGTTCATCTTGAGTGATTGTGCGGGCGCGTCCGCCGTAGAGTCGCTGTGGTAAGGTTGCGGGTGCCGAGTGGCAGAAGAGATCGGTCTTGCTCCGATAGCCTGGCGCGACTGGATGCGCAGACCACGAAGCAGATGCTGGCTTTACCGACGCCAGTCTTGCAGCAGAGTCGGAAGAATGCCAATGACGTTCGTGATCGCCTCCGGTTCGAGAAGAAGCTTCTTCTACGCCTGCCAAGTTTCGGAGTGTCGTGTCTGGCGAAGACAGCGGTCGTCAGGCAAAGCTGTTGCTTGCAGACCTCGATTCAGCCAGGGTGCTTGCTGCAATGTTGCGCGTCCGGTGGTTGCTTTGCGTGCAAGGACCCAAGTGTGCTGAGACGAGTCTTGTGTTGAGCGAGATATACCGCGGATGGACAGGCCAATGATCAGGTGGAAGCAGGAAGCGGTGTGGGATGCTTGCGTGGGCGATGGGGTAAGCAGGGAAGGGAGTGAGGTCGCGGACGCTATCACAATACTGCAGCTTGGACCGGCGACAAGCGAGGCGAATGCGGGCGGCCTGCGGGGAAGTCAGCGGGCGTGACTCCATCCCAAGCCCGCTCGAGCTAGGCGAGCGAAGCCTGTCTCGCTCTCCACCCGGCGAGACCGACGCTAGGCTGCCGCCAGCCAGGCTGGGAATAACCGGGGCAAAATCGAATGCGCTCGTGCGCCAGTCACAAGAGCAGTCACAAGTCAGTTGCCAGGGACTGCCTGCGACAGCCGGTCCGCGAATTTGCGCCCGACCGGTGCGGAGGCTGCGCGGAGCTTGCCGATTCCAGCCGTCCGTCGAGGCGACACGATGCCGGAAATCGAGGCTCGCAGGCTAGTCTCGGACAGCAGCTGTCAGGCAGCATTTCAGCTCGGACGTGAAAGGTCGCATGGATTTTTTAGAATTTGAATGTTAGGCTTCATTGGCAGTATCGTCCGTCTCGATCAACCCTGGGACTAGCTCGCACTCTCGTCCCATCGCTCAAGCCATCACCATCTCAAGCAAAGTTTAGAACGAGCGATCGCAAATCATGGCAGAGATGAATGTCTGGACTGCATTTCCTCGTACTCAAACGTACATCACGAGTTGATCACGTGGCTGCGGGCCGTGGCCTCCTGGTCAGCCTCGAGCCTCTGCGGCTCGGTCCTAGGGACAGGCTCGTTAAGCTGGGCCTGTCGCATCTCGTCGATGCCACGAGGCTTGGCATCGAATCCACCAGGGTTGTCTCGCAGCGCCTCGAACTTCTTGTCTTCCGGACCGCCCGTGCCCTCGAAGCGAATGCTCGACTCGCCCGTGCGCTGGCTGCGACCGTCGCCACCTTCCTCGGGAGGGATGTTCTGCGGGTTGGTACCGCCGCCCGTCTGTCCGGTGCGACCGACACTGACCGAGGCGCCAGGGAACTTTTCCAGACCCGACTCATTGACACCGGACTCCTCCGAGGTCACGGTCGTCTTGGGATTGAACGAGTCCTTCAGACGGTTGTCCGACTTGCTGTCCAAATCCTGGAACTGTTCGGCGTGATCGGGCAATGAGATGGCAGATACTTTTAGTATCCCTTCCCTCGCCTAATTGAGCAGATGACATTACTCTGCTGTTATGACAAGGGACTTTGGACATACCTGCTCGTTGATGATCTGCTGATCAGACTTGCCTGCGTACGCTTCCGACATGTTTGCGATGGAACTGTGGTGAGTATGCTTGATGGTGAAGATGTGAGAAGAGGGGAGCACGAGCAAGTCCGACGTCTTATAAGCCTTTCTGAGATGGAGAGAGCGTTGCACTCCAACGTCCTTCAGCTCAATCCGCAGAAGGCGGAAGCATCAGAGCTGACCCTCTTCACGCCCTGTGACCTCAACTAACATCAACGAGAGTTCGGCCGTCCTATGAGAGTGAGAGCACTCGTCGACATGTGCAGGCAAACGGAAAGTCTTAGTTGATCCGAGCTGAATCATACGCTCACTCATCTCGCGTCTGACAGCCGTTCAAGGCGCTCTGGCACGCCGGACGTCGAAAAGTGGCGGCTGATCTTCGAGGGATCATCTTCACTCAGCGTGCACACTGCGCCAGGTACTGACGAGAGCTGCACGCTGGTGGCGCTGGTGAGTTGCCATGCTTCGTTCCAACAATGGCAGAGTTGGGCAGGTCGAGCCCGCGGGCTGTCTCAGGGTCTGGAACAGTCAGACCTGATGTCAGTTCGCAGCGGCGGCCTTTCCATCACCGATGCCTTTTGACTGGATCGAGGAGACACCCGATCGACTGACGCCGGCTTTCGGATCCGGGAGCGCGTCGGCAGTCGTTTGAAGACGGAACAAACAGGACGGCTGCTCCGTGGTCAGAGTTGAATTGTGATCGATTTTGGATGATTTTCAACCAGCCTTGGGTGAGTTCAACTTCTGAAGTTGCCCTCACTTGAAATTCGCCGCTGACCGAATAGAACAGCTCGCAGGCAGCAGAGCCTCACAATTGCGGACGAGAGAAAGCAAGCAGGCTCTCGGGCGGCTGGCTGGCTGGCTGGCTGGCCGAATTGGTGGCCACGGAGGGCAGAGCAGAGCAGAGAGCGCGGATCAGGCAGGGAAGGCAAGGCTGCTGGGATCGATTTGGCTTGTAGAGCTGCCTAGCGCGTGTGTGTTCGTTCTTCCAGTCGAGAGAGCCAGGCTGGGCGGCGGCGAGTTCGTTCTGCTGCGAATGGTGCGGGCGTAGCGCATCTGGTGGATACTTCTGATCACCTGCCACCACCTCTCTTCATCACCCCTACATCCGCTGATCCGTCACCACCCTCACGTCATGTCGTTCCGCGTTGCTGCTCGCCGGGTGCCCACCCTCGCCCTTGCCCGACCCACGGTTGCCCCCCGTGCTGCCACCTCGGTTGCTGCCATCCGACTGTACAGCGACAAGCCCTCGCCCGAGGCCCGTGCTAGCTCCATCATCGACTCTCTGCCCGGCAACTCGCTCGTCAGCAAGACCGGCTGGGTCACCCTCGGTACCGGTCTCACTGCCGTCGCCATCAGCAAGGAGATCTACGTCGCCAACGAGGAGACCGTCATCCTTGTCGGCTCGCTCATCTTTGCCGTCCTCGTCGGCCGCGCCATCACCGGCCCCTACAAGGAGTGGGCCGACTCCCAGATCGAGGTAAGAATCACAACACGCCGACACAGACCACACAGCCGCCAGCAATTATGGCCCTCCGCCTCCGACACACAGACACGACACGCATGTGCAGATGGAGGAAATTCAGTAGGAGCAATAGGACGCCAGCCAGAGAGGAGGACCGGATCGCCACGGAAAGGCGCGCGACAGATGAAGCTCTGCTCAGGATGCACTATGCAGTATTGCTGTCGACAACGAAGCACAAAGCGGTTTCCTAGACAGATGGTCTGGCTGAGTCACGACGGTGGATCAGCCAGCACAGAGCCTTGCCGCCCGAGCTTCGCTTCTTTTGTCCTCAATTCTGCTCTAGCTATAAGGCTATCACCTCCGCCACCACAACATCGCAGGCTCGATCGCATACTGGAGACTACGACCACCAGGCACCTCCATCACAGCATCGACTTGGGCGGACCCTCATTGACGCTGCGGACTTGTGCTGGTCTGCTGTTCGAGCCCAGCGACCGATTCGAATGTGAACTCATGCTGACCTGCGGCCTTGTTGCCCTTTCCGCGTTTACAGAAAATCTCGAACATCCTCAACGGCGCTCGTGCCAAGCACACCGAGGCAGTTCAGACTCGCATTGACTCTGTGGAGCAGCAGAAGGACGTTGTTGGCCTGACGCAGGCACTGTACTCTGTGGCCAAGGAGACGGCGCAGACGGAGAAGGAGGTTTTCGAGCTGCGACAGAAGACGGCGCTCGCGGCCGAGGTCAAGGCGGTGCTCGACTCGTGGGTGCGCTTCGAGGCGACCGAGCGTGAGCAGGAGCAGCGCGAGCTCGCAGCCAGCGTGATCCAGAAGGTGCAGGACTCGCTCAAGGACGACAAGCTGCAGAAGCAGATCCTCGACAACGCCGTTGCCGAGATCGAGAGCCTCGTCAAGTCCAAGGCCATCTAAACCACCCGCAACCCCATCACACCATTCGTCCCCAGTCGCCAAGGGATCAGACGTGCACCATCGATCTGATGGTGCGTCGATCCTCTAGCCTGGTTTTGTCACTTTACCACCGGCGGATCTGTAGTGGAGGCGGTGTGATGCACCGCCGGCGCCATCAAGTTTCGCTTCTGAGCAGCTAGATCGCAATGCTCTCCGGCTCCTAATACAAGCAACCATCGAGAATCCCACGGCCAGCTTGCGAACACCGACGGTGCTCACTGAGAAGCACTGGAAGCAGGACATGAAAGTCTAAAATGAGATTGTTATACAAGTACATGGAGCGATTCTGCTCGGGCAAAGATAATCAGTTGTTGAGCGAGAGATTTTGGGTCTTGTCCTCCACCTCTGATGTTGCGGTGGTGTTGGATGATGGAAGGGGCTCTGCGGGTGTCAAGTTGGATCCCTCTGGGCCGTCGATCATTCGCTCAAGAAGGAACTTGACGATGGCCTCCTGCTCCCTCATCTGTGCCTCGCTCATGGGGCCTCTGCCGGCGCTGTTGCGGACGTCCCAGAGCTTCCTCTCGGATCCGTCGTTTTCGTCGCCCTCGTGTGCCTCGTTGGGCTGCTCTGGCTGCGCGCTCGACTTTGGGTGGAAGATGAGGTTGAGCTTCTTGGCTTCCTGCGGATGCGAGGCTTCGAGCTTCTCGATGTGTGCGACGAGAGCCTTGACCGTGTCGAGGTGGCCGTTGAGGGCGGCCCAGTGAAGCGGCGTGTTGCCAGACTCGTTCTGGGCGAGCAGCAGCGTGAGGTCGGAGTGGGGCAGCAGGTAGGTGACAACGTTGAGGTGGCCGTTGGCGCAGGCGTAGTGCAGCAGTGTGTTGGCCGACTCGTTCTTGATGCTGGCCAGCACGGAAGAAGCCGAGGAGGCCGAGGAGAGGAGCGGGGCGAGCGTGGATTCGAGGTCCTCGAGATCGCCGTAGCGAGCCGAGAGGAGCAGCTCGTCGATCTGGTCGCTCGTGAGCGCGGGTGCCTTGTCCGTCATGCTGTCGTGTATGAATGGGCGTGGGAAACGTCGGAGGAGATGCGATAGATCGAGGGAGGGAAAGGATGTGACGAGCTAAAAGTTGCGGACCGTGCCTCTTGATTCAAAGAGCGTGGAGGGCTGCGAACTTGACTCAACAGCTGCCTGAGCAGCAGCGCGCAGGAAGAAAGCAAAGTGGCCGCCGTCGGTGCAGCCGGTGGTGCAGCGCAGTCGCAAATTTTGGTTTGGGAATTTTTTCGCCTTCGACCCCGCGAGCCGGCATCACCTTTTTTTTTTTTTCTTCCAGCCCAGCCACACACAATTTGAGAAGGCAGAGCCGGTCTGGCAGCGTCAGGGTCCTCTCCACTATCCCAGCCTCAAAGGCCTGCAGTGCTACCATCACCCTCTGCTTCTTTTCTCCAGTCGAGACTCGTTCCGCACAGCATCTCTATCGGAGCACTCGGCCTCTACACTAGCTGGACGGCCTTACATTAGGCCCCCACTATCAAACTGAAGGAGCAGGGACGGAACATCCGGACGTATTGTCAGCCTCTTCCTTCTCACGGGACCATCACATTTTCGGCAGCCATGGCTCCAACACGAACCAAGGCTTCGAGCGTTGGCCAGCCGTCGCAGCCAGCGCAGTCGTCGCGCAAGGGCAAGAAGGCATGGCGCAAGAATATCGACCTCACCTCCACCGAGGCTTTCCTGGAGGAGCAGCGCGATCCTCTGCGCCAGACTGCTTCGGACGCGCTCTTTGTCGAGGACCGCTCCGGTCAAGAGACGCTCACTGCTCGCCAAGCGCGGGGCAAGCGCCCGCTGAAGAGCCTCGAGATCTTGCAGCGAAACTTTGGCCACGCCGCGGTCGCGCCCGCCAAGAAGCAGAAGCAGGCTGCGGGCGTTGACAGGCGCATGGAGCAGCGACTGCGCAAGATGGTCGGCCGCCAGCAGGTGGGCACGCAGGGGGATGCATCTGCCATTGTCGACCGCAGCGCCAATGTGGTCAACAAGACGCTCGGCGACGTGTACGATGTGTGGGGAAGCTCGTCGGGCGATGCCAAGGGCAAAGCCAAAGCCGACGACTGGATTCCGACGGGAGTGGCCAAGCCTGCCGTGCACGTACCCAAGACACTGCGTCGTGACGACTTTGACGTGGCTAGCAAGTTGCCTGCCGTCGAGCTGCCGCACCCAGGCTCGTCGTACAACCCGGACCTCGAGTCGCACGAGGCACTCATCAACGAGGCGTACGAGATCGAGAAGCGGCTCGAGGAGAACGAGCAGATGGACCAGGCGGAGCGCACTGCCTGGCAGTCGAAGCTTGCCACTATCGTCGCGCGCGAGGCCGAGCTGCGCGCGCAGAAGGATGACGACCTCAAGCGATACCGCGGCATGGACGTTGACGTTCCCGGCCTCGGCTCTGACGACGAAGCCGCGGCAGAAGACGACCTCGACGACGCCAGTTCCGACGACGAGGGAGCCGAATCCGCCGAGCCGAAGCGCAAAACTCGTCAGCAGCGTGTGCGTGCCAAGCGTGCACGCATGCAGCAACTCGAAGCCGCCCGTCGCAAGCAAGCGCGCATCGAAGCCGCAGCGATCCTTCAGCTTCCTGCGCTCAAGCGTCGTCAAGCACGCCTTGCTGCTGCACGCGCGCAAGCTGCCGAGGCGCGCAAGCTGGAAAAGACGGCGCTCCTGGAACGCAAGGGTCTGGCGGGCCATAAGGTGGGCAAGCACAAGGTGCCGCAGCAGCAGCTCGACGTGCAGACGCCCGACGAGCTCGCCGACAGCCTGCGCACGCTCAAGCCCGAGGGCAACCTGTTCCGCGACCGCTACACGCGCCTTCAGTCGCGCGGTGTCATCGAACCGCGTGTCAAGCAGACGCCCAAACGCCGAACGCACAAACTCAAGGCGTACGAAACGCACGACTACAAAAAGTTCTCCTAGACCCCTCCCGCTCCCTTGTCTGTTTTGGTCGTTGCTCCAATGTCATCCCATACGATTGTGTGTTCGAAAATCGCCGTGTGTGGGCTGGTATTACGTCTGCGCGAATGAGAGGGAGTCTACGAAGCAGGAGCATCCGATGGCTCGGCTGCGGCGGGCGCTTCGTCGGGCTTGGGTTCAGCCTCGACTTCGGTGCTGGCTTGTTCTTGTGTCGGGGCAGCCGAGTCGGCGACCTGCGCGTCCGACTGCTCCACCACCGGCTGCACGGTCGGCGCGGCCGCATCCGCCATGGTCACATCGGCCGCCTCAGCAGCAGCAGCTGGCTGTGCTGTCGCGCTGTCATCGGCGCCAGCCGGCACAGAAGCCGCACCCTGTGCAGCCTCGACGGCCTCGGTCGCGGTCTCGGCCACCGCAGCAGCTGGCGCATCCTCTGAACCCGTCGTCGCTGCTGCGTCTGCCGTCACCTCAGCCACGGGCTGGGCTGCGGATGCGACGTCCGAAGTGCCTGTTTCAGCCGCTGCCACGTCTGCGTCTGCGGCCGGTGCAGCTACTGCCTCGACGGACGCAGGCGCAGCCTCTGCAGGCTTGTCCTCGGCCATGGCTGTCGCCTCAGCAGATGCGACCGGTGCGACCGGTGCGGGCGCGGGCGTGGGTGCGGGTGCGGGTGCGGGCGCAGGCGTCTCCGACTGCGTGGGCGCGATGCCAAGTTCGACGTTGAGCTGCTCAATTGCCTCGCGTTCGGCCTGCGATGCTGTCTGCTCTGCTTGTGCCTTCTCCTCCTTGGCTGCCTCTGTCCCCGCAGCCACAGCCGCCTGTGCCTGCTCACCTATGCCATCCGCTGCTGGAGCAGTAGCAGGTTTGGGCGGACGCAGCTCCTCGGGCGTCTCGGCACGCACAAATCCGACTCCGACGATCCTGCCCCTCGAAGCGTTGTTGGCCCACGCTGGCACCTCGCTATCCAGCTCGTCGTCCGCCTTGCTGCTCCTGCCCTTCTTGCTTCCGGCGCTCTCGCGCACCTCGCGCATCTTTCCTTCATGCTGCTTGGTGAGCTGTGCGATCTCGTCGTGAATCGCAGCCGCCTTGGCCTTGAGGTCATCGTGCTTCACATCGGCATACGGTGATGGGGCCGGGGTGAGCGTGTCGATGCGGCGTGCGTCAAAGACCATGCTGAGCAGCTCGTGGTTGCGCGCATACCGGGCGACGGCGATGTCGCGCGGGCCGAGGCGGTCGAGATCGTCAAAGATCGACTCGGGCAGCTCGTCGGCGATGGTGGGCGGCAGGTTGAGCCCGAGGAACGGCGGCATGGGCGCACGGCCGTGCATGCCGCCGGGTCCAAGCTGCTGCGGATGGCCGGGATGTTGTGCGTGCGGTCCCCCGGGACCATGCATGGAGAGACGTCGCGGCATGTGCGGCTGCGCGTGGTTGTGCACGGTGAGCTTGCGCTTGCGACCGCGGTTCGCCGACGCTGAGGGCGAGTCGAGATGCTGTTGGTGTGCTTGCGGCGGGTAGAATTGCTGCGCATGCGGGTGCTGGCGGTTCATCATGCCTGGTGAGGGAGAGGATGAGGCGCCAAAGCCTGGATGGCCCGGGTGGCCCGGATGCCCAGGTTGTCCAGGATGTCCAAAGTGAGCCGGCTGACCGGGGTGGCCTGGATGCCCTGGATGACCGGGATGGACGGGGTGGCCTGGATGGCCGGGATGCCCACCAGGGCCATGCGGAGGTGGCATGTTCATGCTGAGTGCGCTGTGTGGGTGAACAGTCTGTTGTTGAGCAGACAGAGGAGGTGCGGATGAAAGCGTGCTTGCAAGTGATGATGGAGCAGCAAGAAGAGCAACTGGCTCGCAGATGGCGGCGTGTTGGCAGCCGAGTGGACGCGACTCGACTCGCCTCGGATTCCTAGAGCCAAAGGCGCGCTCTCAAGATGGAAATTCTCCATATTTGTTAGACCTTTCGAACTGCCAACGCTAAATATTTCCACTGAGAGCTCCACATTTCGAACAGACGCTCCGACCACCCTTTCGACTGCGCAGACGACACCACCCAGCCGCTCTCGTCGATGGATCCTACCACCACATACAACTCCATCACAACTCTTCGGGAAGTGCAACAAGCACGTTTTCAAGCCCAGCACTGAGCTGCGGCCCTACCACTCGTCCGACGCCCGCCTCGAGTCGAGGCGTACTTTCAGGCCATGCCGCCTCGCGTAGCCGACGACGAGTACGTCGATGATGGAGCGGACGCATACGATGCCGAGGACTTTCTGGACGACGATGACAGTGGCGACGAGTACCGCGCTGCACCCTCGCTGCCAAGGCTAGGCACGCTGCGCGCTGGTCAGGCTGCGCGCTCGTCGGCCGCGTCCGCAGCAACGAATGGCAAATCTGCCACTGGGGCTGCGCGCTCGTCGTCCTCAGCTGCGGGCAAAGGCAAGGCGGCGGCGTCGGCCAAATCGAAATCCAAGGACCAGGGCTACTCGTGGGAAGCCACGTACAAGCGTTCGTGGGATGCGGTGGCCGAAGACGATTCGGGCTCGCTCGAGTCTGCGGTGCGCCAGATGATCGAGGGCTCCAAGCGGCGACGTACGCTCAAGGACGTGGCGCCCGTGCAGCGCGGCATCATCCGCCACCTCGCGCTTCTCATCGATCTCTCGGCGAGTATGCTCGAAAAAGACATGCGGCCGAACCGGTTCGATGTGACGCTGCAGTATGCGCGCGAGTTTGTCAACGAGTACTTTGACCAGAATCCGATCGGGCAGTTGTCGGTCATCGGCACGCGGGAGGGTATCGCCGAACGACTCGCCATGATGGGTGGCAATACGGTCGACCATACGGCGTCGCTGTCGAACAAGCGCCGGCTCGAGCCGAGGGGCGAACCGTCGCTGCAAAACGCGCTCGAGATGGCGAGGAGCAGCTTGGTGCATCTGCCGGCATCCAACTCGCGCGAGATCCTGGCGATCTTTGGCAGTCTCACCACGTGCGATCCGGGCAACATCCACGATACCATCAATACGCTCGTCAAGGACAATATCCGCGTGTCGGTGGTGCATCTGGCGGCGGAGGTCAAGGTGTTTAAAGACGTGTGTACGCGCACGGGTGGGGTGTTCAGCGTGGCGCTCAACGAAGGACATTTTCACGACGCACTATTCGACCTCGTCCCACCACCTGCCGTCGACGGACCACGCAAAGGAAAGCGTCGTGCTGGAGCAGAAGAGGAGGAGGAAGTTCAGAATGGCGTTGATCTTTTGCAGATGGCATTTCCGCTGCGCCTACCTGCGCATGCGGCACCGACGCTGTGTGCGTGTCACTCTCGATCGCGTGGCAGCGGGTACCTGTGTCCACGCTGTGGAGTCAAGGTATGCGATGTACCCACCGACTGTCCCGTCTGCGGCATCACCATTGTGATGAGCACCCATTTGGCGCGTTCGTACCACCACCTCTTCCCCGTCCCCAACTGGAAGGCTGTTGCATGGGAGGCCGTAGGAGACCGTGCCGAAGACGCCTGTTTCTCGTGCAACTTGCGATTCCCCAAAAAGGACGACAATCGAACACCGGCGGCAAACAAGGCGCTCGAGGATGCGGGGCTGTCGCCTTCGTCGAGGTACAGGTGCACGAGATGCAACCACGACTTTTGCCTAGAGTGCGACGCTTTCGTTCACGAACAGCTACATGTATGCCCCGGTTGCTGCTAGTAATATCCAGCCATGCTGAAAAGCGACCAAGACGAAGGATGTGTGCGTGTGCAACGAGTCGTGATTGGAAGGTCATTTCTGAGGCTCGATTTTGGCACCGCATTTCCTGCGTGATTTTCAGCGGGTGAAATTCGCGGATCATGGTTCAAGGTAACTTACTGCAGATTTGCTAGCGTTGGCTCGCCCCAGCTGCGATCCTCAAAAGCCCGTGAGGGTTTGCGTGGCTGTGGCCGTCGATGGCGAACATATGCAGTCGGTGACAAGTGGGCTGGGACACATACACTTGGCCAATATAAGACTAAAAGTACAAGATGGAAGAGGGATGCAAGTCGTGAAATCCTGAGTAGCTGCCGGACGTGTTGTTGGCACGTCTTTGGGCTCAGATTATGGAAGAGCGGGATGGAGCCATCACGCCGCACGGAGCGCCTCTCCGTGCTCTGCATTTGCGCCTTCTGCTTGTGCGTGGTTGGGGAGCTCATCGACAAAGTCTGGCAGTTCCTGGTTGGACTGCAGATAGCTGGGCACCGCATCCGCACCTACATCCTCTGCATCCAGATCGTCTGCGAGCGCATCGAGCTCGGCCTGGAGATCCTCCTCGTCCACCTCGTCCGGCACGCCGTAGCTGCGACCGAGCGTCTCCTGCACCTCGTTGGCCGCCTCGATGAGGTCCTCCATCTCGTCCTGCATGGACTCGATCTTGTCGAGGTCGATCTTGCCGTACGTCTTGCGCATCTCCTTGTTGGCGGTCTGCATGGCGTCAAACGTGGCCATGGTGTTGCGCAGGTTCTCGGTGGTCATGGTGGCCTGCTCCATGTTGTACGACTGCTGCTGCAGCTGCGCCAGCTGGTTCTCGTAGAGTCTCTTTTGCTTGAGCACGCGCAGGGCGCGTTGCTGGATCGCCGTCTTGCCCGGACCGTCGCGCATCTTCTTCATCTGGTCGCGGTACCGCGCGAGCTCCGCATCGAGCTTGCGGATCTTGACCTCGACCCCGTCGGCGCGTGACTCGGTGGAGGCGATGGCATCGTTGAGCGACGGCTTGGGCTTGGCAGCCTTGGAGCCGAACAGCCGGTTCATGGCGAGCTGATAGGAAGGGTACGCCTGCGTATGCGCTGTACTGACAGGCTTGGATGCGTGGTGGATGGGAGGGTCGGAGGATGGCGCAGGGAGGCTCTGGGAAAGATAGATGGATGATGATGATCAGGGTCCATCGGGAGAGTGGTGGAGCGGCGTGGCAGTTGCCGAGCTGATCTGGCTGCATCCGTGCACAGCCTGCCTGAAGCCCAGCAGTTTGCAGGCGCCGGGGCTCAGCTGGAGCGCAGGGTGGAGGTCAATCGGCCCGCGCAGCCGTAATTGGCGGAAAATAGAAACGCGGCTGCCCCGATCCAGCATCTTGAGCGCTCGCTCGCCCTTGGTCGCTTGGCAGCGGCGTCATGATGCCGCACAGACGAATTGCCTGTCGGCATCTCTCCGTCGACCATCTTGGCATCGCTCCTCATCTTTCCCATCTTCTCACGCTCCTCGCTCCTACTTCACCTCATCTCTCCGCCTTCTGAGATCACCTTGCGCAATCACAGTGACCGACTCTGGCACGTCACATCGCGCATCGCTTTCCGATCTTGGACCCGCCTGTGCATCGGCAGCTCCGTGATTCTCGCTCTCTCACTTGCACCCACTCGGACACCCACGTAGCCCTCGCAGCAAAACGTCGCAATCATGTCGTGGGGTGGATTCAAGAAATCGATAAACCGCGCCGGCACGACGCTCATGCAAAAGACGGGTCAGGTGGAGCGCACAGTAGACAGCGAGTTCAACTCGACCGAAGAGCAGTACCGTACACTCGAGCGCGAAGTGACGTCGCTGCAGAAGGAGGCCAAGGCGTACCTCGATGCCATCCGATCGCTCGCCTCGTCCCAATCGCGCATCGCCGAAGCCGTCGATGGCTTCTACACCGACTCGTCTGATGCTGCCATGTCGGCCAACGCCTACCGTCGAGCCGTCGACGAACTCGACACCAAAACCGCCAAGGAGATCGACGCCCCTTACCGCGCCACTGTGCTGGAACCCATCGGCAAACTCGCATCCTACTTCCCCGAAGTCAACAAGGTCGTCGAAAAGCGCAACAAGAAGCTGCTCGACTACGACGCTGCACGATCCAAGCACCGCAAACTCGTCGACAAACCCTCCGACGACCCCACCAAACTACCCAAGGCGGAAAAGGAACTCGAAGACACCAGAGTCATCTTTGAAACCCTCGACGACCAGGTCAAAGGAGAATTGCCCCAACTCGTCGATCTCAGGATTCCTTACCTCGATCCAAGCTTCGAGGCCATGGTCAGGATGCAGGCAAAGTTCGCAGAGGATGGTTACGAAAAGTTGGGTGGCGTTCAGAGGTTCTTTGCAGACGGCGTGCGCGAGGAGTACGCCGACGGTCAGCTGGACGCCCAGGTGGAAGCCGTGCTCCAGGAGATGCGCGAACTGTCCATCTGCGGAATCGGTCAATAGATCCCACCATCCAACCCGGCTTCTTCGTTTCCCCCCCTGCCTCTCATTGTATTTTTTTGTTCGTTCTACTCCCCTTTTGCTCCGCCTAACCATCGCATAACACTCCCACGCCCTGTATGTGTATGCCAATGCGTGTCACTGTCTTTGAACTCGGCCTGCATGTTCGGTGGGAGTGGAGAGCGAGAGGTTCAGCTCTGCTGCTTGGCGCCTTGGCCCAGGATGCCAACGACGTGCTTGCAGCAGATGCAGCCGATCAGGAAGCACTCTCGGCGGATCATTTCGGCCTCTGATTCGCTGATGGCGCCCGTGGCACCCCGGACGGGGCCGATGAGCGCATCCACATCCACCGTCCTCTCCAGCGTCCTTTCCAGATCCTTGTTCGTCGCCACCACCATGGTGTGCAGCATCATGTTGCGCTCCTGTCGCGTCAGCAGGCCCGCAGGCACGTCCTGGAAGCGCATCAGATACTCCACCGCCGATGCGTAGCGTGGCGAAGTCGCCAGCACCTCCTGCCAGTCTCGCGGCACCGCATTCGTCGATGCGTTGCGCAGTGCTTCGCTCGCCGTCTCGGATAAGCACACACGCACGCCCATGAGGATCTTGGTCGTCCGCATCACATCCTCCGCCGCCTGCTTGACCACCATGATCTTGGCGTACTTCTCCTCCGCCGCTGCGTTCCGACGACCCGCCGCGCGCTCCGCTTCCACCTCGAGCTCGTACACTTTGACCACGTAATCCACCACGTGCGTTAGATCCGCCTCGCTAAAGTACGGCCGCTCCGCCACCTCGCTCGGCACGCGCGATCCCAGCACATGCTCGGCAAACGAGACGCAGTCTCCCACCAGCCCGGCGAACACCGCTTCCGTCGCGCGCCGCATGTCCGTCGCCGCTTGCTGCCGCGCACGCGCCTGCGACGCAATCTGCTGCTGCTGCCGCAGGAACTGGTTCATGTCCCTCGATGGCTGCATCGTCGGCCCCGTCGTGGCGAACGCTGGCCCTGCCATGGGTCGCGTGGCATGCACCGGCTGGGCCTGCTGAGCAGGCACCGCCGGCGGCTGCATGGTTCTCGTGCTTTGATTCTGAGCCTCGGGAGATGGAAGAATATACACGGGTCTGCCAGGTCCGGCCGATCGCGCCGACGTCTGCGGTCCTTGTAAAGTGCGACGCGCGTGCGTGGCGGGCATCGTTGCAGCGACCGACGAAAGCGCAGCTGGCGCGGGTGCGACTGTCGCAACTCCACCCACCGGCGGTGCCAGTGACTGCCCAGACATCGGTGCAATGGGTTCAAGGACGCTGGGACGCGCATTGTGCTGCGGCACATGCAGCGTCGACGGGTCCACACATTGTCCCGCCACGGAAGTGTGCGGAGGTGGATTCGAGTGAGATTGCGCCATCGGGACAGCTTGCGTCGTCTGGCCACCCATGTCTCTCGCAACCGGCACGGGCTTGGCTTCTCGAGCCTCGTCCAGCGTCGATGACGGCGGAGCCGACGCTCTTGCATCGACTGCAGACCTAGCCGAACCAGGCCGCGGCGCAGGCGCTGCATCCGCAAATCTGAATTCGGGCAACGTATCCGTCGGCTGGGGCAATTGTCTCGAAGCAAAGTATCCCTCCTTCTCCTTGCTCCAGCATTCGAGCATGTGCGGGATCCTGGGGAACTCCATGAGCGCACGCGCGATCACCCTTTCCGGGATCTTCTGCGCCAGATGCTGCACCGATCGCGTGCTGGCGACCTTGTTCATGAGCTCGTGCATCGACAGATGCATGTGCGTCTCGGCCCTCGGATGGAAGATCCTCGGGTACAGGTCCTGCAGGCATGTCCATGGAATCATGTTGGCCGGGTCCTGCCACCGCTCCACCAGATCTGGAATCGTACGTTTCGTTGCTTTGCCCGCGCGAAGCGGCTTGAGCTGCTGCAGCATCTCGTACGACGAGCGCCTGTTTGTGATGCTGGCCAGATCCTTGAGCAGCGACTTCATGCGGTCGGCCATCGTCATCTTTGGCCTGCTCGCTGAAGACACAGGTGCAGACGCAGATGTGTCGGAAGACGGTTGGCTATGCGCTCGATCCAGGCGCCGGAGCTCTTGAAGCAATACGGAACCAGACGCAATGTCAGGTTCGGGCACGACGACCGAGGCACGATCGTCGTCGATACTGGGGGCGGCTGGTTGCTGCTGAGCGTCGGAGCTATCGACCGCGATGCTGGGCCGAGCTGCAGAAGGGTCTGAGGTGTGCTCAGTCGCAATCGCCGCCTGCTCTTGGTCCTTCTGCGGGTCCTGACGAGGGTTCGGGTTAGCAGGCGATGCCTCATTGAATTCAGTCGAGACGGAGCTGGCAACATTGAGCGCGCCATTTGCGGTCTCTTGCGCCTGACTGTCCGAGCCATCGATTGTGTTGCGTTGATGAGCGTGTTGGAAGACGGGTGCTGCAGCGACAACTTGCGCGTTTGCGTCTGGCAGTTCTGCCATAGCGTGCGCTGCAACCGTGGCTGTCATGGCAGAGTCGCTGGATGCTACCGCGTCTTGGCTCGGCTCGGCTTCGGCTTGGTCGGTCGCCCGCGTTGTGGCTGGCAGCGGAGCCGCCTCTCCAGTCGCATCAGCAGTCGGATGGTCCGCTGGCGGGATGACTGGAGTTGGCGTGACTTCATGTGTATCGTCGCGACGCGAGGGTGCCGTTTCCGTCGTGCTGCTCTGTACCTCGTCTGGTACTCGAGACGGATTTGCGATGGGTGCAGTCGGTGAATCCGCGGCCATCTCGATGTCGGCCGGATCAACCGAACGTGCGGGAACGGGCGTTGATGAGCCGTCTTGTCGCTCGTCTGATGCTGGAGGCGACTCGGCAGTTGGTTGAGCTGATGATGCTCGAATCTCTTCTGTCGCGTCCATGACGACATCGCCGTCGGCCGCGTCAGCGCCCTTTGCCGCAGCTGCCTCTGTTTGCGGCTCCCCCTCTGTGACAAGCGTGGATGTGGTGCTATCGTCAGGAATCGGTTCTTGATTCTCCTCCGCTAGATCTGCACTCGGCTCTCCCGTCGGCACAGGTGCAGCTTCCGTCGTCATTGAAGCTGCAGCGTCTGCAGAAGCTTGTTCCGCGACCGGCTCTTTCGCCTCTTGATCTGCAGGAACGCTCGGCTCGCGTGCATCCACAGGCTGAGCTGGCGCTCCGTCTTGCTCTCCACTGGCGACAGGGACTGCATCATCGTCTTCTAACTCATCCACCTCTTCGAGCAGCTCGTCTTGCTCTTCTTGCTCTTCTGGCTCTTCAGGCGGCGTTCCATAAGCTCGTGGCGAGTCGACCGAGGCGATGCTGGCCGGGGGGCCTGCGCTGGTATCGCCGGCCTCATGATCGGCGAGTAGGTCTACTTCCTCTTGTCCTGCGGCTGCATCACCAGATGCGCCGATTTGGCCCATTTGCACGTCTGTGGGGTCCGATGGCTCCTGAACGTCGGCCTGAGCGTCAGATGTTTCGATCGTAGCCGGAGGAGGATGCGGGGTTTTAGACCTTGAGATGTCGTTGCTGGGGGCTACCGCGTCGTCTTCGGCTACGGCTGCAGGTGCTAGGCTAGCCTCTTTGCTTGTCGATCGTGATGAACGGACGGGCTGTGCTGCATGGGTGCTGGGGGATTCTGTGCGCTTGGTGATCGAATGGCGTTGAAGGAGATGAGTGTTCCACGCTCGAAAGACGACGGCAAGCCTCTTGTCTAGCCGCCAGGGGACCGAGCAGGTGATGACGTGGAGGTCCTTGATGGTGGGCGTGGGCCCGAGAGCCGTGAGCTGCCTGTAGAGGGTGTCGGCCGTCTCGCGGTGGCGATGGGCTTGGTCGAGTGATTCGGAGTATCTGGTGATGGCTCGCAGCACCTGTTCGATCAGAGATGAGCCTTGGGCGAAGGCGGCGATGATGGTATCTTCGGACTCCATGTTGGATGCCGCGCGGGTTGAGGTCGACAGGGAGGTTTCCCTGCTGCTCGCTGCGGTGGGTGCGCTCTCAGCCGGAAGAAGCGACACTTGCCGGCCAGGGGATGATGAGGATGAGGTCAAGAAGAGTCGATCGCGATTCTGCACATGCGGCAGGGTCTGCGGTGATTTTGCTGGACTCTGTTCGAGCTTGGTGGCGACAGGCGTGGTTCTTTCCGGTTGGGTTCGGGATTGTGAGGCAGCTGGGCCGGTCCAGCCCACTACCTCGAAATCGTTGTCGGAGTCGGACTGAGCGGCTGGTGGCTGCTGGGTCGATGTAGATCGAGTTCTACGTCTTTCTCGACGAGTCTCGGTGGGGGGTGATGTGGCTTTGCGCTTGCCAGAGCGTGATTGAGTTGGAGCCGAGGTTGAAGGTTGCGGGGCCGAGGCAGGTGGCAGTCTACTTGAGCGGCGAGGCGAGTGGCTCTCATGCCTGGCAGAAGCAGAGCCATTGAATTGAGAGTTGGACGGTGCATTGCGCTCGGACCTGCGAAGGTCGCGGATATCAAAGACGGGAGGGCGACCACCTCCGCCATACAAGTTCTCCCAGCCGTAGACTTTGTAGGCCTGTTCTTCTCTGCGCCTTTGTCGGCGAAGTTTGCGCGCAGCAGCAGAAGGGTCATCCTGATCCTCCTCGTTGGTCATAGCAGTGGCTCTGGTGGAGGTGCTACCGTTGCGGGAGGAAGAAGGCTGGCTAGGTTGCGTTCGAGATGGTCCCGGCTGCGATGCAGTCTCTCGCGCCATTGCGACGGGGATGGAAGTGGAAAGGAAGCAGGAGACGTCGACTGAGCATGGGCGGATTGAGGAATGCGGACCCGAATGTGGAGCCACGCGGCTCAGCCGATGTCGATGGGTGACGAGGAAGGTGAAGGTTCGCTCGAGAGCGAGTTGGTAATGATGATGAGCTTCTTGACAGGCGCGCATCACCGGCCCAACCAACAGCTTCAGGGTCCCGTCGCTCCACATTTTCGCGACGCGGGAGAAATGTGTGATCTCGTGAAAGAACAGATTGAAATCTTGAAAATGCTCGCGGCGTTGGGCGCGAGAAGACGTTTTTCAGCGGCAGGCCGATGATGGCGCTGTGCGGGCGAAGAAGAAGCCGAGCGGCGAGGAAAAGTGGAGCGAAATTCTGAGCAGCAGCGGTGCAGTAAATTAGTAGCAGGAGCAGACGGCTGAGCTGGAATTGGCCTCTGCTGGCCGCTGCTGGCCACTGCTTTGTCGGAATCTCCGCTGATCGCTCCGCCTCTGCTCCTCGACCATCGCAGCCACGCAGCACCGCTTACAAGCCAGCTTAGCTTGACCTTGCCGAACGAAGACCACAGCGGCAGCAGCTCGATCTGCTCCAAGCACTCTTCTGCTCGGAACCGTTCCGAACGCATACAGGAGCAGCCGATCTTTCCATAAATCTCCTGGTCTTTCTTCACACATCACCACCTGCAATCGAGCGCCGAAGCTGGTGATCCGCGCTATTCGGCCACACCGACCATGTCTTCCTCCACCCCAACACACGCAGAGTCGTCGTCCTCGGGCAACTCGTCTGCGCCCTCGTCTCCCGCCGCCTCGTCGGTGGCCTCGCTGGGCACCGATGTGACGCAGCTCGACCAGGCATCGGCAACGTCCGCTGACGTGCCGCCCTCGCCATCCAAGGAAGACATTGCTCTGCCTGTCGAGGAGCGTCAGGCAAAGGCAAAGGTGCTCAAGGACGAGGGCAACAAGCTCTTCGTCGCCGGCCAGTACGACGCCGCCAAGCACCAGTATGGCCTCGCCATCGCACTCGACCCTTCCGTGCCCGCCTTCTACAGTAACCGTGCAGCGTGCGAGCTCAAGCTCGAACAGCACGGCCTCGCCATCGAAGACGCCACAAAGGCCATCCAGCTCGACTCCAAGTTCTCCAAAGCATACTTCCGCAGGGCCAGCGCACATCTCAGCATCCTCGATCCCAAGTCGGCTCTGCCCGACCTCAAGATCGTCGCGCAGCTCGAACCCAAGAACGCCTCGGTCAAGGCGCAGCTCGAGGCAACTGTCAAGCTCATCCGCCGTCTCGAGTTCGAGAAGGCCATCAAGGTCGCGGAAGGCGTCAAGGCGGCCGACACGGTCGAGTCCAACCTCAAGGAGGGCGGCGGCGGCACCGTTGTGCCCGACTCCTACGACGGCCCTCGCATCGCTGATGGCGACGACGAGGAAACCAAGCACCTTGGAAAGATCGACGAAAAGTTCATCAAGGACATGATCGAGCACTTTAAGAACGGCGGCAAGCTGCACAACCGCTACTCTTGGCAGATCATCCTGGGCGCCTTCCGCGCGCTGCAGCAGGAGCCGACGTTGGTGGACTACCAAGTGACGGACGGCACGACGATCGACGTGATCGGCGACACGCACGGCCAGTTCTTTGACTTTATCCACCTGCTTAACAAGACGGGCGCGCCGAGCAACGACCATGCGCTGCTCTTCAACGGCGACTTTGTCGACCGTGGCTCGTGGTCGGTCGAGATCGCGCTTACCGTGTTTGCGTACAAGTGGCTCTACCCCAAGACCACGCTCATCAACCGCGGCAACCACGAGACGTCCGAGATGAACAAGGTGTACGGCTTCGAGGGCGAGTGCAAGGCCAAGTTTGGCGGCGACCTGACGTTCAAGCTCTTCACCCAGGTGTTTGTGGCGCTGCCGCTGGCGACGCTCATCAGTGCCACCCAGGCTCCGCTCACGGGCGATGAGCTGCCGGCGTCGTTCTCCGTGGCGCAGCGCCAGCCCATCACGGACAAGGACACGGGGCGAAAGCGATTCTTTGTCGTGCACGGTGGCCTCTTCTCCAAGGACGGTGTCACGCTCGACGACATTCGCGCCATTGACCGCTTTGCGATCGGACAGCCCGGTCAGGCCGGATTGATGATGGAGCTGCTCTGGAGCGATCCGCAGACAGCGCCGGGACGCGGCCCATCCAAGCGTGGAGTCGGACTTGGCTTTGGACCGGACATCACCAAGGCGTGGTGTGAGCTCAATGGCGTCACCGCTGTGCTACGCAGTCACGAGGTGCGCATGGGCGGCTACGAGGAGGAGCACGAGGGTCGCTGCTGCACCATCTTTTCCGCACCCAACTACTGCGATTCGACGGGCAACCTCGGTGCATTTGCGCGCATCGACGCTCAGGGCAGCATCGGGTGGACCGTGTTCGAGGCCCAACCCCACCCGAACATCAAGCCCATGGCGTACGTCGGCAATGCGATGAACGGCATGCTCGGCATGTAATCTCCCGAGAAGAAAAGGCTAGAAACTCGTGCAATCATAGACATCTGTTTGCCCCTGTCGTTGTGATGGTCTTGTGTCTGGATGAGTCTCAGTCGGAGTATGGACGTTGCCCATGCTGCATAAATGAAGCCAAATCTGTCTATTCCGGAAAGCTGGAGTCTAGTGTTCTGGCTAGGAATCTTGGAACGGCGGCAGGCCCCAGGTGGTGGGATCGAAATCGAGCAACGAGTTGATGGTTTGGGAAGCGCCGAGTTCCTCGTTGGGGAAGAGTGCACGCAGGTTCGGATCGGGAACCCAAACAACTGGCACAGCGAAACAGCAGCGTGGGTATGTAGGTCAGTCAAATCGGTTCGCGGAGGACCGAGGTGGGGCTGTGGAGGGGACGTACCATGCATGCCGGCGGCCTTTGCAGCCTGAACGCCTGGCTTTGCATCTTCAAACACCAAGATGCTAGCTTCGGCGCCCTTGAGGTTGTGGTCTCCGTCGAACTGCTCGCCCATCGCACGCAGGGTGTCGGTCCAACTGTCTCCAAGCTGCTGCAGTGTTTCTTGCTCGTCGGGGTGGTCGCTCAGCAGTCCTTCCCTCGCAGCGAGCAGGAAGATGTCCGGATGTGGCTTGCCGCGTGTGAGCCTTGCATCGTCTCCACAGATGACGCGCTGGGCAAAGGGTCCAAAGAGTTCCGGGTGGCTGGCGGTCTTGATCTCGTAATTCCGGCGCTTGCTGCCCGTAGCAACACAGATGGGGATCTTGTGCTTGTGCAGGTGCTGTACGAGACGCGTAGCCCCTGCCATCTGAGGAACCTGCTCGAACGCTTTCAGAAGCACATCGTTGCGGTCCTTGAGGAACGTGTCGATGTCAAACGGACAATCCGAGCCGTACAGCTCACCCTCCTTGGTGGGAGGCCAAAGCGCAGATAGCAGCGTTACTACACATCACACATGGCAGGAAGCAAGTCAGCATATAATCAGCGGGAATAGGAAGGTGAGGCGAGCTTACATGTGGCTTCGCGCTCAGGCTTGCCCATAAGGTTGGCCTTGATCTCCCACGTCTGCTCCTTGCCGTAGGGGCGGAGGATGTCGTTGACCACAGTGGTGTAGATGCCTTCCGAATCGATCAGCAGGCCGTCCATGTCGAACAGGACGGCCTTGATGTGAGCGATGGGCTCGTTGGATCCAGCCATGGTTGTTGCTCTATGTGGTCTACGAGGTGGAGGACAAGAAGGAAGGAGAGTGTGGAGTCGCCGTGCGTTCGGAAGAAGCGTCGGCCGCGGTCCGAAGTGCTCAGATCACCATCGGGTGGGCGGTGGCTGGTTCGAATCGGGCGCGATCTAGCAGCGGGTGGAGAGTGTTGAGGTCGTCGGTGAGGCCGAGGAGCCACGCGTGTTTTTGAAAGCAGCGTGGGCCGAGTGTGCACGGATGCTCGCATTTCTCGACGTGGACCCCTCGCTCTTCCTTCACGACCACTCGCTACCAACGGCTTTGCTGCGACAACGACGCACGATGAAGGTGCTCATTACCGGCGCGTCTGGTCTGCTGGGACGCGCGGTCCATCAGCTCTGCACCGAAAAGAGCTACGACACCAAGGCCCTCGCATTCACCCGCTCCGATCCCTCCAAGGGCCTCGTCAAGCTCGACCTCACCGACCCTGCCGCAGTCGAGTCGTGCCTCAAAGACTTTCAGCCCGACGTCGTTGTCCATACCGCTGCAGAGCGACGTCCTGATGTTGTCGAAAATGACCCTGCCGCCTCGCACGCCATCAATGTTGAGGCCCCCGCCTCCATCGCAACGCTCGCCTCGCAGCTCGACAAGCCGCCCATCCTCATCAACATCTCCACCGACTATGTCTTTGACGGCTCCAAACCTCCGTACAGCGTCGATGATGCCCCCAACCCGCTGAATGCTTACGGCGTCAGCAAGCTCCAGGGCGAGCGCGCTGTGGCCGAGCATGCAAAGCCCGGCCACTTTACCAACCTCCGCGTGCCTGTCCTCTACGGCAGGACCATCACCAACGACGAGTCCGCCGTCAATGTGCTTCTCAACGCTATCCAGCCTTCTGCAAGCTCAACCTCGCCCAAAAAGTGCGATGCATACGCCGTCAGGTATCCCACCAACGTCGCAGATGTCGCAGCTGCCATCCTCAAGCTCGCCGAGGTGCACGCCGAGTCCGCAAAGGAGCTGCCACCCATCACCCACTTCAGCGCCAAGGAGGCCATGACAAAGTACGACATGTGCATGGTTCTCAGCCGAATCGCCAACTCGGTCGGCTTCGAAACCCGCACCGACCTCCTCGACCCAGAATACGAGGTGGATCCCATGGCCGCCACCGCTCGCCCACGTCACTGCAAGCTCGACACTTCGGTGCTGGAGGAGTATGGGGTGCCAGTTACCTACACTTCTTTCGAGGACTGGTGGCGCCCTTACCTTGCAGAAGTACGTACCCAGCGCACCTCACTGTGAACCGCCAAGCCGCGCTCGCATCTCGCCTATTGTGATGTAGCACAAATACGTCGCAAATGCCCAACGCTTCGTGCTCGCGTGTGAACTAGGCTGACCTGTGACTGCTTTTTGCTCATGCAGACGTTCAAAACAAAACAAGAAGAGGAAGCAAGGATAGCCGCTGAGGCAGAGGAGAAACGACGCAAGGACGAAGAGGAGCGCAAGAAGAGAGAAGCAGAGGAGGCGGCTGAGCGCGAGCGACAAGCAAAAGAAGAGCGCCGCATTGCTGCCGAAAAGGCCGAGGCCGATGCCAAGGCACGAGCAGAAGCTGAACAGAAGGCCCAGCAAGAAAAGGAGGCGCAAGAGGCAGAGCGCAAACGGCAGCAAGAAGAGCAAGCATCGCAGGCCACAGAAGGGGAAGCCTCGAACGACTCGCAAGCATTCAAAGCAGCAGATTCAGAGGTCAACGAAGCCACCGCACCCAGCTCCTCCACCGAGCCAGCAGACGTTCAGAACAGCATCGACCACGAGCCAGGCTCCCCACATCCGTCGTTCAACTCACTGAAGGCGCGGCCAACGCCACCAGCCACCTCCGGCCTGCCATCGCCCACCAGCACGCACCCTCCTTCCTCGATCAAAAGCGGACACCGTCCCGACACGCCTCCGCATCCGCACGACGGCACGCCGGCACGCTCGGCGGTCCCCATCTCCACCACCGACGCCACACCCACCGGATCCGTCATCGACGAGAGCCCGCTCAATCTCGCTGCCGCGCGCGAGAGGCAACGGCTCGGCTCGACGCTTCCGCAACGCTCGCTCAGTGCAAGCAGTGCGGCGCGACTCACCTCTCTCACCGACGAGAGCACCATGTTTGGCGGCGCAGCGCGCAAGTCGAGCGTGTCCGGCGTTTCCCACCTCGACACGGCCGCTGCAGCGTCGCGTCACGCTCCACAAGACTCGGACGAGGACGGATACGGCCAGCCCTCGCCGCGCACCAACCAGGCGAGCTTTCAGGATACCATCGTCAACGGCTCCCCAACGCCAGCAGGGCGCACGTCTGCGGACGGCAATGCGGCGAGAATGTCGGGCTCGATCGGCTCGCTCGGCTCCTCGGCCCCCTCGCGCATCTCTGCGGACGCCGAGCGCGCTCAGCCAGCTACCAGCAGCGGTGCTTTGCCCGCATCGACAACGCAGCCGCGTCTGTACCACCGCCCCTCGTTCGATCAGCTGCAAGACGCACGCGACCGCGAAGCGTACGAGCGGTTGCATCGGCGCAACTGGACGTTCACCATCAAGGTGGGCGACCCGCAGCGCATCGGTGACCCCATGACGGCGCACATCGTCTACACCGTACGCACGCACACCGACTGTCCGAACTTTGGCTCGCCTCACTTTTCGGCGCTGCGGCGCTACCGCGACTTTCGCTGGCTGCACGCTGCGCTGGTGCAGAACAATCCGGGCATCATCGTGCCGCCCGTGCCCGAGAAGGTGTCGATCGGACGCTTCAATGCCGAGCTCGTCGAGGCGCGCAGGATCGGCCTCGAGACGTGCATCAATAAGATCGCCAACCACCCGCTGCTGCAGCAGGACGACGACTTTCGGCTCTTCCTCGAGTCGGAGAACTTTGCGGCGGACGTCAAGCAGCGCGACATGGTCAAGGGGCCCATTGTGACGCCGGAGCAGAAGACGTACAAGAGCTGGGGCAGCGCATTGCTGGGTAGCGTTGTGCCGTCCACTTCGTCGCTCTCGTCGGGGGCGCTAAGTGCGTACAGCTTCGAGGAGACGGACGAGTGGTTCAACGAGCAGAAGATGTACCTCGACTCGCTCGAGAATGCGCTCAAGGGGATGGTCAAGGCGGTGTCGGCGCTGAGTACGCAGCGCAAGCACATGGTGCAGTCGATGCACGATCTGACCAACGTGCTGACGACGCTGTCGGGGAGCAGTTTGAGCCGCTCGCTCAGCACGTGTTTCGCCGGGCTCGCCGAAGTCAAGCGCCGCGCCATGGAGCTGGAAGATGCACAGGCGGAGGCGGACGTTCGACAGCTGGGCACCACCATGTACGAGTACGAACGTGTGGTGGGTAGCGTGCGCAAGGCGTTTAAGGTTCGTACCGAGGTGTGGGCGAAGTCGGCGCGCCAGGCAGACGAGCTGCGCAAGACACGTGTGCGGTTTGACAAGTACAAGGCGACCAACCCTTCTGCTGGCGGCGCACAGTTCCAGAGCCTCCTGGCCGAGGTCACCGAAGCAGAGAGCCGCGCACTCGAGGCTCAAAGGCTCTTCGATACGGTTTCGGCCAGGTGCAAGGACGAGATGGAGAGACTCGATTTGGAGAGGGTGCTCGACTTTAAGCGTGCGGTCGCGGCGTGGCTGAAGGATATGATTGCACGGCAGGAGGAGGTGGTCGCCGAGTGGATCGCGTATACCAACCTGCTCGGAAGACAGACGGGCGTCCAGGTGCTGGCTGCGCCCGAGACGCAAGGTGGTGAACAACAGCAGCAGCAACCGACGGCACAGCAACAAGATCAGCAGCAGCAGCAGCAGCAACCGCAACCCGCATCACAGCTGGCCTCTGCTCAGGCCGAATCTCAGGAAGAGGCGGCGGCATCTGGCAATGCGCTGGAGGCGTCTTCGGAGGCGCCGTCGTCGGCCACGGAGGCACCAGCTGCTGTAGACGCGGTAATCCCAACGACCGCGTCCGAGCCGGCCAGCGGCACCAATGCCGGCGAAGCACAATCTGCGACCGCGGAGGAAGCAACCGAGGCTGTCAACGAAGCGTCTTCACCTGCTATTGCCGACGCACCCGCAGACGAGCCTTCCCCTGCTGCCGAAGACCCAACCCAGCCCACCGAAGCTTAGCACCTTTGACCAGGAATCTTTATTCGCCGCCAAGTCCTACTTTGAAAGCATGTGTGGGTATTCTGACTGTGAGGCTACTGTATGTACATGGGTCTTAGCGGGTATACTTCTTGCGCATGGGCGGGAGACGCGAACTCCTCCTCTTGCGCGGCGAGATGTGTTCTTTCGCTCTGTTGCGCGGGACCGTGAGTTCGAGCACCACCTCGATTTCGTCGTCCTCGTCCTCGTCGTCTTCCGAGTCGGAGATGATGATGTACTGGGCACGGTCGAACTCGGGAGTGCTCAGCAGCGGGTTGCGCGATCGACTTGCTGCCGATCCTATCGACCCCACCGACCCCACCGATGCGCACGAAGGAGCAGGCGATGCTTCGGCCTCGGCCTCGGGCTCAGGCGATGGTGATGGCTCGGGCGATGTCAGCGCCGACTCGACGCCTTCTTGTTGCTGGTCAAAGGTGGGCAGGGGGTCTTGATTCGGCAGCCTCTGGAAGCGGAACTTGCAGACCTTGAATCCGGCCTTGCCCGTTTCCATCCACGCATGCGTCGCCCTGTACAGCCCGCTGTACACGTAGCCCTCCGCGGGTGCGTACTTGTTCATCGCCTTGTATCCGCGCACCACCCTAACCGGCCTGCCCGTCTGAGCGCTCTTGCGCAGCGCCGCATTCTTGCCCTCCCACTTTTGATCCGAGCTCTGCGGTGCCGTACGCAGGTTCTTCGGATTGTTCACGGTGCCTTTGAGATCTCGGCCCCCGGAGCCGGTGTAAGTGAACGTATCCCCCAGGTCTACATCGTCTTCGTACCCGCCGGATAGACAGATCGACCAACAACCCTCGACTTCGTTGCCGCTGATGCCTGCAACGGTGGGAGCGTGGACCGCGTCGGTGGAACAGTCCATGCGCTTCTCCCACAGCGTTCCGACGGGGATGCCCGGGATGGCGCCAAAGGTTTTCGGGTCGTGGATGCGCACACCTAGGCGATCCGCCCGACGCTGCAGCTCGCCTTCATCGCGGTGGTGGCGTGCCGGATTGAGGGTGCTGCGTCGTTTGGGTGCGTACTCGTCGTCCGACTCGACATCGAAGGTGTCGGGATCGTAGTCGTCGGCAAGGCGACGCTTGCGTGCAAATATGCCCTGGTCCGATTCAGCGCGCTTCATCCCCCATCGCGGCACCTGTGGCGACTCGGCACGCGACACGGAGCGAGTAATACGTCGAGGCCGTTCCCGCTTCTCCTCTCCGTTTGACGAATCAGCCTCGGAGGAGGGGGTAGGCTTGGGCTTAGGCTTGGATTTAGGCTTGGGAGTGGTGGGGTTCAGCTGCTTCGACGTCTGGTATAGGCCAAGCGACATCATCAGCTCCAGGTTCGCCTTGATGTTGGCAGCGCGCTGCGCCTCGTAGTCATCGTCGGCACCAAGCATATCCAGAACCATCGTGATAGTTTCTAAAAAGGTTAAAAGATGGAGCAGAGGTGGATAGATGAGGGGACGAGTAGGTAGGAGGATGAAAGGGATATGGAAAGGTGCGGATGGAAAGCAAGAATGCTTTGTGCACGAAGGGTTCAGCACATCTGGCTCGTGCGCCCGTGCAGAAATTCATTCCCGTCTCTCGCAAACATGCCCGCCTCGCCCGGCTGCCGAGAAAAAAGCGGATTGACCACTTTACGCGACACGCGTCGGACGCGTCGAGCGCGTCTCCCGCGACCCTTCTCAAGACATCGCCCGGTTCCCCTCTGGCATTGAACACAACCATACGCTCGGGCAGCGGCGAGCATATTAGATCTCGTGTTGAATTGTCATGTCCGGCGTATGCAAATCTAAAGCCGACTACCGTCCTCGCGGATCTTGAGGCCGAGCGCCCTGCCTACGATGGCGTACTTCTCGGCGGCCTCCTGGATCCTCTTCTGCGTGCTCTTACCCGCGCCGTGACCGGCATCGATCTCGACGCGCAGCAGCAGCGGGTTCGGGTTGGCGGCGAGCTTGTGCTGCATCTCTGCCATGAGCTTGAACGAGTGCGCGGGCACAACGCGGTCGTCGTGGTCGGCACACGCGAGCACGGTGGTCGGGTACACCTTGTTGGCATCCACATTGTGCAGCGGCGAGTACTTGTAGACATAGTCAAAGATCTCTGGGTCCTCGCTCGGATTGCCGTAGTCGGCACACCAGGCTTTGCCGATGGTCCAGGTGTGGAACTTGAGCATGTCCATCACGCCCACATCGGCGATTCCGGCACCGATACCGTGCTCGGGCTGCTGCTGGTTGATGCACGCTGCGACACCCAGGCCTCCGTTGGAGCCGCCGGAGAGGATGATCTTGCCCTTGGCCGCGTAGCCGCTCTCGTGCAGGTACTTTGCGGCGGAGAGCGCGTCGTCAAAGACGTTCTGCTTGTTGAGCAGCGTGCCGGCCTCGTGCCACTTGTCGCCGTACTCGCCGCCGCCACGGCAGTTGACAAAGGCGAGCACGCCGTTGTACGACGCGATCCACGACATCATCGAGGGCGAAAACACGGGCGTGATCGGGATGTTGAAGCCGCCGTAGAAGTAGAGGATCGCAGGCGCACTGCCGTCTTTCTTGACCGTCTTCGGGTGCGTGACAAACATGGGCACTCGCGTGCCATCCTTGGAGGTGATAAAGACCTGCTCGGACACAAAGTCGTCGGCCTTGATGCCCTCGACCTGCGTATCGTAGTAGGCGGTCTGCTTCGCCTTGCGTGCGTCGGGGGCTGAACCCGCCTGCCAGTCGAGACGCACCACCTGGCCTGGGTTGACAAACGAGCCGAACTTGACGAAAGCATGGTCGTCCTCGTGGCGAGCGGCGATCTGGTCAATGGTGCCGACAAGATCCGGGAGGAGGCGCTCGACGCGCTTGCCGGTCTCGAGCTCGTACTGGTACAGCTCGTCCTTGACGTCGCGCGAGTAGACGACGAGCAGCTTGTTCGAGTCGATCACCTGCACCGACGAGAGCAGCGCGTCCTTGTCTTCGGCAATCACGTCGCGCAGCTCGACGTCGTTGCCCGTGAGCTCCCACACGTTGCTTGTCTCGTGCGCCTGCGTGGCCGGGTCGAGATCAACCGAAACGAGGCGGTAGTTGGGCGCGTCCTTGTTGGTCATAAAGTAGAAGCGGTTGCCCTTGCTGGTGACGTAGTTGAGCACGTACTTGAACGATAGGGCGAGCGGGATCCACTTGAGCTTATCGGCAGCATTGACGCCCTTGTCGTGGAGGGGCAGCACAAAGATGCGCTCCTTGGTGTCGGTGTCCTTGCTGTTGTAGAGGACGAGGAAGTTGCCGTCGTGGGTGACGTTGGTGCTCCACATGGACTCGGGCACCTTGGTGTCCTTGCTGACCACGAGCACGTCGTCGCTCTGGGGCGTGCCGATGCGGTGGTACCAGAGCTGTGCGTCCTTGTTGGCGTCGGTCTCGGTGCCCTTGTCCGAGACTGAGGCAGAGGGGAAGGTCTGGTAGAGCAGGCCCTTGTCGTCATGCGTGAAGGTGGCGCTGGAGAACTTGACGTTTTCGATGCGGTCTGCGAGCCTGTCTTTGCCTCCGGTGGCGTCGACGTACTGTGCAAGCTCGTCCTTGGAGAGCTTGATGGTGCCGTTGGAATTGTAGTGCTTGTCATCGAGCTTGAAGGGCTTTGCGGTCTCGCGCACAAAGATCTCGGTCCAGTCGCTGCCGCTCTTGCTGATGCCGTACGCCATGTACTTGCCCGACTTGGAGAAAGTGGTGAAGCTGAGTGCGACGGTGCCGTCTGCGCTGAGCAGGTTGGAGTCGAAGAAGATGTCGCCGATGGGGTCTCGCTGGTTCTTGCCTGCATTGGCGTCGACCTGCTGCTTGGAGGCGGTGTAGATGAGCGACTGAGGCGAGAGGCCCGAGTTGTATGAATAGTAGTAGCGGCCGTCGCCCTTGAGAGAAGGGCAGGAGAAGCGAGCAAAGTCAAAGTTCTTTTGGATGCGCGACTTGAGGATGTCCAGATCGGGCTGGCAACCGTCGAGGTAGTTCTGGGTGAGCTTGGCCTGGGCGAGGACCCAGTCCTTGGTCTCTGCAGACTGCGAAGGGGGCTGCTCGAGCCATGCGTACGGCTCGGGGACGGTGACGGAGCCCTTGGCTGCCGACTTGTACGTCAAGGAAGTCGATCCGTCGCGGCGTGCGGTAGGATAGGGGTTGGGCTGAGTGGACCAGCCAGGGGCGTTGGACGTGCTCGACGACATTCTTGCAGGCGCGTTTGAGCCGGAGCGCAGTATTGGACGGATGGAAGGAAGGAAGCTTCTAGGGAGAGATGTCAGTGCGGGTGAGGAAGATGTGTAGATGCGACGTACGAGGGATCGCGATGGGAGAGTGCGCAACATGGGAGGGGCGCAGAGATGGAGAGGAGGTGAAGCTTAAGCAGGTTGTGTTGTATGTCTGCGAGTGGGGCTAGCTTTGCGACGTGGAAGCCAAGCTTGCGTTCGGCGAGGCGTGGTCCGTGGGGTGGGGGAGGGTACGAGTTGGAAAGCGGTCCATGCGGCGGAGTCGGCGGCGCTGAGTAGCCTTTTGACACCGGCAAAGCAAATGCGCACACTCGGCTGACTGGATCTGACACCTCAATGAGGAGCTCACGCTGCTGCCGCCACTTGCCTGCTGCTGTGTGCGGACGGACGGAAGCCAGCCGAGCGTCTCTCGCGGCATGAATCCAAATCTCCGCGGCATGAACTGAAATTTTGTCAGAATTGTTAAGCCCTGCCATTTCGTTGCGTGCCAGACGATCTCATCGGGCGCAAAACTGGAATCGCCCTGATGACGCACATGGCTTTGGGTTCGGCGTCGCGGGCTACCTCTTTCCCGAGGTGCATCGCGCGCTCTCTCATCCGCGACCGAGCCTTGGCTGCCTGAGTAAAGTCTCGACGAGAGCCGTAATGATGCTTCCAGGAACGAGTCCGTGTAGCCTCAGCCTACAGGACTGTATCGACCACAGGCACAGTGCTGTCGGTGGTCGAGGGAGTACGGCGCAGGGTATAGCGAAGGCAAGGGGAAGCGGCTAGGAATGGGCAGACTGGCAGCCGACCGACGCGCCGTGCGATGCCAGCAGTAATTGCTGCTGCCTGTGGCGGTGGCCAAAAAGTGTTGGTTCGGTTTGGCGCGACCGATTTTTCGATCGAGGCGCGTCGAATGCGTCGGGGCGGCCGCGCTCTGGCTGAAATTCCGAGGCTTTGCTGGGCGTCGCTGCTGCTGGCCCGCCACTCGCGACTCAAGCGAGAGACCAACACTTTTTTAGGCAGCCAAGCGCGGCGAGTTGGCCCACTCTCAACTCGCGCGAAACGGCCAATTTCAGCGTGCTCTCGGCTCAAAAGCAGCACCAACACGTCCTCAAGCCTGCCAACTCGGCGTGTTGGCTCAATGCGAGGCTGCAGCTAATAGCTTCACTCGTCACCGTCACTCTGTCACCTCTTCGACACCGTCACCCGCCTCTCGACAACGTCACACCCTTCGCCGCACGTCACACGCAGCTCGCACGGCGCATCCGACATCACCTCTGCGCATTCGCTTTCGCTTGGCAGACCACGGCTACTTTCAACACCACCGACATCTTGCTCGCACGCGCAAGCTCCACACAGCATCGCAACGCAACACATTTCGCATCGGATCGAATCAGTCCCGCCGCCATACATAGACGCGCACCATGGACAACTATCAGAGGATCGAAAAGGTCGGCGAAGGTAAGTCTTGCTCGAGTCGCTCCAGGCCTTGCTTTTGAACTGCAGCACTCACTCACTTCTGCCCAACTTCACTCGCAGGCACGTACGGCGTCGTATACAAGGCCAAGGACCTCACGCCAGGCGCCAACGGCCGCATCGTCGCGCTCAAAAAGATCCGTCTCGAGGCAGAAGATGAGGGCGTCCCCTCCACAGCCATTCGCGAGATCTCGTTACTCAAGGAGCTCCGCGACGACAACATCGTAAGACTGTTCGACATTGTGCATCAGGAAAGCAAGCTCTACCTCGTGTTTGAATTCCTCGACCTCGACCTGCGCAAATACATGGACAACGTCTCGCGGAACCGCAACAGCGAAGGCATGGGCCCCGAGATCGTGCGGAAGTTCACCTACCAGCTCATCCGCGGTCTCTACTACTGCCACGCCCACCGCATCCTCCACCGCGACCTCAAGCCCCAGAACCTGCTCATCGACAAGGAGGGCAACCTCAAGCTCGCCGACTTTGGCCTCGCACGCGCGTTTGGCATCCCGCTGCGCACCTACACACACGAGGTGGTCACGCTATGGTACCGCGCGCCCGAGGTGCTGCTCGGCTCGCGCCACTACTCGACCGCCATCGACATGTGGTCCGTCGGCTGCATCTTTGCCGAGATGGCCATGCGCCACCCGCTCTTCCCCGGCGACTCGGAGATCGACGAGATCTTCAAGATCTTCCGCACGCTCGGCACCCCCACCGACGACATCTGGCCGGGAGTCCAGCAGCTCCCGGACTACAAGGACAGCTTCCCAAAATGGGCCGGCAAACCCCTCCGCCAGGCCGTGGCAGGCCTCGACGAGACCGGACTCGACCTGCTCGAAGGCATGCTCGTCTACGACCCTGCCGGACGCACCTCGGCCAAACGCAGCCTCGTCCACCCGTACTTTAGGCAGCTCCTCACATAGTTGCCCCCCTCTCTACCGTTGCGTTCTTGTCGTCGTTTTGAGCTACACTTTGGAAATCCCATCTCACGTTTTACCTCGCATTCCCATTCGACCATCGGCAGAGAACTCTAGCCTGCAAAGTGAATCTAGAGCGGGTTGAGGAGGAGTGGACTGGCCTGACCAAGTTCCCAGAGCGAGACACCAAGGTTTAGACCTGGGTTGTCATCCTCGAGCTCTTTGAGTGCGTTTGTCCTTGCGCGCGTTGTGTGGGGGAGGGGAAGGTAAAGACGCCAGTAAACGTGGTCGCCCTCTTTGGCGCCGGGGATTGTGTCTTGTTTGGTGATGATTTGGGTATAGTCGAACCATCCCTCTGCGTGCGTTTGGTCTGGATTGACGATGACACCATCGTAGTCGGAGAGGATATCGACAATACCTTGCATTGTGACTGCTTCTCCCGGTCCGCGCAGGAAAGGGACAACCCTGTTGGAGGCCGATGGTGCACTGCGCTCGTGCAATTGTTCCGCTTCGCGTGGCGTACTGGGCGGAGGAACGGGGATGCCTTGACCTGTCGAATCGATCCAAAACACTGGATAGCGGTATCCGTACATCGGCATACCCATCAACAGCTTGCCGCGCACAGCAGCCAATTCATCCCGCTCCTCGTCCTCTACCTCCTCGGCAGCTGCGAGATCCGAATACAAAAACGGATTGCTAGGATCTTTCAACCTCGCCTGTGTCATCTCTTCCTCCTCCTCGTCGTCGTTCTTTGGGTTGAGACCGGCCTTGAAAGCGGTTCGAGTGGCTGTGAGGACGAGATCGACATTCTGCTTGATCCACCGTGGGCTGGTGTTGGGTCCAGCCTGTCGAAGGCTTCCCCTCTTCGCGCCGCGCAGAGGACTGTCGTCGGCAAAATCCTTGCCCTCAAACGAGCTGATGCGCCCACTGGCCGAGGACATATCGTACGTCATGATCGAGAAGAAATCCACCACTCCAGCGAGCTGTGGGATAGACTGAACGATCATGCGGTTCTGACTGTCTTGCATGCGATCCACCTTGCTTCCAATCGAGTACGGCGTGCGTACGGGCTGCATCACCACTGTCAAACTCTTATCTTCCCGCTTCAGTGCAGAATTGAGGGTTGAGATCGGCTCGAAGAGTAAATGCGTCGCAGCGGATTCGAATACGATGCCGTCGTAATTGCGCACGTGCACTTCGGTGGCAATGAGCTCCGCAAGTCGATGCCAGTTCGATGGGGCGGAGAGGAGGTCTGCATAATCCTTTTGCTGCCAACCATCGAGGTAGAATCGAGGCACAATGTGTGGACGCGGCGAGGACTGGCGCAGCCTTTTCGCAAGCCACGCCTCTTCTGTTTTACCGGGTGGCCCACCGCTAAGGATGTATGTCGCGTCGGGTGTGGTGGAGTTGGTGGGCGCGACCAGCACCGTGTACCACACGGGCGAGACGAGGTCGATCTTGTGCGCATGCGCATCCACCATCGCAGCGCCTTCAGAGTTCCATGGCGTGATGTACGCCAGCACGGTACGATTCGAGCTGTCTTTGCTGGTAGTGGGGGAAGCATTGTGCAGGCGGATGTACTCGTCCTCATCGATGGTCTGCATCGACGCTGCAACCGCGCCAACGAGGGCAAGCAGGCATGTCAGCAGCAGCGTGGCAGGAGAGCAAGCTGACCGCCGCGTGGAAACGAGCTGCAGCTTCCACATCTTGCTCGTGTTTGCCAAGCCGCAAAGCTGGTGGAAGTGAGGGATGGTGGGGGACGAGTGGTCGGGGCAGGCGGCAGGTTTTGGAAGCGTCGAAAAGCTTCTGAAAGCAACAGAATGTGGGGTTGGCCCGTGGGCGCGCTTTTTCCGAACGGATGCGGCTCAAAAGTCCGACTCCGCCTCCACACGGCGGCCTTTCTCCAACCTTTCTCCATCATGGAAGCGCATGGCTTCCAATCAACATCGTCACACGGGCGGCTGAAGACGATATCTATACTTTGTATTGATTTCAGACATGTTGATGGATGTTACAGTGTCACGGCAGTCTACACGGCTCGAAAACTAGAGCACCTTCTCCTTGGCGGCCTCGACGACCTTGTGAGCCGCCTTGGGACCGCCGAGCAGACGCTCCTGGATCCAGTCAAAGGCAAAGTCGATCACATGCTCGACGGGTTCGTCAAAGAGGAAGGGGAGGGCGGGGACGAACATGAGGCCTGCGACGGTGGGGCCTGCAGCACGGATCCTCTGACTCTTTGCCTTTGCGAACACGGGTGCCGAATAACGCACGATGCTGTGAATAGTAAACGCGGGCAGAGCCATCGACGCGATACTCTGGAACACAGCGCGTCTTGCCATGACGAGTCCGACGTGCGTTGCCTCCGAGACCTGGTTCGGGTCCACACCGGCATGGTCGCCCTGTTCGGCCAGACGCTCAACGTGGCGCTTTCGCAGCTCCACCTTTTCCGTGGGCGAAAGCGCGTTGAGCGTCTTTGCGTCCAGCAGCTTTTCGAGCGGCAGATTCTCACGCGCAGACGTGAGCGCCTTGTCCGCAAGCTTGGCTGCTTCCGACTCGAGTTCCTGTACCGGACCGGACTTGGAGAACGTGGTGGATGCAAGCGCTTCGTACTGCTGCGCTGCCTTGTAGCCGGCATACACCACATCGCCCAGGATGTACGTCCACGAGACGGCGTATGCACCGCGCACAAACGCAGGACTGGTGAGCGGGCGGAATGCCTCGCCGATGTCCGACGAGTAGGCCACATAGCGCGACGACGCTACAATCACCGTCTTGAGCCGCATCGCGTACGCGGCGTAACGCGACGGCCCGTTCTCGAGATCGAGCAGCTCCTGCGTAGAGTCCGAGGTTGAAGATCCCGAGAGCGTAGGCGTGGCCAGGCCGGACTCGGGCTTGGCGGGTGCCGAAGCATTGGCACTGCCGCTGGAGAGGAGCGAGGCGGACGCCTTGAAGGGTCCGTTGGACAAGACGCCTTGCAGCTGGGAGCCGAGCGGACCCAGGCCCATCAGCGGGATGTAGCGCTGCGGCTCGATGGTGGTAAAGTCCAGCATTGCGCCAAAGTAGGTGTATAGGGATGAGATGGAGGTAAGCCGGCAAGAGCCACGAAGACGTCGCACCGCATGGCCTTGGCATTCCTATCGCCCCGCTCAGCTTTCGGAGGCGCTGCAGCAAAGCGAAATCATCCGGGCCGGATTCGTTGCTTCGTCGGTGCTTCAAGTGCCTCCACTTTTTGGCACGTGTGACGTCTGAATACAGGCTTAACATGCTGCAAGAAAAAGCGCGTCGCCGGAATCGGCGATGCGTTTCAAGGGAGAGGCGGCCAATGCACCCAACAGGCGACCCCTCTCTTCCGTCACCCGACACCGACCTCTCGACACGATCCGCTTGGGCCACTTGCACTCCTTCCTCCACTCCACCTTCCCGCCTCCCTACTTGCGCCTTCCACTCGCTCAACTTGGGTCGCAACCGGACGCCGTCACCCACGCTACCCAGGTGACCAGCGCGGCACGCGCCCTGGCAACCACACGCACCATGTTTGACGACTTTGTCCAGAGCTCCGCGTCTCCACGCACCCCACCAATGCACAAGGCGCCCAATCAGTATGCCGACAGTCCAGTTACCAATGGTCACCTCGCAAACGGCCACGGAGCACGTCGCGGCTTGGCAATGAACGACGGCTTCGAGGCGAACGAGTTTGAGCCGCGCGGCGGTCGCTCCTCCAACGAGCTCAGCGATGGAGCTGGAGGCGGCTTCGATACCGCCACCTCCGCGCTCCTTGACCCCATCGCCTCCCTCGAGACAGGCTTCATCTCGTCCGACGCCGGTCCATCCTCGCACTCGGATCCCATCTTTCAGCTCGGCCGCGTCCAGTACGCTTTCAGCGCACCGCTCGCCCTCATGACGGTCTCCTCCAACATCCTTACAATGTGCCTCTACACCTACCCCAGCCCGTCTCAAGCTGCGAGCCCGTTTCCCGTCGCACCGCCTAAGCTCGTGCGCATCAATCTCGACGACCCCGAACATACCCAGGAAGCAGACGTTCCCATCCCACCCGCCCCTCGCTCCGCACGCAACGCACCGCCCTCGGATCCTAGCACCATCGGCCCACACAAGATGTTTGCCGACCCCTCCGGCCTCCACTTACTCCTCGCCATGCGCAACGGCGACAACTACTACTGGGCCTCTGGATGGAGAAAGGCTCGGCTGCTGCCCAAGCTCAAGGGCCACATCATCGAGAGCGTAGCTTGGAACAAGGACAGCACAAGTTCAGCATCCGACTCTAGCTCTTCCGCCGCCCGTAGACGTGCTGCAGGTGGAGCATCGTCGCTCTCGTCGACGCGCGAGATCCTCATCGGCACACGGTCCGGCGACATCTACGAGGCTCTCATCACAGCACCTCTCGGCACCGATCCAGACGATGGCGACTTTTTCGACAAGATCGCCCGTCGGACAGCAGGCAACGGCGCAGAGCGCGGCGACGTCGATCGTGTCGTGCGCCACATGATCGCCTTGCCCGAACGTCAGCCAGTCACAGGCCTGCATGCCGAGTCCTTTCCACGGTCAGCTGGCACAACAAATGCCAATGCGCCAGCCGCCTCGACATCCAGCGAGCTGCGCAGAGCCGTCGTTATCGCTACCACTAGCACTCGCATCTACGAATTCGTAGGCGTTCTCTCAAAATCCCGCTCCGACGAGTCCGAGGCCCATTCGCTCTACGACAAGCTCTTCCTCCCCTACCTCGGCGACGCATCGCCCAACCTCAAGTCCGAGCTGCCAGGCGATCTTCCTTACTCGGAACTGCATACCTGGACCTCGGCTTCCTCCAGGCACGCTTCCGCCCTAGCTTGGCTCACAGGGCCTGGTGTGTACCATGGTCTGCTTTCGTACCCCTCGGATGCAACCGCGGGCGACAGTGTTGTCGAATCAGCCAACTTGCTGCCATATCCTGCCGTTGCCATTGAGGACGACCTCGGCAGCAGCCCGAATAAGCGACGCAGCCGCTTGAGCACGGCGTCTGCCGCCGACACGAGCGCATTTGGCCAAGCTGCCGCACCCATCACCGAGATCCCGCTCAGCATTGCCCTCACCGAATTCCACTTTATCCTGCTCTACCACGACCGCGTCATGGCCATCAGCTCGCTCGACGACCAGGTCATCTTCGAGGAGGCGCTTCCGCTCAAGTCCAACGAGCGCGTCATCGGCACCGCCGTCGATGTCGCCAAGCGCACCTACTGGATCTACACCGACGCCAGCATCTTTGAGCTCGTCATGCGCGACGAGGCGCGTCACGTCTGGCGCGTCTATCTCGACCGCGGCTCGTTCGACGCCGCGCTCAAGTATGCCAAGCCGGGCATCCAGCGTGGCACGGTGCTGTCCTTCCAGGGCGACCGCTTCTTTGCCGAGGCCAAGTACATCCAGGCAGCCCAGTGCTATGCGCAGACATTTATGCGCGCCTTCGAGGAAATCGTGCTGCGCTTCACCGATGCCGATCAGCGCGACGCCCTGCGCTACTACCTCGTGATGCGCCTCGAGCGCCTCGACAAGACGCACGATGTCGCTCAGCGCGTCATGCTCGCTACCTGGCTCGTCGAGATCTACCTCAGCAAGATCAACCAGCTCGAAGACGTCGCTGCCGCCGAAGCCGCCAGTCAGGACGTCGACAACTACCGCCTCGAGATCTCCATGATCACCGAGGAGCTTTACCAGTTCCTCACCACCTACCGCTCGCTCCTGGATGCAAGCACGACGTTCGATCTCATCAAGAAGCACGGCCGCTCCGACGTCTACCTGCAGTTCGCCTCGGTCATTGGCGATCACGAGCGCATCGTGCGACACCACGTCCAGGAGCGCCAGTGGACCAAGGCCATCGATGCCATCAACAGGCAAGACTCGCTCGAGCTGTACTATCGCTTTGCGTCGGTGCTCATGCAGAACGCACCCGCCCAGACCGTCGACTGCTGGTCGCGTCAGCCCAGGCTGGATGCGCGCAAGCTCATCCCGGCGCTGCTGCAGCACAAGCCCGATCTGGAGCTCGGCGAGACCGACCAGGCGGTCAAGTACCTCTCCGGACTGGTCACCGGCAAGAACGGCAGCAAGGACACGGCGATCCACAATCTGCTGCTCACGCTGCTCGCGCGTCGCGCATCGCGCTATCCCAGCAGGCAGGACACCAAGCAGGAGCTGCTGCGCTTCATCGACGAGGCGCGCGCGAACCCGCTCACGGGCCATCCGTACTTCGACCTCGACTATGCGCTGCGCACATGTCTGTCGCAGGGGCAGATGGAGGCGTGCGTGCGCATCTACGCCAAGATGGGTCTGTTTGAGTCGGCCGTTGAGCTGGCCATTCGGCAAGGCGAGATCGAGCTCGCGTGCAGCTGTGCCGACATGGCCGAGTCGATGGAGCGCGAGCTGCGCAAGAAGCTCTGGCTCAAGGTGGCCAAGGAGGTGGTGCGCAAGGAGTCGGACATCAAGTCGGCCATGGCATTCCTGCGACGCACCGATCTGATCGCGATTGAAGACGTGCTGCCGTTCTTCCCGGACTTTGCGGTGATCGACGACTGCAAGGACGACATCTGCGAGGCGCTCGAGGGATACGCGGCGCACATCGAGGAGCTCAAGGACGAGATGGACGAGGCGTCGCGCTCGGCGGCGGCGATCCAGCAGGATATCGCCAAGCTCAGCGAGCGATTTGTCACGATCGAGCCGGACCACAAGTGCGACCACTGCACCCAGACGCTCGTCCAGCGCCAGTTCTACATCTTCCCATGCCGACATGGATTCCACGCCGACTGCCTGATCGGCCAGGTGACCAAGACCATGTCGACGCGCAGCCTGCGCAAGCTGCTCGAGCTGCAGCAGCAGATCTCGGCGCTGACGAGCGGACTGGTACCGGCGCTGCCGAGCTCGGCGCTCGCCAACATGGGCTTCCTCAAGGACCCCTCCAAGGCCGTGGTGAGCGCGGCGCAGGGGGCGAGCAAGGCTGGGCTGAGCGGTCTGCAAGCGGGTGCGCGCGGCCTGGGCAATGTGACGGCAGCGGTGGGTCTGGACAAGCTGCGTGAACTCGTGGTGCCGGACGCGGTGATCAGTGCCATCTCGGCTGGCGTCAGCGTGAGCGTCGCAGGCGGACGCAGGGTGCTTGCGCCCTTAGATCCGTTTTCCAACCCGACGACGGACTGGGTCGCTGGCTCGCGTACAGCCGCACAGCGCAGGGCGGCCGCTCTGGTCGCATCCAACGACTCGAGCGAGGCCAACGGCAGCAGTGCAGATGGAAATGTAGCCAAGACCGCCATGGGCACGTTCCGAAGCGTCGAGGATCAGGAGAGGATTCAGCAGCTGCGCGACCAGCTTGATGCACTCATTGCAGGCAGCTGCCCCATGTGCGATGGCACCGCCAACGCTATAGGCCGACCGTTTGTCTCGGACAAGGAGGCCGCCGAGGAGTGGGCGCTGTAGTTCGTAGTCTCTCGAGTCGTTGTGGAATGCACTATGCATTCGAGTGGCCATTATTCGAGCCGATGTATGAAAGAGAGAGACACATTTGCGAGGGGGAGAGAGGGAAGAAAGAGGTTGCATCGAAGGGGGTTGGGAATTTCGAAGCTGATAGTGTTACGCCGCACCAAGTGTACAAAAAGCAAATTTGAAATTTGCTCCCCTTTCGGACGACAGCAGCGCGTCGGCTCGACGGCGGCGAGACGTGGAAGATGGGCAGGAAGAACGGCCAGACGCACGGCCCAAGTAGAGCGGCGGTCTGGCGTTGGCAACAGCAGAAAGCGTGCCAACCGCAGGCTCGCCAGTCGGTAACCGCCTTCGCTGCTACCACCACCCTCCCTCGCCTCATCACCGACAACCTCTGCTCACGCACGAAGAATCCTGCGTCTCTCAGGATTGCTGCCTCGTGGTCGTGACTCTTCTCGGTTCCGTCATGTCGGCCGGCTCGTCAAACAGGGCGGCGACAGCCGTTCATGGCTCGTCGCGCTCCGCCTACCGTCTGCCCACGCTGTCATCCGAAGCCAACAAGAACGTGCTCTCGCTCCTGCGTCTCATCATCATCTTCCTGATCGCCGGTGCCGCCGTCTCGTCGCGTCTCTTCGCCGTGGTCCGCCACGAGAGCATCATCCACGAGTTCGACCCCTGGTTCAATTTTAGGGCCACCAAGGTGCTCACCACCGACGGCTTCTACCGCTTCTGGAACTGGTTCGATGCCACCGCCTGGTATCCGCTCGGCCGTGCTGCCGGCGGAACCGCCTATCCCGGTCTCATGGTCACCTCCGGAGCCATCTACAATCTCTTTCACTCGCTCAACATCCCCGTCGACATCCGAAACATCTGCGTGCTGCTCGCACCCGCCTTCTCCGGTTTGACCGCGTGGGCCACTTACATGTTCACCGCAGCCATGAAGGACGATGCAGCCGGTCTGCTCGCCGCCGCATTCATCGGTATCGCGCCCGGATACATCTCGCGTTCGGTCGCCGGATCGTACGATAACGAGGCCATCGCCATCTTCCTGCTCATGATGACCTTCTACCTGTGGATTAAGGCGCTCAAGGACGGCTCCGCACTCTGGGGCGTGGCTACGGCGCTCTTTTACTTTTACATGGTGGCCGCCTGGGGTGGCTACGTGTTCATCACCAATATGATCCCGCTGCACGTGCTCGTGCTCCTCCTCATGGGCAGGTTCAGCTCGCGCCTCTACGTGTCCTACTCGAGCTTCTACGCGCTCGGCACCCTTGCTTCAATGCAGGTGCCCTTTGTCGGTTTCCAGCCCGTGCGCACCAGCGAGCACATGGCTGCACTCGGCGTCTTTGGTCTGCTCCAGCTCGTCGCCTTTGTCGACCTCGTCCGATCCCACGTGCCCGGCAAGCAGTTCAGGCTGTTGCTCGTCGGCTTTGTCATCGTGGTCGCCACGCTCGCCTTTGGTGCACTGGTGGCACTGACCTATGCCGGCTACGTCGCACCTTGGACCGGCCGCTTCTATTCGCTCTGGGACACGGCCTACGCCAAGAAGCACATCCCCATCATCGCATCGGTCTCGGAACACCAGCCTCCCGCATGGCCCGCGTTCTTCTTTGACCTCGAGATGCTCATCTTCCTCTTCCCGGTCGGCGTCTTTTTGCTCTTCAAGGAGCTGCGCGACGAGCACGTTTTTGTCATCATCTACGCCGTCATGGCGAGCTACTTCGCCGGCGTCATGGTGCGTCTCATGCTCACGCTCACGCCCGTGGTCTGCGTCAGCGCTGCCATCGCCATGAGCACGCTGCTCCAGACCTACCTCGACCCCAAGGAGCCCACCCCCATCGACGCTGCCAACGAGCCCGACTCGGACAGCAACGACGAGCCGGTTGCCAAGGCGACACGATCGGCCAAGAAGGCCGCGGCCAGCGTGACCGCGAGCGTGAGTGCGGCGGTCGAGGGATCGGACTTGGATGCGTCGCGCCCCGCATCGCCGCAGTTCGGCGCATCCTCGTACGTCAGCTCTAAGTTCGGCGTGTTTGGGCTGGACTCGCGCTTCTTTGTGACGATCTACTCGCTGCTGTTGCTGCTGGTGTTTGTGCTGCACTGTACGTTTGTAACGTCGACGGCCTACTCTTCGCCGTCGGTGGTGCTGGCCTCGCGCAATGCCGACGGCTCGCAGCACATCATCGACGACTTCCGCGAGGCGTACTACTGGCTGCGCCAGAACACCCCCTCGGATGCCAAGGTGATGTCGTGGTGGGACTATGGCTACCAGATTTCGGGCATGGCGGATCGTCCGACGCTGGTGGACAACAACACGTGGAACAACACGCACATTGCCACGGTGGGCAAGGCCATGTGTTCGCCCGAGGAAAAATCGTACCCGATCCTGCAGAAGCACGACGTCGACTACGTCCTCATCATCTTTGGTGGTCTGCTGGGCTTTTCGGGTGACGATATCAACAAGTACCTCTGGATGATCCGGATCGCACAGGGCGTTTGGCCCGACGAAGTGCGCGAGGCCGACTTCTTCACCCCCCAGGGTCAGTACAAGATCGACGATGGCGCGACAAAGACGATGCGCGAGAGTCTCATGTACAAGATGAGCTACTATCGCTTCAACGATCTGTTTGGCGGTAGGCCGGGGATGGATAGGGTGAGGCAGAGTCCTGGACCCACCAAGAGCCCCGAGTTGGACTACCTCGACGAGGCGTTTACGTCGGAGAACTGGATCGTGCGCATCTATCAGGTGAAGAAACCGGATGCGCTCGGTCGAGACCTACCCAGCGCGAAAGGGTTCGATGCGGGTAAGCGTCGCAAGCGCGCGTTTGCCCTGCCTGCCTCCGCCTCGGCTTCCGCGGGTACAGAGCAAAAGACAAGAAGGAAGAACAAGTAAAATCCCCCCCCTCCGATGTAATGACACTGCTTTGGCCACCCCGGACTGTGCGTGTGCTTTTCAAACGCCCGACCAATGCAGAACGGGACTGTCCAAGCGCGGCCACTGTGCCGCAAAGTTTTACTTGGTCAGTCCGCGGATGCATGCTGCACACCGTGTGGCAAAGGAGGCAAGATTGTCTGCTCGACTGCTTCTCATGAGCTCTGTGGCGCGGTGGGTGGCTTTCGCTGGCGTCTGATCGGCCGTATGGCTGTGATGGCGCGAGGAAGGTCAGACATCAGACACGCTCGGGTCTTCGTCAGTTTGAGCGACATTCTTTTTTGCGTTTTTTTTTTCAGCATCTTTCCCTCGAAACATAAAATCTTTTATAGAAAAGATGGTGGGGTCTTTCGTGAATGACCGCGTGTCGATGAAGTGGCTTTCAAGATCCCCGCTGAAACAATTGCAGAGCGCCAAACACGGCTTTGCCTTGTTCATCGTCCTAGCTCCTCTTCGCTGTACTATGTTTTATGCATTCCCTTGCATGGCCGGAGCCAGTGGGAGAGAGAGGCATGTTGTTCCAACCAACATGCTTGTGGGCTGTTGCTGATTTGCGCTGCACGAACAATAGGTGGCTGCAATGCAAGCCGAGTCAGGTTGCTGTCGACGCTACCGCGGCCCACCTCCCACCATTGCCGGGATGCATGACACCGTAAATCCGCTGTACCCACTCTCCTTTGGCCTTTCATATAAGTTGTCGGCTCTCGTTGCCACGCTCCGCGGAATGAAGCACGCACTGTACGCCACCGAGGTGCGTGGTTGCAGCCCTCGCGGCACAAGAGCCCTTCCCGCTCTCTGAAGTGACGTGTCTCGAGATCGATTGAGCTTCACCGCTGGTGGCAATAATTTGTAGTCGTTGTCGATTGCCCTCTTCATGAGTCTTGGTCTGAGGCGAGCCTCTGATCTCTCTCAACGAAGACTCGGACAGCCACATCTCGAGAGTCACAACGAAAATGAGTCTTCGCGATTTTTTTTTCTCGACCTGGACAAGCATAAATAAGACAGTGTGGATTGGCTACAGCTCCTCAGACTCATCGTTATGGTAGCCTTGGCTCCTTTCTCGTCCTTCTCAACCGTCATGTCCACTATGCGCGGTTTCTTCGTCCTACTTTTCCTCTTTGCCTCGATCTTCCATGTCGTTTTAGCCGCGCGAGGGAATCCCTCAACGGCGGAGGAGGAGCATAGGTTCGAAATCGAGCGATACCCTTCTTACGAGCGCCAGGACTATGTGCGAAGATTCCGTGAACACGTACACAACGATCTTGGTCTTACCCAAGTGCGGCTGGGAAGCGTGAGGGATGCTCCAGTCACTTCCGACCAGCTGGCCTCCCACCTGATCCTCGACAAGCACCAGCGTCGACTGATCTATCTCGGTCACACGGAACCCCAACTCTCAGACATGGTCATCGCCTCCCCGCTCAGCGGAGGTACGTCTGACGGCTCCAAGTTGTTTTCGATCTTCAGTGCTCACAAGAACCCCCAGAGAGCTGGTCATGCCAAGCTCAAGGCTTATGGCTTCGTCAAGGTTGAGAATCCAGGTCCCCTCATGCAGCACATGGACAATGCCCGCGGCACTCAAGGACTAGCGCTCGAAAAAGGCAATGTGCTCAAGCTGGGAGAAATGCTCGATGAGCTCCCCATGCTCTTCCCGCCAGGCTGGAATGGAAGGCCTCCACGCCGCTGAAAGGGCCTCTTGGTGCCATGATCGCAGGCACACTCTCCCACATTTTCTGGCAAAGCGTTCCTTGTATGGTATCGCTTGATGCGATGGCCTTCATTTGCTTCAGAAATGAATGTCTGAGACTCATCTGCTGCCGTCGAGAGATCTCCTTGCTTTGCGTCCCTCCGCTGTGCTTTGCTTTCGATAGGGACGCTTCATTGACCGTCGAGCAAATCGACATGCTGTACAAATGCCCTCTTCTTGAATTGCCTTCATCTGTACGCCACACTAGCGCCATCGATGCCGAGGCGCTTCATTGAATGTGGGATCCCTATCGAACCTAGCTTGAGCGACTGCGTCAACTTCAGCTCCCGTTCCAATTCGGCGACGACAACGACAGTGAGGTTTGTAGATTCACAACGATCCCACTTGGGTCCGGAGACTCACATAGGCGGAATCTTTTGGGCGCAAGGCCGACACAAGGCGTAAATAAGCGGGCGAGGCTCTTAGCAGCTTCACTCTGCATGTCACAACAGGCTTTGCTCAACCGACGCTCGAGCTCTTATCGATAGCTGAGTGAAAGCGACATTCTCTTGTACACATCTCCGACTGTCGCTCCGAAAGACGCCAATCGGCCACAGACTACTGTACAGAGCTTCATATGATGAACCGACTTGCATAACGTAGGCAGCCACGGATCATGACCTGCACGACCTGCATGGCGCTGCCTGGTTGATGCCACACCTCTCGTCGGGCTCTAAGCCGATAAAGAGCTAAATGTCAGCCAATCTAGGTGGCGAGCGCGCCGCCCAGGCCTCCTGTAGTTCTTGCGGCCCGAAGCTCCGACGTCCACTTTTGGTGCAAGGCTCGAGCTCGCCGGTTGTACCACATGTTCCACTGCAATCCGGTGATGTCGAATTGGGGATTGGTACCAGCTGTGAGGCAGCGGGACCCGAATGCAAAGATCGAGTAGAGGGCAAAAGCTCGACAGAGTCAGTACTGTGAGACAAGAAGGCCGTCCATTCGTACGCAAATTACCTCTCTGACGCTGGCGAAAGACGTCGTGGAAGAAAAGCTCGACGGCATCTTTGTCTGGTACCGGGTATTCATCTGCGAAGATAGCGTCCGACGCAGGGTCAAAAAGTGCTTCAAATAAGGACACGATGCAAAGTGAGACTCGTCACTCACACTGGCTTCGCTGAATGCCGTCCATGATCAGGCCCTTGAGGTTAGTGACAGCTGACTCGAGCGTAGAACCTTGACTCCACAGGACGCTGTTGTCAGGGACGCGGTAAGCCCAGACCCCGGGAAGCGGAAGAGTAACCAGAGTAAGCGCTGCGATGAGGATGGTTTTGTTCCACATAGCGATCGACGAGAGAGGAGGGAACCTTGCCGGTTGCAGGCTTGCCAGGAATGTCAGACCAAATAGACCGTTTATGTACTTTCTCCGAAGCGAGCAAAGACATACCGCTAACCAGTCACAGCTCTTGACGAAGCAAGTGATTTGATGATGCTGTCGTGAAACATGACAACGGCCGAAAGCTGTCACATTAATACGAGCAACCGAAAGCATCGTACTCGCGAGCAAGCTTGTTGCTCGAAAATTGACGTGGAAGCTCGAGGCTATCGTGCTAACTTACGTTCACCCCGCGCAGTATCACACTGTAGGCTATGCATATTGTTTGTGACGGCTCGAGCACTCATCTCTCCAGATTATGTGCTGCGGAGTCAACCGAGGGTTGCTCTCCTCGACCGTTGAGCAAGCGTCTGTCACTGCATAACTCGAGAACGGCAACTCTAATGCAGGAGCTACACGGCTGTCGATCTTGCCGATGCAGATGAACAGAAGCGACTGCTCGACCCTCGCAAGTTTGCTCTGCTGGCGTTCTAGTTGGAAGGATGCCAAGGACACATCCCGAAAGGCCGTGCCGCCGTGGCTTCCCTTGCCACGGTCAATGGTGACTGCTTTTTCGCATGAGCTTCAGCCTGGTCATTGTCTCTCGCACATCGTCGTCGCTGGACCCGCCTCGACTCGCCGCAGATTACAGGCTTTTTTCCCCACTCTCGGCGTTTTCGACTTCACTTGACTCTGTTGGGCGCGCGGCGTCGACGTTTGTGGGCGTCAAGCTCCGTTTACGCCCACCTTTATGAGGAGAGATGGGTCAAAGCTATCGCCGAGCTGGAATGTGGCACAGCCCGCAGATGAAGCTACTCCTCTACATGCGCACAGCCCAGCATCTGCACAGAGCTCCTTTATCTCACACCATCGGACTATGATGTCTGCCCCAAAAGAATGGGTGCGTGCCATGCCAAGATGGGTTGAAGTGCAGATCGAACTTGGCAAGCCTGCTTCTGGGAACAGTGGCCACAGAACAGTCTAGGGAGGCTGTGAGCTCGTGGATCCCGGGCATTTGTACTGGAGGATATAAGGAAGAAGGAGCGCAAGGTCTTGTCGCACTGCTCATGCACCCTCAACCTGACCTCGTCTTCTACCCATAAATCCCAGGATCGAAACCTGACAAGATGCTCGCGAAGCCCAAGTTCATCATTGTCACGGTGTGCCTCGCTCTTGTGCTGATGTCCAGCGTCATGTCCGCCCATTACCCCGGCGCTTCCGATCTGGACATCAACTTGAATGGATACGAAGCGCTTTGTGGCAAAGATAGCGACCGCAAGCATCCCTGCTTCACCCATTGGTGGATTGGCCTGGACCGTGCTGTCGTCGAATTCGACAACAAGGCTATCGATGTCAGAAAGGAGGTGATGGTGAAAGACGATCACTGGACTGGTGCGTATCTCAGGATCATTCTATCTGCTTCTCGACTGCTCTGAACCATTCTGACGTCAATCCCTTCCTGCGCACAGACTTTGGCATGAAGGACGCATCCGAGCCTTTCTCGCTTACGTATCTCGACACCAACACCGCCCAACTATTCTACTCCAACTACAATCCCGTGGATGGATGCTATGACATCGAGGTGTCTATCTCTACATACGTCCGAGGTTGGCGAATCTGGGTCTCGGATGAGATCGGAGACGACAGGGACCTTGACACTCAAAATGGACTCTCTTCCAAGACAAGGTTCTGTACAAAGTGGCTTCACATTCATGTCAAGCCCGACGGAAGAGGAAATCCTTCCGGCTACTGAGCGTCGCAACATCTCACGTCCCGAATGGGCTGTACTGCGCCAGCTTTGCTCACGGGGAGCCATAACTTCGCTACAGTGCTTGCAGCACATCTAGCCATCAGCGACCTCGTCACACCTTTGCCTTTCCTCTCGTCAAATAAGCAGTGACAGCTTTTGTTATTTTTGCCGTCCACCTCTTCGTATGATACCCGATGGCCTCGTCTCATATCTTTTGCTCTCATGAATGAAGTAGGGTGCAAACGTCGCTGCCCATGCGTCGCTATACGCAATGGTGACCTCCGAATGCCATGTTCGACTTCAGTGCCATCATCAAGCATCACATCCGACAACCGACAAAGAGGGCCCGTGATATCGCAGATGTTCTAGCGCGACGAAACATTTCAATTGAGAAAGGGTGATAGCATGTTAGTCGCCGAAGCATTGTCATTTCATTTACAGATGTGGTAACCAACACGCTCTGTTCCGAGTACGGACGTACTGTAATCGCTCTGTCGAGCGAGGCCGACGGACACGACGTATCTGACCAAATGAGCTGTCGTGAACTAGCGGCGACCGAGAAAGGACGAGACTGGCGCTTTCGGCGTGGGACAAGGGCGCAATCACTTGCCAAGCACATGCAGACAATATATCTGACCATCACCGAGACGAGTCATTATTGTCTCTTTTAGCCATTGATGTCGTTCATTGTCGTGAAGATAGCGATGCTATTTGCCAACCAACAGCATGTGACTTCGGGACGAGATTTGGTGTTTGATGCGAGAGCCACCTACCGGACAGACGGGACTCGCTCGGTGTTGCGCTGCTGGCACAATGAGGTGCAATGTTCCGAGCAGAACTTCATCGGCGTACTGACTACCCACGCCCTTTGCGGGCGTTGCTTTATCGACTCTTGCCTCGGAACCGTCACTGCATCTGCCAAACGTGTGGTACCGTGACAGCGAAACAAAAAAGCAGCCACGAGCCCGCACCGATGACGGACATGGCGGCTCTGTGGAAGCGAGTGCATGTCCGCTAGTCTCACGGATATGAACCTCCTCAACAATGCTGCAACTCGGCTTTCATCGCTCCGAACATCGCAAGTATGATGGGTGTGACTTCGCTCGCTATAGACGCCGTGTGTGTCTTGGACTCAAGGTTTCAGAATCCGTGCTGAGCTAGATCTGAAGGCATATAAGCTTCGATCAAGGCGGTGCTTTCACCATGTTCCAGCATCCGCTCTCAAACCTTTCAGCAGCCAAACCCTCTGTTTACATGAAAATGCTCGTCCAAACTCCCCTCTTTCTCCTCTTTGCCACCCTGTTCATGCCGCTGGGCTGCCTGGCTATCCCCGCTGGTGGCTTCTCCGACATCGCAGAGTCCTCCTCCAGCTCGAAAGGACGTCCAGACATTCAACTGGAGGCAAGCCCGATGGGCCACGACTCAACGAGGTACTATACACGCATCCTGAACAGCCATCTGCGGGATCTAGGCCCGCAGCATGCTGCAACAGCTTGGCCCGCACCTCGAGGAGGATCGTACGTCCATGACAGCGTGCCTTGGGTCCACAGCGACTTGCTCTCGAACCGAGAGAACCGAAGGCTCATGTATCTTGGCATGACTCCCGACAACAAACGGAAGGTTTATGCCAATGTGATGCTGGAACGAGGACGTGGCGAAACTCCAAACGTCGCCATCGTTTCTACTCCGAAGGTCTGGAATTCCATGGGCGCCAAAATGCAGCTGCACACCTTCGCTGAAGTCCACTCTTACCAGCCTTCCGCGCTCCAGGAGGCCGTAAGCACTCATTTCAACACAGGCAAGCTCAACAGCCTCGCCTCCAGATTCCTGCCGATGGATGCGCAGGACAGGTTCGAGGCCCTCGTCGGTCACCGACCCGCCTTCTAGCTTCTCTCGAATAGCTATCCAGATCGGCGACAGCTTGAAGCCAGCAGGCCTGCGCTTCGGCATACCATCTTTTTGAGAAGCGGGCTCTTTCAGGTGCTTCTATCGTGCCTTAGTTTTCCTCAGTCCACGCTCATTCTTTCCTTCACGCTTTACTTGTCTGTCTGTCGCTCGCCTACTTTTCAATTCAAGTCCTTTCCAGCCAGCTTCTGTATGGCGACACATTCTTCCACGTCACATCTGCAGTGCGCCGCTTTCTTTCTTGCGATAAATGTCTTCGCCCAGGGTGGAGTGCGCTATATGCTTGGGCACTTTGCCACGAGTCAAATACTGCGTAGCCGTAACCCTGAGTGCCGCAGAGAGTGCAGGGCGACTATCAGCTTCGCATGCAGGAATTTGCCTCTGCATGCTTTCCTGACCTTCAGCCTTGGCTTTACGGCGTTTCCATAGATACCGTCAAGCTTATATACAGCAGGTGTCCACCGTGCCTTTACAGGTGAGCTGCAAACAAAGTCTGGGAAAGTAGCCGAGCATTCGTCAAACAAAAAGCTCTGACTTAGAGCAGCTGACGACAGTTGCGCTCACCGTAAGAAACCGGGGTCGCATTCGAGCCTGGGTCAAACCTTTTTATGGGAGTTCGCTGCGAGCTTCGATCTCGCACCGACAGATTGAAGGACTCTTGGACCTCGAGATGGGAAAGTCGTAGCCATAGAGCTCGAGACCTAAGCATGGGTGGCCGCAACATCGACTCGCACGAATTGGCGCGGGGACCAACTCGCATCGGCGTCTTCATATGTGAAGTTCAAGCCGCATCAGTGTGCATGGCTTTGTTGACATATGATTTGTGCACACAGAGACTCGCCGTGGAACCCCGTCTTCGTCATCATCACCAATTCACTCTTACGAAGCAATCCAATCTTGGCGGCAAGTACCGTTACAGATTTGCTCAAACGCTCCGACGAGGAGCTCTGCGTCCTTCAATGGAAGCGATGCATATGGTCAAGAGAAATGTCGCGTGCGATTGACAAGGACGGTGCGGTGTCTCAAGAGCCCACACATGAAAGCATTGCTCACGGTGTATCGTAGACGAACATCACGGCGCCTACAATTGAAAAGGAGGGTACCGTTTTTAGCCCTCATCCGATCTATCTTGTGTCGCGATGTTCAACGGGCGCCGCAATGAAGTCGCCACTGTTGTGGTTCAAGCAATCACGAGCTGAGTCTTGGGCCCACTCGGTCAATTATTCACCGTCCTGCCGGGCTAGATGGGTGTTTTTCGCCGAAGATCTTGATGAATTGTGCGGATTCAGGGACTGCAGCGTGATCTCAGCACAGCAATGTCGCTGGTATCGTGACGGGGGTATGCATGGTCGATGAGGGCCGGCAGTGAGCGCAACTGGGATTTGAGACCGTAGGGGTCCCTCTGCATCCGAATGACGTGCATCTGCAACTCATTGATGGTGGGTGCGATGTGCATTTCATAAATTACAAGGATACTGCCGTTCCGACTGGCGACTCCATCGACCATATGTCCAGGATCCGTACCACGATACCGGCACGCAGGTTGGTGCTTGGCACTGGCATTCTACGTTGTCCTCACAACTTTTCTTGGCGGAAGACGAGGAGCAGTGTGGTAGCATGCAACCAGATCTCGTATTGGCGACAACGGATGGCGGGACGACTGCAGCCCACATTCTCCATCAACGGCTTTGGCGCGATTGCCGCTACTAGTACCGCCAAGATACTGAGGTTGAGATCCGCACCGTTTCATCGACTTCCTGCTCACCATACATGGTGGATTCGGTGACTTAGCAGGAAAGCTCGGACCTCGGGCAGTCCATCTCGCTGGGACATTGGTGCAAGAATGGCCCGGGCCAGTCAAGTCAGATGGGATATAAAGGGACTGCTTTTAGAGTCTGAGATCGTCTCCTCAATACATTCCATTGAGTCTTGACACTACTAGCCCCATCGCCACCATAAACTACTCTCAAGCACCTTAAACTCTCAAAATCAGCACTGCAACAATGCATTTCCCGAACTTTATCAAGCTGTTCACCTGCTTTGGCGTAATCGCCGTGGCTATGGTGCAGAACAAGGCTTGGGGGGCCAATGCTGTGCCGGTAGTTCAACCGGATCCCATGGACCGTAGCACGGTCACAGCATGGTCGGGCCAGATCATGGGTAAGATGAATGCCCTTGGCTCACCTCCTAGCCGAATGGATGTGGCAACCGTTCCACTGGGCCAGATGAGGAGCCTGGCTGACCGTGTCAGGAACGAGCTTCGAGAGCGGTCCAGCGATCGTCATCTGCTCTACCTTGGGCCTTCCTCCCGGGGTCACATGTACGCCTTCCCACTGACCAGAACCGAGCATGGACTTCGCCTTGCAACCGGTCCTTCTGATCGCTACAGCCAGATGGCTTTGATTTCGGTCTCTCCTCGCGGCCGAGGAGAGCGCTCGATCTACCTCCACGACATTGTTGGTGCCTGGGTTCCGAACAAGAACATCATGTACCAGAACCTCATGGGAGCCAACGCTTATCAGTACGGAGACGCTCCGGTCACTCACGATCTTGACCGACTGCTCGCCGGCCACATCCATGGCTTCTAGTGACGCCGTTCTCGTCTCTAGGACGAGTCATTCTCGCTAGCTCGAGTTCACCACAGAATTGCTTCTGTTTCTCCTGACCTCTGTTGAGGCTGTCCTACCGTGTAGATCGCGCCTTCACGTCCCCTCCCCGTTTTACTTCATTCTGGTCTATATGCTGCTGTGCAGCTGTTCAACGGCCTCGACGGCCCGACGCATCGCCCTCATTGTGGCGTCCGGCACATTAAAGTCATTGTGGTTTCGACCGGTCGAAACCCACATCCCGTGAAGGCAACCCAGACCGCCGGTCCTGGTCTGGCCACCGTCTCACAGTCTTGACCCTCTCGCCAATGCAATCACATCCGTCTCAGTTCAACCCCATTTTTCATCCTCCTTCAGTTAGTTCACTACAATAACGTAGTGCTCGTATAGTGTGTGCACTGTAGCATTGTTGTCCTCAACAGTTTCGATCGCCTGGTTGTTACCGTCTATATCGAGTTTTCACTCAATGGCTTGCATGCCTGAGACTTTCTCGTTTCGGGGCTCCTGTCAGTTCGCAGAGTGGGGTACCGTGCGAGCTTGTCTGTACGGTATGATGATACAGTCGGTTGTGCGTGATCGAGCCAAGCATCGAACTGTTACAGAATAAGGTCACACCACCGGCATTCCAGTATGAAATCGCATCACTATGTTTCCCACGTCTGTCCCACTCTCAGAAGCTTCAGATTGGCGATGTCGATACATGCGGTCCATGAAAGTTTGAGATTCCGTCGCAGGATGTATCGTATTATCACATATGTCTGGCTTTCAGTGGCACCTCAAGCAGAACATCTGTGTGGTCTTCGCAGACCAGGAATGTGGCTGGCCTGATTTCAGTGGGTTTTCATCACTGTGAATGTGGCGGAGGCGCTAAGTAATCTACTGTACAGAACCGGGATCGGGTCTGAGCATCGGTCTTGGTCGGCACTTTCACTCCCGAAGCTTCCCACCGGACCGTCTGAAGCATTTAACCCCGGCCCACCCACTCATGGACGTATGCTGGAGCAGGAGTCAGGCCAGGATCGCAAGCTGGAGGCGCTTTTCCACACTTCTCATTTGCTGAACTTTCTCACGCCAGGCTTCTTGAAAGCGACTTCGACTGACCTGCGTCTGACCATCTTTGAGCAGCTTTCTTCAGGACGTCTCTGAGTGGGTCTTCAGTCCTACAAAAGCTCTGCAAGAATGGGTGCATCACAGCTGCTGGTCGATACTTCTCTCAGAACGGCTCAACCGGTCGAGGTGGCTCATCATGAGGATCAACGGCGCGCGTCTACTGTGGGCCACGACGCGCCTTCTGAGCCTCGTGCTCGTTGCGAGTTACCTGGTCAACGAATCAGTTGTCGCAGCAGGTGATGACGAGAAAGGTAAAGGACTCGAACCATCAAGCTTCATCTTCGAGTCTTCTGGTCCAGCTCGACAATCTGGAGCTTCTTCTGTGCCTCGCAGGCGAAGCCGACTTTCAGTTATGGGACCACCCTCAACTCCAGGCTCGTCCTCGAACCCAGGCCTTTTCTCGGAACCTGGCTCGTCCTCAAGCCCCGCCTCGTCCTCGTCTCCTGGCTCGTCTATGGCTCCTGGCATCTCCTCAGCTCCTGGAACGTGGTCAGATCCTCTTGTCATATCTGACGTTGGCACAGCTGCACCTCCTCCAACGGTCCCCGAGGTCGAAATCGTACCCTCTTCCGTCCAATTTCCGCCCTTCATTGATGTCGCTCCTATCCCGGAGCACGAACCCTGGCACATGTATCGCCAGTTCAGGTACAGACTCGCTCAGCTCGACATCGACCACCGAAGCTTGGCTCTACTCAACCCTCGCGCGGATTTTGTCGGGGACCATCGCACGATGTTGAGAGATCAGCTTCAGGCTCAAGTCGACTTGAAGATCGCGCTCCACCTGACACCAACGATCGATCACGGAGGCAGAGTCTATGCGGTACCGATTATTCGCGACTCGGTGAAAGAGGCGTTGATTGGATCGAAAAGCATCCATAACGTGGGATGGGCCTTGCTTGGTATTTGGCCGGGAAGGCAAACATCGGTCGCTTGGCTCGGATATGCTCTCCTGGACGTCAGAGGTCGGGCTTCTTTCATCAAAAAACTCCAGGACTCTGGCAAGGTGAAAGTTCTGGCGGACCTGCTAAAGCCTATACCGGTGGTATGAGGCTTGCTGTCGTAAATGCCTCCTGCAGCCTTGGTGACAGTCCATTGTAAGCCAGCTTTATCACAACAGATTTGGTCTTGACGGAGCAGACCTCGCGGACTGCAGCCAAGCTGCCGCCGAGAGCATGAATGCTCCTCAATGTCTACTGAAATGACTACTGTCCGATCTAGCACTTCCAGTCAGAAAGCCGGCCTCGCTCATTTCATCACCAACCCTCTTTTGTCAGCTATAGTGTTCGTTCTTGCTCCTATCCCAAGCTCTGAATGCGACGCTTGTACCCAAACTGGTGGAGCCCAGAGCTCAGAGGTAGAGTGACAACATATGTCATTTCAACGCTTTGCTACTCGTTCTAGGGGCGCTTGGACACGGCACAGTCGCTCGGCTGAGGTAAGCAGATACTTGAAGGATCTGGGTTGCGTGCGATGACGTCGAGAAGACTGTGTTCGTGCTTCTCGAAGGTAATCGAGCCAGTTTGCCCGCCTATCGAGGGGAGGAAGCGCCGCTTCCCGAGGTCGATGCATGAGCATTGCTGATCTTCCTTTCAAAGTCGGTGTCGCCGTTCTGTACCCTCTGCATTTGGTCGAGGGCGTTTGGCTTGAAGGACAGCGCAACAGCATCAAAGTGATGATCATACGTCTGGTCTTTTCTCCGGATCGTATTTGCGAAAACAGATTTACGGTCCGACGGCAGCTGAGAGAAGGTGGATTGGAGATCTTTGAAGCGGTTTGCTTCGTTCGGGTTCACAGGTTTGCGCTTGTACAGGCCTTCGAAGAACAGCAGAGCATGTCGCTGCCAGAAGTCGGAGACTAGCTGATCGTACGTTCGATAAGCCGCCTCAATATCATACAGGTGGTCGGGTAGCCTTCCTTGTATCATTGGGAGCAACAAAATCTGACGCTTACCCTCTTTCAGAGCTTTGTTGACTGGGCCAAGCTTGTACTCGTAGTATTGCTGGATCATCATGCGGTAAAACGCTTGACTCTCAAGTTGAAGGTGGATGCCGTACGGCTGCTCCGGGTTGCCCTCGAGGTAGGCTAAATGATGCATGTTCATAGCCAGCCTTTCGGGAATTTCCAGTCTGATAGGATCGGATTCGTAAACGATACGCATGGCGGCATCGAGCTGGGACAAATGGGAAGGTAAAGGCGGAAAGCAAGTCACCGGAGAGATGAGGAAGCTGGCGAAAAGCTGAATCGGATCTCGAAATTGTCAGATGGCTGCTTGGCGATATGTTCAGTGGATTTCAGCGTAGAGGGCTCACCGTAAGAGCAATGAGGTTCACCATAGATGGCATCATGGTCGGAGGTATCAAGGTTTGGCGGGAAGTCAGACCACAAAAGGTTTGCTGAGATAAGGAACAAGTCGAAGCTGGTTGTCGACATATATAAGCTTGTCCTTCGAGCAGACCTGGCAATTACTGTGCAAAGGCTCACCTTCGCTCCAATCATCACTCAAACACCATCAGACCGAGCGAAGGCCGCTCATGATGAATCAAGAACGCTCCAAATCTTGGTAAACATGAAACCTGCCTACTGTTGGTGCCACCTGTGGCAAGCGGTCCCACATCTCGTGCGAATCTGTCTCTGCTCCATTCAAAGTCACAGGAACGTAGAATGCAAACAGAGGGTCAGCGGCAATCGCGCGTCCGCTTCAAAGCTTCCAAACGTGACAACATGATACCGTGCTCAGCCCGACGGAGGCTGTCACGATTTCATTCGAGACCGGCACAATCCGAGATGGAATGCGGGTACTGTCCATTTCGTTGACAAATGAGATGGATCTCGACCGCCGTATTCGTCGCCTCATCTTCCGCTCCATATAAGGTCCTGTGGTCGCCCTCCGGTAGTCTTTACGACACATCGTCCGGAGGTTGCCGTGTCACGTGGCTGTCTCGATCAACGTATACATCAGGTGAGCAAGGCGCGAATCGGCACTCGACCCTCTAGCAGAAGAACAAACAGCATGGCATGCACCGATCTTGCACCGACCGGTGTCTGAGCGATCCCGACGCGCGAAAACGGCGACTCAGTAGGCCGGGCCAGGCTCATTGTAACGAGTCATAACAGCGCGGGCCACGTTCCGCAGATCATTCGTGATGTGACCATGCTTGACTGCTAGGTTGATAGAACCATAATCTTACTGACACGGACCAGCGGCATGCGCTTGATACACCCACTTTGTGTGCAGGAACCGCACGTCGAGGAGCAGATCGGAGCTGACCGTCGACTCAAGCGAGCCGCGGTACAAAGTTGTACGATCAGCTCCGCTTTCTTTCATCGCCGGCAGTGTGCCTTCCAGCATGTCGCAGCTGTCGACTCCGTCTGCCCTGTCCTGCGAGGTGACGGGAAGTGTCGGCTCACAGCGGCCACTACACGGAATGCTTAGGTCTGACAAGGTACAAATAGGAAGAGGCTTGGAAGAACGAAAATACGTATCCCAACGACCTGCGATCATTTCTTCGGGCCTCTCGACTGGAGAAGGATACAGAACCCCTCTTCAGCGTCTTCCACACCAGCCGAACAAGATGCTGATCATCAAGCTAAGCTTGTTCGCACTGCTGGCGGCAGTAGTGCCTTTCTCTGGAGCCTTTCCAGTTGGGCCGGACTGGTCGGGTGACAATCATCCGGTCCTTGCAGGACAAGGTATCGACCTCGATCTGAACATTGCTCCGCCCACCTCGCCAAGCTTGGGCCACCTGACAGATGCTGGGGTCTTGGACAGCACGGGCCCAGAGTCTGTGCTGAGCAGAGGCGCCGCTGCGTCGTCCTCTACCGATCTTCTCCGCCACAACACCGATCAATTTTTGGCCCCGCTTCCTGTAGTGAGGCGAGACGTTGCAAAAGCGCTCCTTTCTCTGCGCTTTGGTATCAGCTCCAACGAACCTGTTGAGGCCGTGCTCAGCCCCGTCGAACGTCTCGCCGCCCGAAGGATGGGCTCGGACCATATCCACAGCCCTCATCCGACTTGGCTCTACGCAGTTGTCGACGAGCCCCAGCACGATCTCACGTACAAGCGGCAGCTATACGTCGCCGCGCCCATCGCCAACCACGACTGGAGAAGTAGCTTTGGTGTACCACTCACTCGTGACACTGCAGACTGGCTCCCGATCGTCTTCTACAAGGCAGGCATCGAACCGGACCAACGCAACTCCCTCAGACTCGCTGGGGTTGAAGTCGTCAAGAATATGGAGGATGCGAGAAAGGTTCTGCAGGAGTGGGGACCCTCTCATAGTCTGCCTGACATTGTCAAAGAGCTGGGCTTCAGCCTCCATGACCTTGTCTCACTTCCATGAGCCGCTCCACTCCCGAAGCGATGCACGCAAAGCTGAAGACCAATGCCACAGTCCTGCAGCGCATATAGCTGTGTCTCGCTCGATCCCAAGCACCACTGATGGTCAGACACTTGCAATGACGATGCCCCGGTGAGCAATTTGAGTGCTGTGATGTGGATGACGATGCAGGTGGATGCTGGCTAGCTGATGCCTAGCCGCGGTACATGCTAGTATGCCGAGGTGATCGCAACGAGCGATTGTGGAGGTTCTAGAGGCATGGCAGACACCAGAGAGCCCCTACAGTATGCATGCTTCAGGCGTGCGTGCCTCCACAAAGCTTTCTGCACTTTGTGCGAGACCCCTTATACCGCCATGCTCCAGCGCCGCACCGATCGGTCAGGAGGAGAGATGCGCATTGGTGGCTTTGAGCCAATCACTGCTTGCGATTCGAGGGCTTCCACTTCGGACGTACGCGATAGTGGAGGTTGGACATAGGGCAGGTGCATTTCTGCGCTGTTCGGGTATCTCCAGCATTCCTCCGTGGAATCCTCGACGGCCGAGTATAGCTCTCTTCGCTGGAGCGTCGATGCCGCGGAGATGAGGTGCTCGCCGAAAAACAAAGTGTTAAGTTCGTATCCCCAAGGGGGGACAGGCTGGTCTCCGTGGATTTCTTGTGCTCGTGCAGGGACTTGCAGCGGATGCTAGGTTTTCGTGCAGATGGCGTTTCCGGCCGCAGTCGATTCAGACCCCAAGCCGTCGATCCGGCTGCAAGGTATCCACAACGAATCCTTTCGCGCGACCCCTCCCTTCTATCCAAGACTTCCTGCTTGCCTGAGCAAAGGCTGTCCAGTGGTTGGGAAGACACAGCACCGCTTTGTGGTCGGATGGTCAACGAGAGAAAGGTTGGAGGCAGTTTCAACGTGGAACGAGCGCATCAGGGTCCAAGACGGAGGCTCCTTCGGAACGGATGCCTGCTCGGAAGCCTGCTCGGGGCGACGACGACGTTGCAGTGTGGAAAGAAGGGCACCATCCGCGGATGTGTTTGACCCGCGGTCGCAAGTAGTGTGACAGTGCGTAGCTCAGACTGGTCCCGAACAGGGAGCCGAGAATTTTGTCGCGATCAGGCATGCGAGAAGTCTGGCCCGCCGAATGGCGAGCCGAGCTGTTTGCGAGCGCAGCTCGTTAAATCCAGGCGAGGCGCGCGACTCCTCCGCGGCGACGACCTGCAGCTCCGCAGCTGAGGCGGCTACGCCCGTCGATCCCACTCGCGCTGCAGGCACTCGTTGACAGTTGCCAAGCAACTGACAGCGGCAGCTGGCTATCCCGTCCCACGTGCGTCAAGACTGAGCCATGGTCTCCCGCAGGCTTTTGCACGCCAGACCGGCGATTACGAATGCTCCAATGAGCGCTTCCGGGCAGCGTCAGTCGTCCACGGCGTGGGTGAGCGGACCATCGATAACGCTTCTGCTGGCCTCAATCTATCCGCAGCCGCCTTCATAGCGGATGTTCAATATGACACCCGAGGCCATCCCAGGCTGAGCGCAGATGTTTTCCATGTGTATAAATGCAGCCGCTTCTCACACCAATGATCTCCACCATAGCTCATCAGCCTCAGTACAAACATCCTCTCTCCCGACATGGATACCGTTCACACTGCCGCGACCACGCGCTCTCCTTCGCCCGCTGTCGATGCCCGCAGCCTCGACGATAGGCACTCGGCTGAGCATCCTTCTTCGGAAAAGTCGCTCGGACATGCCTTCTCAGACAAGGCTCCTTCCCAGGATGGCGAAGCCATTCCAACGATGGAGTACCCACAGGGCGCTAAATTCTACCTCATCATGGTCTCCATCGTCCTCACCATCCTGCTCGTCAGGTAAGTCTCACGAATCTCTGTGGGCAGTCGCACGATCAAAGAAGCCGACTGACATCCCTTCCACTCTCGGCGTCATACAGTCTCGACCAAACGATCGTGTCCACCGCAATTCCCGAGGTCAGCAACCAGTTCAACTCGTTCAGCGACGTCGGCTGGTACGGCTCCGCTTATCTCCTCACCTCGACATGCTTCCAGCCGCTTTTCGGACGCCTCTACTCGCGCTTCCCGATCAAGTGGGTCTTCATCGCAGCTCTCACCATCTTTGAGCTCGGCTCGCTCATCTGCGGCGTGGCGCAGGACTCGACGACGTTCATCGTCGGACGTGCTGTCGCTGGTGTCGGCATGTCAGGCGCCTACTCGGGCACTATGATCATCGTGACGCTCATCAGCCCGGTCCAGATGAGGCCGGTGCTCATGTCCGTTGTGGGAGGCGCATACGGTACCGGCGCGTGCATCGGCCCTATCGTCGGCGGAGCTTTCACGAGTCAGACGACGTGGAGGTGGTGCTTCTACATCAACCTCTGCTTCTACCCTTTTGTCGCTGTGGCCATCCTCGCGTTCCTCAAGGTTCCCAACAGGCCCCAGACCAAGTCGATCATCAACCGTTTTGTGACCATCGACTGGCTAGGTGTGGCGCTTTCGATGTGTTCCGTCATCTGCCTCCTGCTTGCCCTTCAGTGGGGCGGCATTCGATACGAGTGGAGCAACTCCAAGGTCATCGGTCTGCTCGTCGGCTTCTTCGTCATCGCCTTGGCCTTTGCCGTCGAGCAGTGGTACCTTGGCGATAATGCCATCATCCCCTTCCGCCTCCACCGACAGCGTACTGTCGGCTTCGGAAGTCTGGTCAACTTCTGCATCGCGGCGTCCTACTTTGGCCTGCTGTACTTCGTTCCGATCTACTTCCAGTCGGTACGCGGCTCGAGTGCCATCCGCTCGGGCGTTCAGACTCTTCCCTTCGTCGTTGCTGTCATCGTCGCCACCACCCTCTCGGGAGGTCTTATCACCAAGTTCGGCTACTACATTCCTCTCCTCCTCGTTGGTACCGCCATCACAGCAGTGGGTTCTGGCTGCCTGTACCTGCTCCGTCCCGACTCGTCACTTTCGATGTACGTCGGTCTCCAATTCCTTGCTGGTGTTGGACCAGGCATCGCTTTCATGATCCCCTTCAGCGCCGTCTCTGCAGCGCTCGATCCAAGCGACATCGAGATCGGTTCCGCCATCGTCACCTTCTGGCAGACCCTGGGTGGGACTCTGTTCGTCAGTGTCTGCCAGGCCATCTTCCAGAACGAGTTCGTCAAGAGCCTCGGTGCCATCCCTGGCGCTCCGACGGAGGCCATTGTTGCACACGGCGTGTCGGCATTCCGCGCGTTCACCCCGTCCTCGATCCTGCCCCAGGTCGAGCTCGCAGCTAACCTCGCAGTCAACAAGACCTATCTCGCCTCGGTCGCACTCGGCGTCGCCGCTTTCCTTGCAGTGTTTGGCATGGAGCTCAACAAGCGTATTCTGCCGGCGGATCAGCAGGCCCGAGCTGACACTGAAAAGGACGCCGCATAAACACCGTCATACCCCGCTCACTTTGGAGCTTCATGTCTTCTCCACCACACTTTCTCGTCTCAAGAAATATGCAAGCCCGTTGTGATGATTCACCAGAGCTTTGCGCTTGCTAGTCTTTATTAGGGAGCGTTGGGCCCACATATGAGTCCATTGTGACGGTAGCATATTCCTCCAAGCCCGGCGACCGATTGCCAGGAAGTGAGATCACCTTAATTCACCTGTTTACATCGATCATGTGACACATGAAGCCCGGAACGCTAAACAAAGAGGGATAAATAGACCGCCACAATGGACTGGACTGTAAACGGCAGCATCGTGTACCACACGTTCGTCTCTCGATCTCTACCTGGTCAGCAACCATGACAAGCCGCTTGCTTCCTCGCTTAGTCTCCCTTCTCTCTGCCTTGACCTTGCTGTGTCTCTGTGGAGAAGCGGTGGCGCCGGGCTCGGAAGGGGCTGTCCCGAGGCGACAGTTGAGGGCTCCTGCAGATCTAGCTGGCCGCCGGGCCCTACGCCGCTACTTGGAGATCACCGATGATGCCAGCAGCGCTCCTAACCTTGCCCTCTATCCCGGTACTCACGTTCCGATGGACGTAATGACGCACCTGTTGGGAGAGCAGTACAGCGTGGACCATCACGTGCCGATCAACATCATCGGCGGCCAGGAGAGGACCTTCTACGGTAAGGTCCGGGAACTCCTGCTCCATCCCAGAACACCCGTCACTAGCATGGGCTATGAAGGCAATACGTTCTTTATCACGCAAGCTCGCCGCCTGGACGAGAGCAACTATCCGGCATGGGGCACCATGATTAGACCTGCCTTTCAGTTGCACGATGACGCCTTACATCCGATCCTCATCGGAAAGGTGCTGCAGAACAATCCGCAGGGATACGAGTTCGACCTCCTTGCCGTTCGATCGCCTGCAACGGTGACGGAGAGAGAAAAGTTCCTGGCAAGGCTGGAATCGTCTCGACGCCTCGTCCACTTTACTGACCTCCTCTAAGTAGCATTGCTCGAGGTGCCACGCTGGTGATCATCTAGCAATAGTTCATGTTCAAGCTAAACGAGAGAAGCCCGGGATGATGTCCTCTGTTGTCGGACTCGTGAGGCGGTTGATCTCTCTTTCTTTCTCATATGCGAGTGGGCAGTTTTCTGAAAACTCTTATTGTATCCTTCAACCGCGTTCACCCTCAAAAGTCGGCACTTGAGAAACTCATGTCTTCATCTGCATGATGATGGGATGCAGACACCCACCTCGAGCTGACGTGCTGCCTGGCGTCAGGAGATTTTGTGCAACAATGCACCGGGCTTGCGGCGGATCATCGTAGAAATCATGTGGGTCCTGCTACCGTATCTCTCATATGAGCTGCGTCATGCAAGCCACAGCGGCTCAAGGGTTTCGCAGAGTGTTCCTCCGACTCCGACTCCAAGTTTCTATGAGGGTGAAGGTAAATCGTGGCGTGTGGTTTCATGGCGTTTCTGTGATGTTGCCGTATCAGTTTTATACTTAGCGACGGAGCGCAATCCGCAGCTACCTCATTGTCGAAAGATGTGCAGATCTGAAAGCAGTGCACCCAAAGACGATCTGCTTCAAGGAGCCCCTGACACGGGCTGCATGAGGTGCGACTGCCCAGCTTGCAGGGGTACAGGGGTCGATTGAGCGACATGCGGACAGTTGGTGTCGTCCGCCCACGATATTGCACCGTCTGGTGGATTGAGGCTGACAAGTCGAGCTACTAGAACGCTGCGTGCTTGCAGGGGCTAGTTTGCCTATTCATGCCGGGGTCCATGGACAAAGCAGGTCACGGTTGCTGACAATGACAACAGCATGCACTGTCTTGCCCCTTGAATCGCTTCCAGAGGAGTCTGCTGTGGGTTTCTTCCCACCGAACGAGGACATAGCTCTCTGTCGAGCCCACACCGGCGGGTACCTCGTGCGACGAAACGAGGATATAAAGCGGAGGTCAGTGTCACTTCAGTCGTCTGTCGGCCACATTGAGATCCTCTCACACTTTCAACATCAAAGATCAAGATGACGCAGCACTGTCGTACCAAAGCTCAGCAGGTTCTGAGATGCGCCTTCCTGGGTTGGATGGCGCTTATCATCTGCTTTGCTACCCACGCTGCCGGTCAAGTCTCGGATGCGCAGTCTGGTGTGTCTGGACCGAGGCGTCAGCCATCACCTGCCCCCATACCTGCCGACAGGAGCGGCTGGTACGACATCCGACTGCGTGACCGAGAGCTTGCACAGCGCCTCGCAGCAGAAAGGCACGGGGCAGGATTCGAGATCGGTGGCCTTGTCCAGCACCGAATCCTGGAGCCCGTCTACGGCCAGAGCCTGCCTGCCATCTCTGAAAAGGCGAACAAGTACTTCCACGAGCCCGGGGTCAAGTTCTCGATGGATCGTGTCAAGCCCAACATGTACCACCTGATGACGCCTGCCCCCGTCAACAAGGAGTGGTTTAGGCTCATGCAGATCGAGTACACGCCGGAGGCCATGAAGAGGCCCCCGATGCTGGTGTACCAAATCTTCCGCGACACCGAAAGGAACGGATTCCAGTACCGCCTGCTCGGTGTCGAGCGTGTGCAGGACAAGACCGATCCGTTCTACTTCCTTCGCGGCTGGATGGGAAGCAGCGGCGTCCATCCTCTCGAAGACATCACCAAGGATCTGCGCCAGCTGCACTGAGTCCAATCTGCAGACTGCGTTCTTTCTCCATATTACGGCTTTCATCGATGATGGAGTCCGCTTTCAAATAGAGAAGGCTACTTCCGCAATGGGGAAACCCCCCCCCCCCTACTCTGCATTCGTCTACACCCTCCAGTTCCTGTTTCTCCTGCTCTCTAATCAAAGTTCCTGCGATTCGTTGAATTTAGCCTTCTCTTTCGCACACTTTGAGGAACAGGCTGTGTTCCTTCTGTTGACAGCTGTCGTCTCCCCGCAAAGCCTGACAACTCGGCTGGCAAAGACAGGGGGGCAGACCGAGGAGGGCCCGGTGCTAGAAACTCAGATCTTCACGGCTTAACATTCTGCCGAATTCGCTCCTTCTCCCGGGCGATAGGGCGCGCGGCCCTTCGAATCTCGACAGACACGCGTGGGAGCGAGGGGTGTTGCGTGTGTGTTGATCTCGTCGAGCCGTTGCGGCGAGGTGAAACTTGAATTTGCATCGGGACGCGTGTGAGCAGTCGCATTGCACGCGCCGTGGCACTTGAGCGCGCATCGAATCGGGATCGCGCTCAGCTGGCTCTCTTGCGCATCACAGGTTGGGCGCAGCTGCCCCGCCCAGAGCTTCTGAAGCCGCGCTTGGATCACCGGCCTTGAATCTCGAACACCATCTCCCCTCTCCCCTCGCTTCCATCCCTACCCATCTAGCTCCCACATTTGAATCATGCGCGAGCTCATCACGTAAGTGCTCGATCTGTACAGGCAGAAGTTCGTCCTGGCAAGTGCGATAAGACTGACACTTGGTCGTTGTGTGGGCTGGTTATAGATTCGCCTGCGGTCAAGCGGGTAACCAGATCAGCTCTGCTTTCTGGCAGTGCATCCTCAACGAGCACGGTCTCGACGGCGATGGCGTAAGTACGATGTGACACACGCATCCAGAATGTATGCCGAAAAGTATGCCCGACTCACGCTTTGCATGCGATCCCATCACGACAGCGATACATCGGCAGCAATGAAGACGAGCAGCTCGCCAAAGTAGGCGTCTTCTTCGAGCCCTCCGGCCAGGAGGGCAAGTATGTGCCTCGGTAGGTATTCGGCTTTCTTCATCACCAACGCCAACATGGAAGCAGTGCTGACTCGATAATGACGACTCGCTCGCAACTTACAGCTCGATCCAGGTCGACCTTGAGCCCGGCACCATGGACACGATCCGCTCTGGCCCACTGGGCAAGCTGTTCCGACCGGACAACTACATCAACGGCGAGTCTGGCGCGGGCAACAACTTCTCCAAGGGTTACTACACGGAGGGCGCCGAGCTGCTGGACCAGGTGCTCGACGTGGCGCGCAAGGAGGCCGAAAAGACCGACATGCTGCAGGGCTTCCAGCTCGTGCACTCGCTCGGCGGCGGTACAGGTTCGGGTCTCGGCACCAACCTGCTGACGAAGCTGCGCGAAGAGTTCCCGGACCGCATGCTGGCGACGTGGTCGGTTCTGCCGTCGCCCAAGGTGTCGGACACGGTGGTGGAGCCGTACAATGCGACGCTGAGTTTCCACCAGCTGGTGGAGAACTCGGACATGACGTTCTGCCTGGACAACGAGGCGCTGTACGACATCTGCCAGCGCACGCTGCGCACCAAGAACCCGACGTACTCGGACCTCAACTCGATCATCTCTTTCGCGATGAGCGGATGCTCGACGACGCTGCGATTCCCGGGTCAGCTCAACTCGGATCTGCGCAAGATGGGTGTGAACCTGGTGCCGTTCCCGCGACTGCACTTTTTCACCACGGGTTTTGCGCCGCTGGTGGCGCCGGGTAGCAAGGCGTACCAGTCGCTCAAGACGTCCGAGTTGATTGCGCAGGGGTATGATCCCAAGAACATTATGGCTGCCATCGACCCCCGTCACGGAAAGTACCTTACGGTTGCGGCAATCTTCCGAGGCAACGTCAATGCGCGCGATGTTGAGAACGAGATGTACAACCTGCGCGAGAAGAACCCCGCCGGGTTTGTCGAGTGGATCCCCAACAATGTGTTGACATCGCTTTGCGATATTGCGCCGCCTCAGCTCAAGATGTCGGCTACGTTTATTGCCAACACTACGTCGATCCAGGAGCTGTTTAAGCGCACGCACGATCAGTTCAGTCTCATGTTCCGTCGCAAGGCCTTCTTGCACTGGTACACCGGCGAGGGCATGGACGAGATGGAGTTTACAGAGGCCGAGTCCAACCTCATGGACCTGATCGCCGAATACCAACAGTACGAATCGGCAGGTGTGGACGAGGTAGACGAGGAGCTGTACGAACAAGAATATCAGGACGAGGTGGACGGTCAACAAGAATATGCCGACGACTCGGTCCAGTACGCCGACGAGCAATGACCAAAACTCAAAGTCTCGTCTCGTACCTGAAACACCCTACTCGCCTTCCAAGTCTCGTCAAAAAAGAATCGTGCCTTACCCTCCTAGCCTCCCTGTCCTGCATGTCCTCCCTGTCCTCACTCTTCTCCCTCTCGCCTGTACTACGATCCTTGAAAATCTGCGTGACCATTGCTGCCGTGTGAAAGTATCTGCCTCAGCCTGACCGACGTATTGAAAAGTTCTCTTTGCGCAGGCTTGCTCGACCGTCAAGGGGAAGGATGAAAAGGATTCGTTTTCTCTCGAACCTGTACTTACGATGCTTGAATCCCACCGTGTGACCTTTTGCTGCCGCGTGCAAGTCTCTCTGCATCTGCCTGACCGTCGTGGTTGAACAACTCTCTGTGCACACCTTTACCCGACTCGAATATGCGGGACAAGGATGCACTTCAAGACTCGTCGAAAAAAAATCGTCCCTTTCATCCAACACCCAACACCATCCCCGCAATCTCCTCCCTCGCTTCCCCGTACTTACGATCCCTGAAACTTCCCGTGACCTTTGGCTCCCGTCTCAAGGCGTGATTCTTCCTCATCTTCGTGCTCAACAATTCTTTCCGCGCGCACGTTTGCCAAACTGCGTGGGGATGATTAAGATTCCAGCGCATCTGCAGTGGATGGAGAATGAGGTTTTCTAAAAATGCCAAGTGAGAGAGAGGCTGCCCAGAGACGACGAGACAGGACGGAGGGAGATAAATGCAAGAGAGAGAGAGAGAGAGAGAGAGAGAGAGAGAGAGAGAGAGAGACTGGTCCGGCGATGAGAAGGTGGTCCCTGAGGCGCGACTTTTGTTTTCGCGCGCAGAGCAGGACCGATGCGAACGGGGGAGTGCAGGACGACATCAGAAGAACGACTGCTGTTGCGGCTGCTGCTGCTGCTGCAGAGGCTGGGAGATGGGCTGGTGCAACTGTTGGCCGAGGCCACGGCCGGTCTGCAAGCCAAAAGGCGGAGCGCCCGAGCGAGGCTGGAACGAGATGGGCTGGGGCGGGAGCGAGTACTCGATGCGGAGCTCCTCGCAGAGCGTCTTGATGCGACGCATGAGCTTGGTCCTGCGCTCCCATCGTGCGCCCCAATCCTGCCAGTTGCTCTTGTGCTCAAACGCCACCACGAGCTCCACCGCATTCTGCTGGGTGATCGTGTTGAAGTTGAGATCGAGCGGTCCGCCAAACTCGCGGTCGTTCTCCTTGGTCCATGCACGCAACTGGGTGCGCAGCTGCTCGATCGTCTCGAGCGACGTATCGAACGAAACCTGGATCAGCGTAACCTCCCACTGCGCCCCACTACGACGCGAGTTGTAGATGTACTTCTTCGTAGCCAGCATGGCGTTGGGCGCCACAACCTCCTGGTTCGTAGTGGTGCGGAAGGTGGTAGAGAGAAGACCAAACTCCTTGACAAACATCCACTCTTCATCGATGCACACCAGATCCCCAACATCGTAAGGATGCGTGGCAAAGATGAAGATCATGCTCTCAAAGATGTTCTTGGCCGAGTTGCCAAAGATGAACGAGAATCCAACGACAAACGTCGAGAGCGGCACGATGTTCGACACCGCCGAGTCGCCGTTGAAGATGAGGAGCCAGATGAAGATGACGATGATGAGGCCGATGAACATGAGCACGCCGTCGAGCTTGGAGATGGCCGACGACATGTCCTTGAGCGAGGTGGAGAGCGAACGTCGCTCGCGGTAGATTCGCTGCACGGCCTCGCGCATCTCTTCCTTGCTGATGTCGCCGTTGCGGTCGGCATCGAAGAGCGCAAACGCCTCGCGCGCCTCGTCCTCGGACTTGAAGTACGGCACAAAGTCTTCGGCGACGAGCGTCGACTTGTTGTCCGAGAGGTTGGTGAAGAGGAGCTTGGCGAGCTTGCGGGCGGAGCGCTGCGAGCCGAGCTGGTTGCTCTTGTAGAGCTTGCTGTCCTTGAGCGTGGCCATGGCGATGGCGTCGCTGATCTGGGAGGCAAAGTTGGCCTTGCGCTCGCGCTTGCGGAGCTCGTGCTCGGTGGGCGGGTGCGAGTCGTCGTGATGGTGGTGGAGCGACATGTGGTGGTGGTGAGCGGAGGGATGCTTCTCCGTCGACTGTGCGCCGGCGTCGGCCTGCTGCCCGGGCGGGAAGTAGCCTCCGAGACCGTCGCGGGACTGCTTGGCCGAGTGATGTCCGCCGTAGGCCTGCTTGTAGCCGGGCGAAGCGGGGCGGCTGCGCATGTTGAATCGACGAGCGGAGCGCTGCTGGAGGTACTTGGACTCGTGGAGCTTGTCGAGGGCCTTGAGCGCCTTCTGGTTCTGCTCGAGGCGGTCCTTTACGGCGGTCTTGTGGAAGTTGATGGCGATGAACTGGAGCGCGACCTTTTCGACGACCAAGATGATGCTGGTGGCAAAGAGGGCGCGGATGACCATGAAGATGGTGCGGAAGTAGGTGGGGCGGGTGGCCGAGGAGTACTGGATGGCCAGCACGCCGCCAAGACTGATCCAGGCCCAGGTGATGCAGAGAACGAGCTTGAAGTAGAGGACGGTGGCCATGAAAGCCTCGATGTACGATTTGACGATCTCGGGCGCCTTTCCGTAGACGGCGATGACGACGCGAAGAGCGACGGGAGGGATCCAATCTACGATGAGGAAGGTACCGCAGGCTGCGGCCCAGATGATGGCGATCCAGATGCTCCAGACGACGACCTGGGCTCGAGCGGGCGACTGGGTGTTGGTGGAGGTGACGACGATGAATGGGACGAGGCAGATGGCGGTTCCGAGGAGGGCGGCGAGGAAGATGCGGACGGGACGTGCGAGGCGGAGACAGGCGAGGTAGACCTTTCGACCTCGCTTTGCGCGCGTGACCTTGGCGCCTTTGCGCGGTTGGCCATCGTCGTCGTCGTTGTCGCTGGATGTGTCCCAGTCAAAGTCCTCGGAGTCGTCGGCTGAGCTTGCGATGGAGCTGGCGCGGCTCGTGCGGCCGCTGACGCCTTCGGCGCCGGCGAAGGGAGCGTTTGGCGGCTCGAACAGATCATCGTGGGGCGGAAGACCAATCTTGGTGGGGCGTCCAGCCCTGTCGACGAGGGTGTCGTTGTTGTTGTTCCAGGCATGCTTGGTGGCATTCGAAGACTCTCCGTAGCTGCCAGAGCCGCTGCCACTAGCACTGGCATCGTCGTTGGACGCGTGTACATGGTTGTTGTGAACGCGGTCCGGAGCGGGTTGGTTGCCCGTCTCGATGCCTTGGAAGTAGTGTGGGTCGCCCATCCTGTGGTTGTGGTGCACAAAGTGGGCGGGAGAAGCACCAGCAGCATCGGATGCACCTGTGGGCGAGTGCTGGTGACGGGGCGATTGCATCGTGTCCAAGGGGATGTCGGCGACATCCATGTTGTCAGCGGGCTTGTACGGAAGCGAAGTCATGGTTGCGAGGTCTAGTCCAGCTAGAGTGGTCGAAGATGGGAAGAAGTGTACTGAGGATGGATGGCAAGTGACAGATCTATGCTGCAAACCACGACAAAGGGATTGGAGCAAGCGAACGTTGGCGACCTGCGCTTTGTCGCTAGTGTCCGTAAGCCGGTGGCCGCTATCGGTCTAGCAGATTCGGAAGCTCCAAGACCGAGTTGGAGATAGGAACGTCTGAATGAGACGATGGATGGAGAGAATGTGTATGTGTGCGCGCAGCTTGGATGCGATAGTCCAGCGCGAGTTGATGGTCAAGAGCGAGGAAAGGAAGCTGCCAACTGGCTCAAAGTGACGCCGACGCGAGCCGCTGCAGCCAAGGCTTGTGCGTCACACGCCGGTGCACCGTAGCTCCGCTCGGCTCTCGGCATTCTTCTTTTTTTTTGAATTTTTTGGTTGAAAGGCTGTGAGGCGTCGATTTAGGCATGGGGCGCCTGGAGCTGCACAGGCTCGGTGGCCGCCAGGGGCGAGACGAGACAGACCTGCAGAGATCACATGGAGCTGCTGGCAGTGTGACGGCCGCAACCCGCAACCACATGCATGGCCAAGCGTGTGATTTTAGGGGAGCGGTTTGGCGCTGGAATTTCAGGGTTGCCCACCGCCGCTTCACTCAAGTCGCCTCGACGCCGGTGTGCCTGACTGTTGTTCAGACGAAGCCAGCCGAGCGAAGACCAAGGACGAAGCTTCGTTGGGAGTCGCACTGCCAGGCACCGCCCTGAGCCACAGAGCAGCTCAAACTTGATCCGAGCGTTCCCTAGCCCCTCGCAGCATTGCCTCTTGCCTCTGGACAGTGTGAGTAGGTGGGGCCGGGGTGGAGCACAAAGGTAGAGAGGGTTCCACGCTGCGAAATTTCGAGGGTCGGTCCCCGCCCGGCACGCCTCATCGGACAACGATCGCGCCCGGCTATGTTCACTCTACAGATCGTGCCTGCCCATCAAGGGATCTACTGTATGACTGTTCGATGCAGACAACTTTGATGCTGATACCTGTGGTGACGACAGCAAGACCAAGACGATTCAAGTCGCTGGAGGTGCTTGGCTGTGTGCTTGTTGGGCGGCGTGGTGTGTCGGCGTCTTTTGGCTCTCGCTCCCGAGCCTCCTGCATGTTCGACGCCACAAATCCAGAGAAATCACCGGCAGCCTTCCAAAATCTCAGTCGGACGAGAATTTTGGCGGCTGAATGTTCACACTAAGGTCTAACACCTTGACGAAAGGATTTCAGAGAGTGACGTCACGACGCCTCCTTCGGCAGGAGCAATGGAAGAAAACGCTCCGCACATCGGCATGGCAGAAGCCGTTCAACCGATGGGCGCCAAAGAAGCTCGGGCTTGGCTCCAATTCGGATGAGCTCACCGGACCGACGTTGCCCTTGCCCTCGACGTGCAAAGCGTGCATAGCGTCTCTTCCGGGTTCCAGTGAGCTATGACGCAGTCCAATATATGGCAATGCTGTTGATCCTATGGTGGACAGGTCGGTCAACCTGTTCGAACTCCCAGCAAGGTGGACCAGATTTGCCGCTGTGGCGCCTGGTGGTCTCGGAAATGCCAGCGGCGCCGAAGCCTATGCTTTGGGAGCTGGGTGCAACGAGTCGCCGCGGGGTTTGCTTCAGCTTGCATCCGTTATGCGCGTAAGCACACCCCGAGATCGCGTATGATGTTGCAACAGGCACGACTGGTTGCAGTGGAGTGGTGAGGGGCGTTTGACATGCATGCAGTAGCTCGTGTTCAGCCCATGTGGCTTGGATACGGCCCGGCCATGTCCTCAGCGCCTAGCTTTGCCTTGGACCTTTCCCGCGGGCCTGAAACTCAGGCGTCGACTGCCATCATCGCGATGCAACATGCATTCCCCAAACGACTTGTGCGAACGCATTCCGATGTGCGCGTCATGAGTCGAGCCAGCAAAGCCAGGCTGAATCGAGCTGGAGAGGGACGAAGCTTCGGACTAGCTCGATCGCAAGGATGTCCGCTTCGGCCCGCATCCAAGAGCCTCTTTGGGGGCATGAAAGTTTTAAGGCGCCCAAGGTGCAACTTGACAGGGCGCATCTGAACACGCTTGTCTGATCGGCGCGGAACAGCTGAGCTTTGGCAAAGCGCCAGCGGTTCAAGAGCCGTCAGTGACGCATTTGCCGAGCAAAGGTACATCCGAGCAGTGACGGCGAGAAATCCAGTGCCCAACCTCCACTCTGCGCAAAGTCGACGCCTCACCTTCTTTTCGCATTGTGTGCGTAATTTTGCACTTTTTTTCAAGCTCGCCCCTTGTCCAGCTGGGAGTTGGACACTTCTCGGACTGAGATCATCCGACAGCAAAGACTCTTACGGAGCTATCCGAACCAATCTCATCTTGTAAAACGGTGTTTGCCGTTGGATACACTCAGGAACAGCCGATGTTCGGATAGGAACCCGGAACGCTGTGCACTCAACATTGGCTTGGCATCGGCTTGGTCTGGCGGAATGACGGGTGGTTGTGGTGTCGGCGTTCGGCCATGTCGCAAATTTCGGAACGCTTCGGCTCGCCGGTCATCTAACACTGTGCCTCGGTATCCGTCGGCCAGCCACAACCACCAGAGCAACTGCAGCATCTTTGAGGCACGTCTGCATCTGCGTTTGCCTGCACAAGCCGGTTGCAGGGCAAAAAAGGTCGAGCTGCGGGAAGGGCGGCATGTCGAAATCATGCACCGGGTATCGTAGAGCCGCTGTTGCCGTGCTTCCGTAGGCCAATTGCAAACTCGGCGGCTTCCCCACAAGCCGTGTTGTGGGATTGGCAGCTCGATGCTGTCTGTCAACAATCGATTTGAGATCCTGCTCCCTTTTTTTTTTCCGGGCGTCAAAAAGCCCTCTTCGATTCGAGGGCTCTGGGTGAGGGTAAGGATGCCGTGTGAAATTCATTCTCCGACCGCGACGTCCTGTCGCCTCTCGTCAAGACCAGGCGAGGGCTGCAATTTCAAAATACCAATTTTTCGCCAATTTTGGCGAGCAAGGCGGGCCCGAGCAAGCCGAATGGTGGCAGGCGTGAGGCGCATCGGTTTTGGCCGTGCAGGCTCGGAAGTGCAGGATGGACGTGCGGCGTTTCAACGGCCGCATCGCAAGCAACGCTACGCAATCAATCTCTCCCTCTCCCTCTCGCCTCTGCCGCTCGACTCGCCTGCCTCCGCTCCGGCTGTTGCACGCCTGCGCCCTCCTCCCACTCCCCTGCCTCGTCCCTGTCCCCCCGTCGCCTTGCCAATTGCCGACGCTCATACAGCCTCCCTCACCCTCCGACCCGAGACCCTCTCCCTCTCCAATTCTCCTCGCCTCTCTCTCTGTCTCCCTCCTCACATCGACTAAGCGGACGTCCATCCATCCCACTCCTCACCCTTTGGCGTCATCCCAACCATCTGCACTTCGAAGACACCATCTTTCTCTCCCTCGTCTTCAATTGCCTACATCTGTGGTCTTTGCTCCAGAACTCCAAAAAAGCCGTCCTGGCTCAGTCCGACTGCACCTTGTATTGCGCGCTTCTGGTTCGCTTCCTCTGCACGCCCCTGTCGTCGACACCGCGCGACTGACGCCCGTCGCTCCATCTTTCGCCACCACGCCTGCCGCCACTGTGAACCGTCAGCGCACCATCCCCGGATTGAAAGACGGCACCATCTCCCGACATATCCCTGCATGCGGCTATAACTCGTCTTCACCTTTGTTCCGGTGCATCGCTTTCATCTTTCGCGCACACGTGCTGCCACTTGCGTCTAGACTTTCTAGTCGAGCTTTCCTCCTAGAGCCGTCACCACTCGAACCTACGAGCAGACAGGCCACCTATTCTCCGATATAATCGCCCATCTAGGTTGCCAAAGCACATACAAGAACCAAGCTTGCTGACGTGCCAACTGGAGCAACCGCCAACATGGGACGCAAAAAGATCAAGATCCAGCCCATCAAGGAGGACCGCAACCGATCCGTCACCTATCTCAAGCGCAAGGCGGGCCTCTTCAAAAAGGCGCACGAGCTTGCCGTCCTCACCGATTCACAGGTAGCCGTGATCGTGTTTGGCCACAATGGCAAGCTGGCCGAGTTCTGTTCGACCGATATCGATCTGCTCCTGCTGCGCTACACCGAGTACGACGGTGCAGCCGAGAGGAAGGGCCCACAGCACTATTTCAACCTAGACAAGGATTCGGACGACAATGATGATAACGACGACAACGACAACGACGGTCCCGACAGCGGCGACGGGCCCGACGACAGCTTTGCCAGCCAGAGCGGCGCCAACGGTAGCACAGGAGCAAGAGGCAGCTCCAGCAGCGCCGGCAACTCGAGATCCACTCCTCGCACCAGTGGCGTCAAGAGAAAGGCAGAACCCGCGTCTCCACCCCGCACCAATCGCGCGAACGGCGTCAATCCTGCATCCGCCAACCTGGACCAGAGCGCTTTCGGCGCAGCCAACCCGCTGATGGGCGCCTCTGCCACCGCCAAGCAGACCGTCAACGCAGCCATCCGTCAGAAGAGCCAGAGCCGATCGGGTGGCCATCCGGCCGCGCCGGGCCAGCTGACGGGCACGCACACCTTCGATCCCTTCTCCTTTGGTCAACCCTTTGTACCCACAGCGGGCATTGCGCAGGGCCTGCCTGGTGCTGGCTTTGGTGGCACGCTGCAGCTTCCGAGTCAACCCAGCTCGAGCGGCGCCTCTTCGACCAACCTGACGCGAGCGCAGACCATCGCCAACATGTCGATAGCCATGCCGAGCAACGAGCGCCTGCCGATCTTTGTGCAACCCGCGACGCCTGGGTTTGGCTTGACACCCGGCGGAACCGTGACCACGCCAGGCGGACGACGCTTCAGCTTCTCGGACGTCCTGACGCGCGGAACGTCGGCGACTGCGTTGCAGCGGCCAGTGACGGCTAACTCGCTGTTGGCATCCACCAACTTCCAGCCCATGGATGCGTTCAGTTTTGCCGCCACGCCCACAGCTGCGGCGCACTTTGCTTCCATCTCGCCCAGCGTTACGCCGCAGCCGCCAGATGCTTCGCTGTCCGCCAGCAATGCCGATGCGGCCAGTCGCATGGATCCGTCACCGACGCCGTTTTCAGATCCTCGTTCCAACGCGCACCTCATGACGCGGCCAGCTTCGACAGGCATGCCACCCTCAGGTAACAACAGCTTCAACGATCTCGGCTTCGGTCAGCCAGCAGGCTCTACTCTCGCCCTCGGGCCCAACGCCGATCTGCACACGAATTCGCCCGCCAACATCTCGCGCCCCTTTACGGCCTGCGCTAATCTGGACGCACCGAGCACGTCGGCGCATCTCGCCCCACCCGATGCTTTTTCGGGCTCGCTCGGCGCACAAGGACTGCATGCTAGCTCGGCTTCGCCCATGCCTCATGCGGCGTCGGTGATGCCTGGTGCTCCGGCGATCATGTCGAGCTCCTACGGCGCCAGTCCGTACGCAACGGCAGCAGCCGAGCTCAAGCCATCCATGACGCCTTTGAGCTCAGCAACACCGGAGCTCATCCAACCCATCGTGCATGCAGCCTCGGCGGCGGTTCCGATCGCCCGTGCCTCGACGGCATCCATGTCGACCGACGAAGAGACGCCGCCGAGCACCAGGGTGGCTGCACCCTTGGACGGAGGCAAGATGGGTGCCGGTGGCGCTTGGCTCACGTCCAACTCGACGATGGTACAGAAGCCGGGTGCAGGTGCGTCGGGACAGGCCACACTCGTGCAGCCGGTGCCGATCAACCCCATCCAGTCGCTCGGCTCGGTGCCGTTTGACCTCAACTTTGCTGCCAACCCACCGACAGGACTTTAGAGGAAACCTCGTCACTACCGCTCCATCAAACACATTAAACTGTATTTCTACATGTTCCCCTCCCTCCCATATCGCACAATCACGCATCACCCCATCGCAACAGGCACACAAGGCTCACGGACCTCGACGGAACCGCACCATTCACGCATATGCGACCGTCGTTGGCGGGAAAAAAAGGACAGACGGACCGATCGCACTGGCTCCGCCCTGACTGTAACGATAGTTTAGAATCGCGAAACCCTGGTTAACTCTAATCGTAAAGCAGACATCATGTGGGTTTGCGTTTGAGCCCAAGGTGCCTTGTGCCTTACACGTGAGGAGGGCAGCCTCGAAGGGTGGGGAAGCGGAGAGAGAGCATGTGGAGTTGCTGCGGAGAGGTGTGAGGGGGCAAAGCGGACGCGACAGCGACGTGCCACTTCCGAAATTCCGCACAGCTGCCACGATGGCCAACGCAGCTCTCGCGCGCACGGGCTCAGCCAGCAGGCGCGCGACAAAGGCTTCCAACTTCAGCACGTCCCCCCGCAACTTGGCTTTCCTTCATACCATACTCCTGTTTGCTTCCGGCTCGCAAACGATTGGGGCTAGAATACGCCACGCCGTTTCGCAGTTCGACCATCACGCAACGAAAGCAGCACCCGACCGCGGCCGACACACTGTCCTTACGACTTGGACCCGTTATCAGCAATCCGCTCTCGCCTTCCCCCGGCCTTCTGCGAGCATCGCATCAATCGCCCTAGAGGCCACCCTCACCATCGGCTGCGACTGCCATTTACCTTCAAAAGTGCTGCTCTGCGGGGCGCGCCAGAATCTACACCATGTCGCCGCGACGTGCGGGCGGAGCGCGGCAGCTGCTAGCGCTCCTCTCGGCATCGATAGCATGCTTGCTCGTCCTCCTCCCCTCTTTCGCCGCAGCGGCAGACCCAGGCGTAAGCGTCTCGCGCTTCGCCCATCTACCGTCCAAAATCTCCTACTTTGACGATAGCACCGTCGCGCTCTACCACGACGCTACGCAGGGAATCGTCTTCCGCTCTGAAGATGAGGGCAAGTCGTGGTCGCCAGTCTCGGGCTCGTCCAAGGGCAAGGCTGCCATGCTTGTGCCTCACCCTTTCGACAAGAAGCAGGCCTTCATCCTCTCGCGCGAAACCACGCACTGGCGCTCCATAGACCGCGGCAAGACATGGCAGGAGTTCCTCACGCCCGAACCGCCCGCCACGCGCGCAGGCGCTCCCATGGAGTTCCACGCAGACGAAAAGCACTGGGACTGGATCATCTTTACGGGCAAGAAATGCTCCATGTGGACGCCATGGGGCGGCAGGATTTGCCACGACGAAGCCTACTACACCACAAACGCCTTCGCCACCAATCCGGCCCCCTTGCTCGAGTTCGTCATGCACTGCAACTGGGCCAAGACGACGCCCGAGATGGAAACAAGCCCAGACGCCATGAGCCGCATCTTCTGCATCGCCTGGGAGGATGCCAAGGAAGAGCGACGCGCGCCCGCCTCCGGCGCCACCAGGCTCTTCCAGTCCGACGACTTCTTCAAGTCCAGAAAGATGGTCGAGCTCGACATGGGCCGCAACGCCAAGCACTTTGCAGGCCTCGGTCCCTCCAAGCGCTTCCTCGTCACCGCCCTGCGCGACTCGCAGGGTAGCTCGTCCAAGGCCGGCACCGAGATGGCGCTCTTTGTCACACGTGACGGCGTCAAGTGGGAAAAGGCGCGCTTCCCGCACGGTTCGGAGCTCAGAGAGAATGCATACACCGTCGTCGACAGCACCTCGCACTCGATCATGATCGACGTCGTCGACTCTATCTACGACAACACCGGCGTTCTTTTCACCAGCGACAGCACCGGCACCGAGTTTGTAGAGAGCCTCCGCGGCACAAGGAGGACGCCCCAGGGCCTCGTCGACTTCGAGCATCTCGTCAAGATCGACGGCGTCGGAATTGCCAACGTGCAGGAGGACGCAGACACCGCCGTCCGCTCCGTCATCACTTTTGACGATGGCAGCAGCTGGCAGACGCTCAAACCACCCACCGAAGACGACAAGGGCAAGCGCATCGACTGCGACCCGAGCGACACCAAAAACTGCGCCCTCCACCTCTGGTCGGTCTCGGGCAAGACCAACGTCGGAAAGCTCTACTCGTCGCTTGCGCCCGGCTTCGTCATGGGCGTCGGCACCATCGGCCGTGGCCTCAAGGATTACGACGAGTGCGACACCTTCCTCAGCACCGACGCCGGCAGGACGTGGAAGATGGTCTCGCGCGACGCACACAAGTACGAGTTTGGCGACCAGGGCTCGGTGCTCGTCATGGTCGACGACGAGGACGTCACCGACCACGTCTCGTACTCGACCAACTTTGGCAAGGACTGGCACAAGCTCAACCTCGGCGTCAAGATGCGCGCCAAGGTGCTCACCACCATCCCCGACAGCACCTCGCTCAAGTTCCTGCTCGTCGGCAGCCAGACGCGCAGCCAGGCGGGCAACCAGGATCGCAACGTCGCCGTCTTCCTCGACTTTGCCCACATGAAGAAGCGCAAGTGCGGCGAGGGCGACATGCAAAAGTGGTACGTCCAGGCGGCCGCCGAGGGCAGCTGCCTCATGGGCCACAAGCAGTGGTATAAGCGCAGAAAGCCCGACGCCGACTGCTTCATCCAGGACAAGTTCCACGATCCCGAGGGTAAGGAGGACCCGTGCCCCTGCACCGATGCCGACTACGAGTGCGACTTTGGCTTCAGCCGCGATGCGCGCGGCGAGTGTGTCGCCACGGGCAGCGAGCACATCCCGGCCGGCGCGTGTGCCAAGCCGGACGACACCTACCTCGGCTCGTCGGGCTATCGCAAGGTGCCCGGCAACACGTGCGACCCCAACAAGGGCATCCGCAAGGACGAAAAGACGCAAAAGTCGTGCAGCGGCAAGAACGCGCCCGAGGCTGGCAAGGTGCTGCACAAGTCGTTCACCTTCCCTTCGCTCGTCGTCGACAAGATGTACTTCCCCGAGTCGTCGAGCGTGCTCGTCCAGCTCGCCGACGGCTCGGTCTTCCACTCGCTCAACGACGGCTACTCGTGGAAGCAGCTCGTCAGCGACGGTCCGCCCGCGTCGGACGACGACCGCTTCCTCACCATGGCGCTGCACGCCTACGACAACACGCGCGGCTACCTCGTCACCGCCGGCCAGCGCGTCTACTACACCACCAACCAAGGCGCAAGCTGGAGCTGGTTCACGGCGCCGTTGCCGGCCAATGGGCTGGGCATCGCCATCCTCGACTTCCATCCGGACAGGTCCGACTGGCTCATCTGGACCGGCAGCCGCGACTGCACGTTTTCGGTGGGCAAGGAGTGCCATGCCGAGGCATGGTATTCGACCAACAACGGCAATGCGTGGGAGAAGCTCGAGACGTACGTGCGCACGTGCTCGTGGGCTCGCGACAAGAAGCTCAAGATGGACGCACGCACGATCTTCTGCGAGAGCTACCTGGACAAGCGCGGCAACCAGCGCGACTTTTCGGCCGCCAACAAGCTGCAGCTCGTCCGGGGCGACGAGTTCTACCGGCGCAAGGCTACGGTGTTCGAGGCGATTGTTGGGTTTGCGGTGTTTGAGCAGTATCTGGTGGTGGCCGAGTACGTGAGTACGACGTCGACGCCGACGCTGCGGCTGCAGGTTTCGCTCAACGGGCGCGAGTTTGCCGAGATCCATTTCCCGCCGGGGATGGAGCTGGGCACGCGCGCATATACCGTGCTGGACTCGGTGACGGATGCGATCTTTTTGCACTTTACCACGCATGCCGATGCGGGGAGCGAGTGGGGCACGCTGCTCAAGAGCAACTCGAACGGCACGTTCTACGCGCAGACGCTCGACTTTGTCAACCGCAACGACAAGGGCTTTGTCGACTTCGAGAAGATGCTCGGGCTGGATGGCGTGGCGCTCGTGAATGTGGTGAGCAATCCGGACGACGCGTCCGTGTCCAAGCAGAAGGATCTCGTAACGCGCATCACGCACAATGACGGCGGACGATGGAAGCCGCTCGTGCCGCCGAGTCGCGACGTGTACGGCCAGCCGTACGAGTGTCACTCGGTCGGGTGCGATTTGCATCTGCACGGGTTTACCGAGCGCGACGATCCGCGCGACACGTACAGCAGCCCTTCGGCGGTGGGGCTGATGATGGGCGTGGGCAGTGTGGGGCGCAAGCTGGCGCCGTACCGCGACTCGGACACCTTCCTCACGCGCGACGGCGGCTTTACGTGGGAGGAGGTGCACAAGGACGCGCACAAGTGGGAATTCGGCGACCAGGGCTCGATCATCGTGCTGGTCAACGACGAGCAAGCCACAGACACGGTGCTCTACTCGCTCAACGAGGGTGTGACCTGGGAGTCGTATGCGTTTGGCGGAAAGATGCGCATCTCACAGATCCTCACGGTCCCCGAGGACACACACCGGCGGTTTATCCTGCTTGGCACGCCGAGTGGGTCGGCGACCAAGAGTGTGGCGATCTTTCTGGACTTTTCGGCGCTCGAGTCGCGCAAGTGCGTGCTCAACGTCGCGAAGCCCGAGTCGGATGACTTTGAGCTGTGGTCGCCGAGCGAGGAGCGTGCGGAGCAGTGCCTTTTCGGACGCCAGACGTACTACTACCGACGCAAGCGACGGGCGGACTGCTATGTGGGCGAAAAGATCGTCCAGCCGCATTCGGTGAGTCGCAACTGCACGTGCAGCGAGGCGGATTTCGAGTGCGAGTTCAACCACTACCGCGATGCGAGTGGACGGTGCGTGCTGTATCCGGGCGTGGCACCTCTGGCTACCGACGAGGTGGGACAGTGCTGGGCGGAGGATTCGGACGGATACTGGTACGAACGAACCAACGTTCGCAAGGTACCCTACTCGTCGTGCAGCGGGGGTAAGCGACCGGATCGAGGAACGGCCCATGTGTGTGCGAACAATCTTGCCGGGCACGGGTTCTTTTGGTGGGCCACGGTGATTCTGTGTCCATTTGGGCTGGCAGGATTGGTGGGGTATTGGTGGGCCAAGAAGCAGGCGTCGGCGGGAGTGGGAGGGGGAAGGATTCGGCTGCCGGATGGTTCGAATCGGCTGTATGCGCCCGACTCGGAGCTGGTACAGAATCTGGCGTCGGTGCCGAGGTTTGTGGTGGGCGCGGTGAGTGCGGCGCTGGCAAGGGCGCGCGAGGTGGTGTCGGAGCGCGTGCCGTTTGTGCGCAACCGTCTGGCAAGAAGGCGTGGCGCGTATGGTGGATACCGCCACCTGTCGACCGACGAGGATGCGGCGATCCTGCGCGACTACGAGGAGGACGAGCTGGATCGATGAGTTATTCTTCGAGCACACAGCGTCCAGTAAGCTCCAAATGGAATGTTCAGCTCAAAACTCCCCCACTTGCCCGCTAGCTTTCGAAGGGAGAGGGTTTGTTTGATTCACACGCATCCTTGGATGGCAAGTCGCGCAGTCTTGTTGGGTCGGGTATGCGGGGATCTGCGCTTCGGGAAGATGATGGTTTGGCGCCTGGGCTATTTTTAGCCCTGTCAAACGCGGACCCCAGCTGCATCTGGTGGCAAGCTAGATTGCCAAAAATACGCGCCTCTTTCACTCGTCCCGCACACGCATGTCTCGCCCCTGCGACGTGAGTTTGGGCGGGGTGTAGTTTCATCGGGCACCAAAGTAGTATCGGGGGGCAGAGGGGGGGGGGGGGGGGTTGAAAGGCGGGGTGCATGCTGACGCCATCCCACATCCTGAGTGGGACGATGGAGGGTTAGACCCTGGGGAGGAGAAGGCGATATCAACGGGAAACCGAATTGTTGTTTCAAGTTGTCGATCCCTTCGAGTCCCATTCGGTGGTGAGAGGGGTCGGTCGATCATCTTCGCTTGCACACACGTCGGCTCACCAAAAGGTCTGGACGTCGCCCAGATGCCGACGACGGGCAAGGCTATCGTCATCGACACGACGTCATGCAGCTAGGCCGCTCACAAAGTGGCCGGTGCAAAAGCAACGCATCGGTGTTGGCGGAGCTGCTCGAGGGCTCCCGATGGCAGCCTGATCCGATCCTTTGGCAGGCAAAACGTCGGTGGCGTGCCGAGTGTGCGCCATGCAGCTGCACGATGGCGAGAGGGTGCGGGTCTTAGTCACAACGCGGCTGGCGTTGCTCGCTGCACACACCTTATGGCTCGAGATCCAAATCGCAACCAGAAGGTGGATGCCGAATGAATTTGTGGCAAGTTTGACAGACGATCCGCCTTTCAACAGCAAGGCTCGGTCTGAGCCTGAAAGAAGGGCCCATGCCTCCACTTTTTTTGGTTTTGCGACTTTCTTCCCTTTTCCGGTGGGGCGGGGCAGAAATGAGTCAAAGACGTGGAATGACGCGTTGCAGAGCGGGCGTGGGCCCAACAGGCGTCGATGATGCATGCGTGCATCTACGCAGCTGTCACATCCCACACCCCACCGCACGCACACGCTTCTTCTCGAGATGCGACGTGCCCATCACCGTTTCACACTCGTCTACCGCCCGCCACGCCCGTGGATGCCATTTCTGGCTACTTTCGGCAGATCCGCTGCAGCCTCGCTCTCGTCATCGCACGGCATTCCATCCCTCACCTCTTTCACCTCCGCCGTCCGCCCGCCCAACAGCGCAAAATTACGCACGCACCAACGCAGCCACTCGGCCTCGACCGACCGACTGACTCAGGCTGGACTCGCGCCTACGTATATAGATCTCAGCCATCTCCATCCACCATCCCATCTTCTTCCCTAACTACCACATACCAGATTTCGTTGATACCAGCTCGAGAACAGATACCCTACCACTATCTGTCCGCGTCTAATCACATACCAGAAACCTCCTTTTCGTATTGCACACCTGTCTTGGTTCACTGCGATACTCCCTCCGCTCATCCGAGTACCACTACCACCAATCTACGCCTCTCCTGACGCACGCGAAAGAACAGGCACACGCCGCGTTCAGCTCAGATCAATCAACCTCACCACCTGAACAGATCATCCACCATGTCGACCGTCCCTACCGCCGTCAGCCAGGTGTCTGAAAACCCCTCGGCCAACGCTGTCACCTCGGCCGTCTCGGCCCACCAGAAGAACGCCGATGTCGACCGCAAGATGCGCTTCTTCGGCGTCATCCAGGCCTTCCGCGAGGGCCGCTACCCCGACAACAAGCAGATCGACGACACGCTCAAGTACACGCTCGCCAACAGCCCCGTCGAGACCTCCAAGCTCTCGCCCGACGGCAAGAAGCTCATCCAGGACGTCCGCGAGCTCATCGAGACCGCCCGCCAGATGGTCGTCAACAAGAACGGCGAGGAGGAGTTCCAGAACTTCCTCTACGCCACCCGCAAGGCCAACGTCGCCGGCAACATCAACGTAAAGGCGCCCATCACCGCCGAAGACGCAAAGAAGGACCGCGAGACCGCCGGCGAGGCCTTCCGCACCCTCCTCACCCTCTTCCTCCGCAACGGCGAGCTCCGCAAGATCGTCCAGGACTTTGGCTACATCGGCCGCGACATGTTTGCCGACGGCGCCGCCAAGGCCGCCGAGGTCGCACGCCCCGACGAGGACCGCCTCGCCGCCGTCGACCAGCCCGCGCCCGACAACGAGTTCCACGACGACATCCCCGAGTACCTCAAGAAGAAGGACCAGGCCAAGGCAGACGCCCAGAACAAGGCCGACCAGGCCAAGCAGGAGGGCGCCGCCCACGCCCAGGACGTCGCCGACGCCGTCGACCCCAACGCCAGCAAGGAGAAGAACCAGGCCGCCGTCGCCGAGGTCGCCAAGCAGAAGGCGCAGCTCCTCTCGGACAAGATCCCCCAGAAGCACAAGGACCTCGCCAAGGAGCACAAGGACAAGGCCACCGAGTATCTCCAGGAGAAGTTCCCCAAGGAGCGTCGCGACCAGTTCTTCTACCGCCTCAAGAAGGTCGTCGTCGAGTGCCAGCGCCACAAGGACTACCAGGACGCCATGGAATACTTCCTCACCTTCTTCGAGCAGTACAAGGGACACGCCTCGCACGTCGTCAACCAGTCCACCGAGAGCGCCAAGAACGTGCGCTCCGAGGGCAACGTCGCCACCGCCGAGACCACCTTCCGCCGCCTCATCGAGCGCTTCGCCAACGGCGCGCCCACCCAGTCCATCATCGACGCCGTCGACCAGCTCTACACCGACGCCAACAACGACCCCGAGCTCAAGGGCTGGTTCACCAAGCTCAACACCTACGTCCGCAAGTGCCTCCAGGAGCCCGGCTTCATCATGAAGGACGAGGCCAACACGCAGGCGCGCCAGCTGCGCGACTCCGGCAAGAAGTTCTTTGTCGCCGCCGAGGGCCGCTCCGAGGGCAAGTACAAGCCGCACGCCGACGCGCTCTTCCGCGAGATCACCTACTTTGGCAAGTCGATGCACAGCGACCCGCTCAACCGCAAGCTGAGCGCCAACGTGCAGCAGATCACCAAGGACCTCTTCCTCAACTCCGAGGGCGGCCTCACCTTCAAGCCGCACCTCTGGAGCGACATCCGCGACCCCATCCTGCCCGAGCTGCTCAGCCACGTCGGCCTCGTGCCGCTGCCGCGCATCGAGTACACGGACAAGCAGGTGGACCTCGTCATCGAGAACCTCGCCATCGACCTGCTCAACATCCTCCCCTCGCAGGTCGAGATGGACATCCGCAACCACTTTAAGCTCTCGCAGTTTGACAAGCTCGGCGACAGGCACCAGCACTCGTTCAAGCTCACGCTGCACCAGATCCAGACCGACATGCGCGACGTCCACTTCTTCTTCAACAAGAAGATGGGCTTCCCCAAGCTCCACGAGCGCGGCACCGCCGACGTCTTCCTCGGCGGCAAGGGCTTGACGGTCACGGTGCACCTCGAGGCCGAGAACGCGCCGCGCGGCAAGAAGAGCCGCCACATCTTTACGGTCAAGCAGGTGGTGGCCAAGGTGGACAAGCTCAAGTTTGCCATCCGCGACTCGAAGCACGACACGCTCATCAAGATCCTGCGCCCGCTCGCCACGGGCATCATCAAGAAGCAGATCTCCAAGGCGGCCGAGCAGGGCATCCGCGATGCGCTCGAGGACCTCGACCGCCAGCTGGTGGAGCTGCGCGACCGCATCGAGCGCAACAAGGCCATCGAGGGCAAGGGCGTCACCGACGCCTTCAAGGAGACTTTTGCCAAGAACGACGAGACCGAGTCCAAGAAGAGCGACGGCACCTTCAAGCTCGCCACGTCGAAGCGCAACTCGATCCTGCCCAACCTCGGCCACCCCGACGGCTGGATCCAGAAGGTGGACGAGCGCGACGCCGCCGCCAAGTCCAAGGCGGTGCCCGCCGGCGGTGTCGGTGCGAGCAAGGAGTGGTACTCGCCCGCGTTCACGATTGTGCAGCCGGGCCAGAAGGACCCTCGCAACACGGAGTCGGCCAAGTCGCAGAACCTCGGCCCCTCGCCCAACAACCCGGGTGAGCGCGCCAGCACGTCGGGTGCCGCCGCCGCTGGTGTTGCCGGTGTCGGTGCGGCTGGTGCTGCTGGCCTTGCCGGTGCTGCGGGTGCTGCTGGTGTTGGCGCTGGCAGCGTTTCGGCTGCTGCTGCCCAGGGTGCGGGTCAGCCCGGCCAGACTGCCACTGCCTACTCGACGGCCAACGGCTCGCACGCCCCTGGCGCCATCGTTGCCGGTACGGGCGCCACGGCGATCCCCCACAGCAACGTCGGCACTGACGAGTCGCTGCTCGCCAAGGCGGCGCCGGCGATCAACGGTGCGGCACACACGACTGCCGAGCCTGCGCAGCCGGTGAACCCGGCCTACGAGCAGGGCCGCATCGGTTAAATTCCGCGCCAAGTACCAACGGAAAAGCCATGATACCGATGTGCGAAAGTATATACCCTCCGAGTCGGCTATCCCTTTCTCTTTGCTTCCCCCGTGTCTGTTGTGTGTTGCAAGCTCAGGCTGGCTGGCGCCTGGATGCCTGCGATGGGCCGTCGCTGCGGTTTGTTGTCCACTTGTGGTAGAGTGGGCGGCGGACGGGCGACGGTGCGTGCAGGTTTGATGGGCTGCGTAGCCTTTGAATTATGATTCCCGAAAACGAAGTCTTTATCCTGCCGAAACGGAAGCGAGAAAGTGTGTGTGTTTATGATTGGGAGCGATGGAGTGAAGAAATGTGTGATTGTGGTGGAGCTTGTTGGAGCTTGGGAGATGGGCTCAACGATTGCAACGGACGCTGACGGGGTTGGGAGGCTTGAGCGATTCGAGAGGGGGATGGCATTTGTGCGAGGTGGTGGTTTTGTTGTCTGGACGGGTTGCGACGGGCTTTGTGTATGCCGAGAATGGGTGAACCCAAGTATTTCGAGATGGATCACAAGGAGGTGCTGTTTTTATCAACGAGCGCTGGCTTGGGCGCGCAACGACCCAGGTTTCGGACACTGTCTGTGGAGCGTTCATGCCGTCTTTGTAGACAGGGCACACACGTGTCCCTCCTCGACACCGTCCAGTCCTTGCGGGAGAACTCTCCAACGTATCCGACATCAGTACGGATCATTGTGAGTCGCAGCCATACGTGCGATACCGAAGCTAGAATGTGTGTATCTGGAGTGGAAGCGGGGGAGCTTGACTGATGCAAGGCGATGACGAGAGCGATCATGGCGACCATCCGAATCTGCGCTGGCCGGATGTGCCAAGGAGCAGGATGCAACAGCTGTGCGATACACGACACAAGTGGTGCGGCGCAGGCAGAGGCACAAGCTGCAGTCGAGCATTCATGCAGGTGTGCTGGATCACAACCATACCGACGACGACGTTCTCGCCTCTACACACGCTCAAAACAGCCAGCCCCATCAATCGGCGGAAGGATGTCAAAATCCATCCTCGATTTCACCTCAAGTGCTTCTTAAACCAAGTTCAGTGCCAGCTGGAAGCTTACACGCAGCCTCTGCAGGTTTTCCAGCTGCATATGGCTCATGTATAGATACAGCCGCTTCCCAACGCACCCCTCTCCTATATGTCCAAGAGGCGGACGGATAAAAATGGGTGGCAGTCATCTGGATCTCACGCATGGTCTTTGTGTGAACCTTTGCGGTAGTCGTGCAGATTTGAACTGTTTTTTTCAATGTGACTTGATTGCTGATTTGTGCCGAGTGTGAGGGCTGAGCGAGTGAGATGGTGGTGTTGGTTTCGCTGAGGTTCAAAGCTTTGGCCGAGGGTTGGTTTCGGGCGCCAGCAGAAAGGACGCGTCGGGTCGGGAAGGAATGCCAGAAAAAAAAAGGGGCTGGAAAAATCGACCCGAAAAAACTTCTCCCTCGCTTCGGAATCGAGGCAGACTAGCTTGTGCGAAGATGATGCTGCGATGGTGACGGGCGACTGCTGTGCACGGACTGTGATGCAATGAATGCCTGTTTGGCGCAGAATGCATCGGAAGTGTATCAAAGAGAGAGAAGCTTCGGGTCGGATCCAGGCCGAGAGAGCGACAGCACAGCCCAAATTTTTCTTTTTCAAAAAAAAAGTCACAAACCGCGTTGCACCCTTTCTGGAGTCTTTTCGGGCGCGGCAGCAGCAGCTGCACAGCTGCACAGCTGCACGGCACGAGCGGCGTGCATCCCGCGAGAGGCTCGGCAGCTGCGCACGCACGTCCATGCCGAACCCCAACAGCAGCGCCGAACGAAGCCTGCTCTTGGCCTTCCCTCCCTCTCGTCCTTCTGCAACCAACACATATACCCAAAGGCGATCCAGCATCTTCTTGCATACCTCCATACAGCCATAGCCACCGCCGACCATGCCACGCTTGGGCTGAATCACCACCACCGCTGTCCGCCTCGATGGACGTCTTCCCAGCAGGATCCTCGAGCATGGCACAAGGTGCTGCCGCCCCAGCCCTCAGCAGGCAGGGGTCCGTCGCACGCACCAATGCCATCGCCATGCTCAAGCGAGCCGCATCACACCGCGAGATGAAGGCAAAGGCAGACACTTCCGCACTCCCACCCACACTCTCCTCACCCAACATCCCCACATCCGACGCTGCATCCCTCAAACCCACCGCCGCGCTCACCCACATCCACCCATCCCATGCTTTCGATCCAACGCCACAAGCCACCGCCGATACAACAGCGCCCCCCGCGATAGCCGCTCAGCTCCTGCCCGAACACTCCCCTCTCCTGGCCAACTCTGCCTCATCGCCCACACACACCGCCAACACCCTGCTCGCAGCACCCTCGCCCAACCCAGCCAGCGAATCAGCCTCGTCGCGCTCACGCTCACCCATGTTCCACGATCGGTCGGCGCAGAGACCCTTCAACCGCTCCCCGCTGCCGTCGCTCGAGCAGCTGCGCGCCCGCATCCTCCTCGAACGCGAGTCGGCCGGCCTCCAACGCAGCGCCACCACCAGCGCAGCAAGCCAGGCCGCCCGTGCCTACGCCCTCGAAAAGCTCCTCGGCAACAGCGGCACCGACGTCTTTTACGACCACACCCCCGACGGCACCCTCATCGGCCGCGGCGCCGCTACCCCCTCGCCCACCGCCATGGCGGGTTGCGACGCAGACTATGCCGACATGGCCTCCGACGACGAGTCGGCGCACGAGTCCGGCCTTCGACGCCAGTCCATACGCCAGTCCATCAAGAACCGTCCCATGCTGAGGAGAAGCCGCACCATCAACGGTCTCACCGCCATGGCAGAGGCTCAGAACAAGGCCGAGTTCGTCCAGGGCGTGTTTCTTGCGGTTCCCGGTCCGGCGTCCAACCGCATCTCGCGCATCCACCAGCGCCGAGTAGAACGCCAGAGCATGCTCCAGCGCGCCTCCACCAGCACAGGCCCGTCGGAGCCGGCCATCCCGGAACACAGCCCCAACGCAAACGAAGATGCGTCCACGCAGCCGACTGCCGCACCCGCGCTACAGCGCCAACCATCACAACGTCAGATTGCGCGGACAGAGATGATGCGCAAACTCAGCACGCGCGGACGCGGCACTGCTACCCCGACCAATGAGCCCTCGGCCGCAGCAGCCCAACCGGCGCCCACAGTGCAGCATCCCAGACTGCCACAGGTCATCACCGATTCGCCTGCCGTCGACGAGACCATCAGCCCCGTCGGCGTCGTCATCCGTCCTCCCTCTTCGCCAGTGCCTCCGCACATGTCCCACCTCGACCTGCTCGGCGCTGCCTCATCACCAGCCATCTTTCGCCAGAATCTCAGTCCTGCCAGCGCAGCCAATCCAGACATCCACACTGGCGCTGCCTCGTCTCACGCTGCCGACCTTGACTTGTCCGCATCGCCGACTCTCAAACCCTCGTCGTCCGCCGCATCCCTCGCGTCCAACTACGCTCACAGCACCGCCACCAACGCCACGGCCCACCACAACTACGAACGCAACCGGGAAAGCGCCATGGCCCTGCTCGAGAACGAGGACAACTTTGGCTTCGAGGCTTCGCCATCCTTTCCTTCTATCGGCACCGACCTCGCTCGGGCGCAGACGCCCATCGATCACACCCCAGCTGCAGAGCACACGAGCAACCTTAACGGCAATGGCGTAAATCGCATCCCGGACGCCAACGCATCCGAAAGCGAAGGCCTCACGCTCGACTTTGGCGATGCGAGGACAAAGCGCCGCGCCGGACTCGTCGGACTCGGCCTCGATTCGGTCGCGCCTGCACCTGCATCGCCACAAGTCCAGCAGTCAGGGCAGTCTTTGGCCTCATCTCACACGCAACCGGAGACAACCGCATCCGATCGCAACACAAAGGCACGCCAGTCTCTGGCAAAACTCAGCGTCAAGCCGTCACCGCAGGATCTGCTCTCGAGTCCCGCTTCCTACACCGACGACGAGCCGCTCGAAGACGAGGCCTTCTACAAGCTCTACTCTCCTGCAGCTGGCGTCTACGATGATGACGATGACGAAGACGAAGATAGGCATCACGCTTCCGCCACCCAGGCCACTGCGGACCCCCAACCATCACAAAGCGACAGAAACTCGCAAACTTCGGCTTCCGCACCCGTGCAAGGTCTCAGCCTCATTGCTTCTGGCGCTGCTGCGTCCGCAGATGCAGAGCTGCCCAACACCCCACCGCAGCGTCTGTTCTACCGCGGCAATGCAGCTGTGCCCTGCGATCCTTCGCCCGGCACCGAAACCGACTTTGGCGACGTCCGCCGCACGCCCTGGATGGGCTCGAGCCCGGGCGGATTCAACCTGCCGCTGCGGCTGTCCAAGTCGCTCATCTCGACCGCGCAGTCCGACTCGCCCGCGCCCGATCCGAGCCCCGTCATGCGCGGGCCTTTCCGGCGCGCGCGCGGCGACTGGCCCATGTCCGTCGCAAGCAGCGGCACCCATCCGGCCAGCAGAGAGAGCCTCGAGAGCCGCAGCGAGCCAGAAAGCCGCTTCCGATCGTCCGAAGAGGGCGGCGTGGTGGGCGGTGCGCCCGCCATCGGTTCGCCGCTCATCGAGCTGCCAGAGGACGAAGCGATGGGCAAGGAGAGCGGAGCCGATGAGCAGGCGTCCCAACCAGCCGCGCCCGAGTTCGAGCTGCTGTCACCCTCTTCGAGCTCAAAGCCGTCGGGGCGTGTCCAGGCGATGCTGGGCTCCAGCTTTGTCGCCGAGTACGGCGCCGAGCTCGAGTCCGAGTCGAGATCGCGCTCTTCCATCGGCGCAGACGACGACAACCAGCTCCAGGTGCCTGGCCGCGACAGGGCGGGCTCAACCAACACGCACAGCAACGTCTCGATCAACGACATGAGCGACGTCGACGGCGAAGTCGACGAGGCCTACCTCCAACGCGTCGACCGCATGGCCGACAAGCTCGGCAAGATCGCACGTGCCAAGCACCTGCATTCCAAGGACAGCGTCTCG